ATTGAAAAATCCATTTGTTATGTGTCCTATGCGGACGACCAGTTTCGGAGATTGTGTGTCGGAAAGTTAGCATATGACGTCAAAGAGAATCTGCTTGTGCCACTGAAGTGCTTGCGGCATGAGCGACGACGCTCGGGGGGCCGAGCGCCTGGCCCCCGGCAGCGGATACATGTTGAGCGCCTTCCGCAGCTCTCTCGAGCGCGGCTCTCTCCCCGTCGGGAGAGGTATCTCATCGTAAGTCGTAGAAAGCGCTGCCCATGGCGGGTGGAGGTGGGGGCAAATATCGAGTACACGGGAACGGAAAGGAGGGGGGGAACGAAGGAGGCCCTGGAGGTGGAAGAAAGACGAGGGCGCGCAGCTCGCTCGCGGGCGAGTCTAGACGGGGGCTGTCTACTCGGGCGTGACCTGCGAGGCCTGCGAGCCGGCGACGGCGACCTGCGGCACGTCGAGGTTCTCGCGCTGGAGGTGCGACTTGGGGTGCTGCGGGCGGGCGTGCACGGACGAGGGTCAGGGCGCTCACCCAGGAGTCCGAGCTGGACGGAGGGACGCGGGACGCACAGGAGGCTCGTAGCTGGCCTGGCGCTGGATCTGCTCGTCGAGGACGCCGCACGACGCGGCGATGAAGCCGAGGAAGGCCGGCGACGGGTTGAGCGGGCGCGTGCAGAACTCGGGGTGCGCCTGGAGGCCGACAAAGTACTTGTGGTCTGGCGACGAGAGGGGGCCGAGAGCGAGAGTCAGTGACGCGTCGTCAGGGGAGGAAGGGAGGAAGGAAGGGAGGGAAGGGAGGGAAGGGAGGGAAGGGAAGGGGAGCGAGCGACGCACCCTTGATCTCGGCGACCTGCATGCGCTCGCCGCGCTCGTCGCGCCCGGTGAACTTGAACCCCTTGGCCTCGATGCGGTCGACGTACGCCGGGTTGACCTCGTAGCGGTGGCGGTGGCGCTCCCAGATGACCTCGCCGTTGCCGTACAGCTGGCGCACCTTGCTCCACTCGGTGTCGCGCTGGAACACGGTCGGCCGCAAGCCGAGGCGCATCGTGCCGCCGAGGTGCGTCTTGGAGATCTCGGGCATGAAGATGATGACGGGGTCCGGCGTCGTGTCGACGAGCTCGGCAGAGTGGGCGTCTGTGCGGGCGGCAGGGCGAGGTCAGGTCTCCTCGCTCGCTCGCTCGCTCGCTCGGGCCCGAAGAGAAGACGAGCGGGACGCACCCTTGAGGCCGAGGACGTTGCGCGCAAACTCGATCGTGGCGACCTGGAACCCGAGGCAGATGCCGAGGTACGGAATGTTCTTCTCGCGCGCCCACTTGGCCGCCGCGATCATGCCCTCGGTGCCGCGCAGGCCGAACCCGCCGGGGACGAGGATACCGCTGCAGGCGCAGAGCGAGCCCGTCAATCGACTGCCCTTGACGAGGAGAGGAGAGGGGAGACGAGGGGCTCACTTGGCGGTGCAGACAGCCTGCCACGCGGCGTGGAACTCTTGCGGGCGCTCGTGCTGCGCCTCGGGCTCGAGGTCGGACGCCTCGACCCACGTGATCTGGAGCTTGCGGCCGCACTGCATCGACGCGTGCTCGAGCGACTTGACGACCGACGTGTACGAGTCCTGGAGCGACGTGTACTTGCCGACGAGGCAGATCGAGACCGTGTCGAACAGGCGGTCGTACCTGCGAGGCGCGAGAGGAGGAGCGTGAGCTCGCGGCGGACGTAGAGAGAGGAGAGAGCGGAAGTGGACGCACGAGATGGTCAACTCCTTCCACATGGTCAAGAGCTTGCTGCCGCGCGCCTGGCGGCTCTCGCTCGGCGCAGTCTGGTCGAGGCGGAGGCGGTTCTGGAGGAAGCCGACGAGGCCCTGGTTCTTGAGGAGGAGCGGGACGTGGTACAGGGACGAGACGTCGTGCACGGCGAGGACCTGCTCGTTGGCGACGTGGCAGAACATCGAGATCTTGGACGTGACGGGCGGCGGGAGGGCGTGCGGGCAGCGGCACGCAATCTGGTCGGACACGAGCATAGGGTCAGTATCACGTCGTGGGAGGAAAGGGAGGAGAAAGAGGACGCACGAGGTCGGGCACGAGTCCGAGGCCGCGCAGGTCCCGGATGGACGCCTGGGTCGGCTTGGTCTTGAGCTCGCCGTTGATCGACGGCACGAGCGAGACGTGGAGGAGCGCAAAGTTGTCCTTGCCGACGCGGAACTGGAACTGGCGCATGGCCTCGACGAACGGCGCCGACTCGATGTCGCCGACGGTGCCGCCGAGCTGCAGGAGATAGGAGCGTCAGTCGGCCGCGCTTCGAGATACAGACGGGGGGAGAGGCAGACGCACCTCGATGATGCAGACGTCGGGCTCCTGGTCCGACTCGTCGACCGGGATACGGGCGACGCGCTCGACCCAGTCCTGGATGGCGTCGGTGACGTGCGGGATGACCTGGACCGTCTTGCCGAGGTAGTCGCCCCTCCGCTGCACACACACACGAGTCGGTCAGCTCACGTCGTAGAAAGGACACGAGGAGAGTGGGGCGCACCTCCTTCTCGATGACCTCGCGGTAGATCTTGCCCGTCGTGATGTTGTTGTCGCGGCCGAGCGTGACGTTGAGGTAGCGCTCGTAGTTGCCGAGGTCGAGGTCGGCCTCGCCGCCGTCGTCGAGGACAAAGACCTCACCTGCGCGGGATGCGGGACGAGTCAGCGTCGGGCGGGTCCAGAGACGAGGAGCGAGGGGGAGGACGCACCGTGCTCGGTGGGCGACATGGTGCCGGCGTCGATGTTCATGTACGGGTCGATCTTGATGGCCGTCACGTTGAAGCCGAGCGTCTTGAGGAGCAGGCCGGTCGACGAGGCTGTGGGGAGGGGACGCGCTTCAGCTCGAGGTCGGGCCGCGAGAGAAGAGAGGGGGAGGAGAGGGGACGGACCGATGACGCCCTTGCCGATGCCAGAGATGACACCGCCGGACACGAGGATGTACTTCATCTTGGCGGGCTGAGGAGCGGCGAGGCGACGAGATGAGGGGGAGAGAGATGAAGGCGCGGCTCGACGAACGGCGAGTGGGCGAGGGCGGGGGCACTCGAGGAGGGCAGCAGCTAGTGCTGGTCAAGGCTGTGCAGGCCTGTGCGGGCGATCCTGGTGTACAGAGCGAGAGGGGAGGGGGCCAGGTGCTCCTCCGCCCAAGTTCGTCCCAGCTCGACGACGACGCGTCGCGGCCCAAGTTGCTCGTGCCAGACAGCTGCGCTCTCTCTCTCTCTCTCTCGACGGCGTGCACGGTGACCAGCACTGCGAATACAACAGGGCGACACGCAGACACGCGCTGCACCAGTCACTCTGGCTCACGTCGGCACGACCGCTCCCCTCCTGCTCCCCGCCGCGTCCGCCGTCGACCTCGCTCCTCCCTTGTCCCCACTCGCGCCCGCATTCGCGCCACCCGGTGCGCCCACGACGCTCGGTTGCGCCGCCGCCGTCTTGCTCGGGCGGCGGAAGCACAGGAACTGGAGCGCCGTCGCCCTCCTCGACGCGACGAGCGTGCGCTTGAGCCCTTCGAGCTCGTGCTGGAGCTCCTGCGCCGAGCTGTTGGGCCGCCGGTAGTACGACTGCGAGATCGTCTTGTAGATCGACTGGAGCGTCTGGTCGGCCTGCTCCGACACGTGCTGCGACAGCGTCTGGTGCATGAACTCGATCTCGAGCGTCGCCTGCGGCAAAGGGGCGCGAGGAGCGTCAGGTTACGGTGCCTGCAATTCCCTCTGCGCCACGCACGCGGATGTGCGAGACGAGAGAGAGAGGCAAAGGCGAGCGAGCCGACGCACCTGGAGCATGCCGCCCATGCCGAACCGCTCGACCTTGCCGAACGCCTCGAGCGCGACGCGCGCGAGCTCCTCGACGAGGCTGCCGAGCGTGCGGGCGACGAGCGTGCGCGCCGTCGCCGACACCTGGGCGTGGACAAGGACGAGCGACAGGAGCGCGTCGTAGATGAACGGGTGGACCTCTGCGAGGAGGGTCGAGGAGCGTGAGTTCCCGGATCGTCGGCTACGGCGCACGAGCGACAAGAGACAGAGAGCGCGAGACGCACCGGTCGGCTTGTCGGCCTCGTACCAGTCGACCTGGCCGCCGAGGACGCCCTTGCGGATGATCTTGGCCACCTCGCCGCTCCTCCTCTTGACGTAGTCGTCGAACAGGATCTTGTCGAGCTGGTCCGTGACGTCCATGAGCATCTGGAGGTCGCTCGCCGTGTCGGCGCGGAAGGCCGTGCTGAACTGGGCCACGAGGCGCGGGATCGTCGTCTCGCGCAGGTGCGTCAGGTTCGACACGGTGAGGAGGATGCGGATGTCCTGCGAGGGCCGCATGACGTCAAACCCGGGCTCGACGAAGCGACGAGGAGAGAGAGAGGGAGAGAGAGGGAGAGCAGGGACGCACGACGTTGCGGATGTCGACCTCCTTTGGCCTCCCCGTGTCCTCCTCGCCCTCGACGCCCACCACGCCGCGCTTCTTGACGCCGCTCGGCGCCGCAAAAATCGTCTCGGGGTCCGAGAAGGCGACGTGCACCAGGCCGTCGAGGAACGCGTACAGGCCGTCGAGGAACGCGCTCTGGACCTTGCGCTGAAAGTCGGGCGCGAGGTCGACGTCCTTGCGGTTGCGCGCCGCGGCCGTCGCGCCGCTGTTGGCCGACGACGACGACGAGGCGCCGAGGAGCGCGTTGGCGCGCTCTTCCGAGCCGCCGGCGACGCGGTACGCCGAGATCGACATGAAGCGCTGGAAGGCAGCCACCTGGCGCAGGAAGGCCGTGATGGCCACGTCGTCCGGGTCGGGGCGCCACGTTTCGAGGCGGTAGAAGACCTTGGCGTCTGCTCGAGAGAGGACGAGGGTCAGGTCCAGTCGTCGGCGAGGAAGGAGGGCGAGAGAGAGAGAGGGACCACGCACCTCGGACCCAGGCTGAGCAGATCGCCTCGACGAACCGCCACCTCGTGCTCGCGACGAGCTCCTTGAGCGTCTGTGTCGCCTCGCCCGCGAGCTCGAGCGCGCCGAGCTCGCTGACGCACTCCATGAGCTCGTTGAGGACGCGCAGGAGCCAGTGGCAGTTGGTCGCCGCGTTCGACACGGGCGGCACGAACGGCGGCAAGGGCGGCGTCGCGTTGAGGTCGTCGGTCGCCGGTTTGGGCGGTTGAGGGTTCGGGGCGGTCGAGGACGAGAGGGTGAAGAAGGACGAGAGGAGCGAGACGTAGAGGGTGACGATGTCCTGGGTCATGACGCGGCACTGGGTCGGCGAGCGACGAGAGGCGGGCGCGGCGGCCGGCGCGTTCTTCTGCGGACGAGGAACGCCGTGCGTGAGCTTCCCAGTTCATCGACGTTGAGCCGCACGCCGGCGCAGGGTCGTGCGCCGCCCTGGGCAGCTAGGCGAGAGAGGGACGACGAGCGCACCTTCTGGTACTTGCCCTCCATGTAGCCCTTGGCGACCTTCCAGAAGCTCGGCAGGGTCTGCAGGATGACGTCGTTGAGGTTGCGCACGAGGTCGACGATGAGGCGCCACACCTCGACGCCCGCCGCGTTCTCTGCGAGGCAGGCCGCTCGAGCCTCGTCAGGTCGGGCTCCCTCTTTCGTCTCCTCGAGGAGGAGGGAGGGGAGAGAAACAGCCGGGACGCACCGCGCACCCGCTCGCCCTCGAGCGTCTCGAGCCCGTCGACGCACGTCCTCAGGTCGGCCGCCTGCCTGCGGTGGTTGTCGTCGACCTCGCCGTGCTGGTCCATGGCGAGGTGGATCCGGCTCAGGCTCGCCTCGGCCGTCGTGCGCAACAGCTGCACGATGTGGCGGTGCTGCGTGTCGAAAAAGATCCACACCGGGTCGTCCGACGGGTCGAGCTCGAGGAGGATCCTGCGTGAGCCCGGCACGCGCGAGCGAGAGGGTCAGGGTCTCGAGCCGACGACGACGACGATGCGAGACGAGAGAGAGAGGGGGGACGCACTCGATCGTCTTCTCGACCTCGTCGAGGCCGCGCTTGGTGTCGCGCAGCTTCTTGCCGAGCGTCGCGCGCAGGTCGCCAATGATCTTCTCGACCTGGCCCCACACCTTGTCGTAGATGCGCTTCTGCTGCTGCTGCTGCTGGGGCGTCGTCGGGACGGGGAGCCCGAGGAGCTGCGCCGGGCGCGACGCGAGGATGTAACGGCCCTTCTTGTACGCCTGGAGCGCCACCTCGTACCGGCCCTGCGAGGCGAGGCGAGGCGAGGCGAGAGGGTGGTCAGTCGTGCGCCTGGGCGACGACGACGACGACGACGACGAGAGAGAAAGAGAGAAAGGGTGACGCACCTCCTCGACTGCTTCTCCGAGGATCGTCGGCAGGTTGAAGAAGAACTTGCTGCGCTCAAACACGCCGAGCGTGCTCTTGAGCCGCTCGGCCTTTGTGCGCGCGTCGACGATCGGCTGAAAGACCGTCTCGGCGCGTGCGGATGCGGCTGCAGGGGCAGGGGCACCGTCAGGAGACGGTCCACGAGAGTGAGAGTGAGAGAGTGGGAGAGAGGACGCACTCTTGAGCGTGTTGCGCATGCCCTTGACGCCGTAGTCGGCGCCCGGGGTGAGCGGGCCGCCGTCCTTCATCTCCTCGAACACGGCTGCGGGGCAAGGCCACCTGCATCAGGGACCGCTCGTTCAGGGAGAGGAGGCGAAAAGGGGAGACGCACTCTCGGTCGCCGCCTTGACGGCGACGAACCGGTCCCACTCGGACTCGACGAGGAGCTTGAGCGCGCCCGACCGTTGCTCGAGGCCCTCCTTGAGCTTTTCGCGACCTGCAGGGACGTCGAGTCAGGGAAAAAGTCTCGAGAGAGCGAGAGAGAGGGAGGCGACGCACCGACGTTGAGGTCCTTGAAGGTCGCGTTCGGGTGCACGGTCGAGAGGAAGACCTTTGGGTCGAACGACTTGGAGTGCAGCAGGACGGCGGATCCTGTGGAGCGTGCGGGTCAGGTCATGCTCTCCGACGACCGCGCATCCGGATCTGCCGCGCTGCGGCAGATAGAGGGTACCCGTGGGCCGAGAGAGGACTCACGCAGCTCGCTCGGGAGGTCGGGGTTGTTGCTGCACGGGCTCGCGTTCGGGTGAGCGGCGCTCGTCCGAGCGCGCGAGGACGGAGAGAGAGGTGTCACGCACTGGAGCACGCCGCCGCGCATGAGCCCGAGCGGGTCGTTCTCGTCGCCCTTGGTCGTCGCGCCCCCCACCTTTGCCGTGCCGGCGGGCCCTGCGGCTCCATCTGGTCGCGGAGCGCCAAACAGGCCGGCGTCGGCCGTGTCGCCATCCTCCCATTGTGCCTGCGGGTGCCCGCGCTGGGTTAGCTCGCGAGAGAGAGGGGAGGAGGTGCCGTGGAGAGAGATGAACGCACGGGAGCGAGGGTCGAGAGGCCGTACAGCTCGAGCACTGCGGGCAAGAGATACAGGGTCACGGAGAAGTCTCGAGGGAAACAGTGGAGGGGAAAGAGTGGACGCACTGGCCTCCTCGTCGGCCTCCCAGTCGTCTGCTGCTCTGGGCACCTCGGGCGACGAGCGTCTCGAGCGCGAGTCGGGGGCGGCGTAACCGGTGTGGGCGCTCGTGCCGGACTGTGCGCTGCCCTTGCGGTGCACGTGGTTGCGCGGGTCGCGGTCCGAGTGGCTGGTCGAGGGTCGGCGCGGGTCCTGCGATGAGGATGGTGGTGGTGGGGCGGCGCGAGGAGGAGGAGGAGCCTGGCGCGGGTCAAAGTCGCGCGGCTCGTCGGTCGGCATGGCGCGGGTGTAGGTGCGCCCCTGCATGGCCGGCAGAGCGGGGACCGACGAGTTCGAAGGTGAGCCAACCTCGGCGAGTCGAGCGATCGTCCGTTCTTGCTCCTGCACCCGCTCCTCCTCCAAAGGCACAGCTGCCCGGCCAGACCTACTCCGACATGAGCTCTGTACGGCGGCGCAACCCGCCCAGGTCCCCAAAGGCCTCGCAGCCCTCGCCCTCGCACGATCGCCCTTCGCCTCCTGCGAGTCGGCCTGCACCACCGCCAACCTCGCCGAGCTCGCGCAAGGTGCCCCTCTTTAAACGACGAGAGGGTGCCACCAAGACCAAGGGCGACGACCTCCAGTGCGTCCCCCCTTGTTTCCTCCTCTCAGTCGTTCCCCGCTCGCCCCTCCCCCCGTTGACCTCTCTTCTCTCCGCAGGGTCGAGTTCAACGACGAGACGGGCCGCGTCAAGCTCGATGCGCCCCAGACGCCCTACCACGAGCTCGACCTGAGCGACAGCTTCCTCGCCGCCCTGCACAACCCGCCGTTCGAGCCCAAGAGCAAGTGGGCCGGCATGCGTCGCCTGTGGTTCGTCGCCGGTGGCCTCCTCGGCATCTTTGCCGGCTGGCTCTTTACCGAGGGCGACCCGTTCGCGTCGCTCGCCAACCTCGACCTCGACTCGTTCTCGTCGTGGGACCTCCAGTCGATCCTGGCCGACATGCCCTCGCTCCCGGGCCTCAACATGTCAGAGCTCGTCCAGCCCGGCCGCGACTGGCTCAACAGCCGCGTCAACAACTTTGAGGTCGGCCGCGACGCGCGCGACCGCGGCCTCGAGAAGAAGCACGCCGTCGTCCTCATCCCGGGCATCATCTCGTCCGGCCTCGAGTCGTGGTCGACCATGCCCGACGCGGCGCCCTTCTTCCGCTCGCGCATCTGGGGCGGCACGACCATGGTGCGCGCCATCATCAAGAGCAAGGACGCCTGGACAAAGGCCATGGCGCTCGACGAGTTTACCGGCCTCGACCCGCCAAAGTACAAGGTCCGCTCGGCGCAAGGGCTCGACGCCGCGTCAGCCTTCATGCCTGGTTACTGTGCGTCCACCGCCGTCCTCTTTCAACGTGTCCCTCGAGCCGAACCCCTGACGCTCGCACGCACAGGGATCTGGGGCAAGGCGATCGAGAACCTCGCCGTCCTCAACTATGACCACGACGACTTGTCCTTGGCCTCTTACGACTGGCGCCTCTCGTGCGTCCCTCCCTCTCCCTCCAGCCGCACCCCCTCGACTGACTCGCTCCCCGTCCCAGGTTCTACAACCTCGAGGTCCGCGACCACTACTTTTCGCGCCTCAAGATCGCCATCGAGTTCAACCTCAACGTCAACGAGCGCAAGACGGTCCTCGTCAGCCACAGCATGGGCTCGTCGCTCCTCCTTGTACGTCCCTGCGCTCCCTCTCGTGCATCTCGCGAGGCCCTCGCTCACCTGTGCCTTCCTCCTCGCGCCCCGCAGTGGTTCTTCAAGTGCGCCGGCCTCGACTCGCCCACTTTCCCTCGTCGAGACTGACCCGTTGACCGCCTTGCAGGTGGGTCGAGTCGCCCGAGCACGGCAAGGGCGGGCCTGACTGGGTCGAGCGGCACGTGTCGGACTGGGTCAACGTCGCCGGCACCATGCTCGTGCGTCCCTCTTCTCCTCTCCCTCTCCCTCTTCCCCGATGCTCACGCCTCCTCTCATCGCGACCCAGGGCGTCCCCAAGGCCATGTCGGCGCTCCTGTCGGGCGAGATGCGCGACACGGTCGAGATCAACCAGGCGGCGACCTACCTCCTCGAGCGCTTCTTCAGCCGGTCCGAGCGCGCAAAGCTGTTCCGCTCGTGGGCCGGCGCCGCGTCCATGATCCTCAAGGGCGGCAACAGCGTGTGGGGCGACGAGTCGGGCGCGCCCGACGACCTCAACAACTCGACCCTCACCGGCGGGACGCTCTAGTGCGTCTGACTTGCCCCTCTCTCCCTCTCTCGTCCCTCCTCTCCTCTCTCGGCGGCCGGTCTGACGCTCGTTCACGCCGACGCAGCAACTTCCGCCCCGAGACCGAGGCCAACAACTCGGACGTGACGGCCGACACGACGCACCCGAACCTGACGCTCGACGACTCGATGAGCTTCATCCTCGAAAAGGTGCCCGTGTCGTACCAGACCATGCTCGCGAGCAACTTTTCTGTGCGTCTCCCCCCTCTCTCTCTTCGTGAGCCTCTCGACTAGAGGCCGAGGAGCAACAGGACGACCGACTGACGCTCGAGCCCCTCCTCCTCCACGATCCAGTTCGGCATCGAGCGCGACGAGGAGCAGCTCGTCAAGAACAACGGCGACCACGCCAAGTGGAGCAACCCGCTCGAGGTGCAGCTGCCCAAGGCGCCGTCGATGAAGATCTACTGCCTGTACGGCACGGGCAAGGAGACCGAGCGCGCCTACTTTTACCAGAACGGTCCGTCCACGTGCCCCTCTCCTCTTTGCCGACAATCACGAGAACTGACTCTGCGTCTCGGCGGGCGTGCGTGCGACAGGTGGCTACGAGCACGACGAGTCGCCCAACGTCGACTTTGACGCGGGCGGTAGCGCCGAGCAGGCGCCCGTGTGCCTCGAGCCCAACTGCACCGACACGACGCCGCGCGCGCCGCTCGACCTGCCGCTGAGCCGCAAGGTGTGGATCGACGGCAGCGTCACGCTCGACGACAAGAACGTGCCGAGGGTCCGCAGCGGCGTCGTCATGGGCGATGGGGACGGGACTGTGAGCTTGCTCAGCCTTGGGTCCATGTGCGTCGAGGGGTGGAAGGTGCGTCCCTCTCTCTCCCTCTCTGTCCCTCTCTCTCCCTCTCTCTCCCTCTCTCTCTCGTCAACGAGCGAGCTCGAGACTGACACGCTCGTGCACCTGCAGCGTCCGCGGTACAACCCGGCCGGCATCGAGGTCGTCACGCACGAGATCCTGCACTCGCCGCTCGCGTTCGACCCTCGCGGCGGGCCCACCACTGCCGATCACGTGCGTCGCCGTCTCTCTCTCTCTCTCTCTCTCTCTCTCTCTTTCCTCTCAGTACGAGCGTCGACTGACGAGCCCTCTCGCCGTCGTGCAGGTTGACATCCTGGGCTCGTGCGTCCCTCCCCTCTCTCTCTCGCGCCGGCGTCGTCCCTTCATGTTCCGGCACTGACTCTCAGAGCCTCCTCCTCTCTCTCTCTCTCGCAGATCTGAGCTCAACGACGCGATCCTCGAGATCGTGTCGGGCCAGGGCCACAACGTCAAGGACCAGTTCCACTCTGAGATCCGCACCATCGCGAAGAAGATCCGGTGGGACTGAGCGCAGCGTGCGGGACTTTTAGAGAGGGGAGGAGGCCGGAACTCGACCGTGTTGTGTTCAGCCCTTGTGTAGTGACCGTGGACCATCAGCAGTTAGACGTTCTCGGACGTGCGCGCAGCTGTGAGAGCGGGAGAGCTCGTCGTGGACGGTCGAACCTCGTTGCGGACGGCGAGTCTCCGAGAGTGGTTCGGGGCCGAGCGGATCCGCGCATAGCGTGGCTTTAAAGTGCCGTCTCAATTGCTCCAGGTTCGCGGGAGGGCAACGCCTTCCACTCGAGGGAAGTAACAAGTCCGAGGCGACGGTGCGCCCGTCTTCTCGCCAGCTGCCTTTGTTCCTCGCCCGCCTTCGCCTCGCCTCGTTGCTGCACCCACAGCGTCGAACAGCGCTCGCCCACACCCGCCGCAGCGCGCGCACGTCGCCAGCGGTCACCCCCGTCCGCCCGGTCGCCGAGCGCCCTTTCGCCCGCTAGCTCGCGCGCTCGCTCGCTCGCTCGACGAGGGCCAGGCGACAAGAGACAGCGAGAGCGCTCGATGAGCGCACCCGTGGCGAGCACGCCGACGTGGGCGAGCGGCACCTCGCTCGCGCTGTCGGCCCTGAGCGTCCTCGGCGGCACGGCCATCGCAGTCGGCTGGATCCTGTCGGCCCAGCGCAGCCACCTGCGGCAGAAGCTCATCCTCGGACTCGGCCTCACCGGTGCGTCCTAGTCTCTCTCTCGCCTCTCTTGTCGTCGCGCCCGGAGAGCGCCATCGCTCACCTCGTTCTTTCCCCTCCCTCCCCTCGCGCCTGTGCCTCAACCCCGTCCAGACTTTACGCAGGGCGTGACGACCTTGATCGGCTCGGCGCTCCAGCTGAGCGGCAACCCGTACCGCACCAACTCGCCCGCCTGCAACGGCAGCGGCTTCATCTACCAGGCCTGTGTCATCGCCAACGCGTGCTGGACGCTCGTCATCGCCGCGACGACCTATGTTACCCTCGTCCACCCCTTCTCCAAGTGCACGGCCAAACTCGACAGCCCGTACGCGTTCCCGATCACGGCCGCCGCCGTCCTGGTCGTCGCACTCGTGCCCAGCATCGCCATCGTCGCCACGTACGACATGGTCAATGCAGGCGGCCTCTGCTGGCTCAAGTCGGGCACGCGGTCCGCCCAGCTCACGCTCTTTGTCCCTCGCGCAACGGCATTAGTGCGTCCCCTTTTATCCCTCCTCGCTTCGTCGAGCCGTCACTGACTCGTTGGCCGCCGACAGGTCGTCGTCATCTCGCTGTACACCCGCCTGTTCATCTTCTTCCGCCGCCGCGACGTCGGCCTCCTCGACTCGAGCTCCGACCGGCGCGACGACCGCACCACCAACAACAACAACAACGACGACGACGACGTCGACGCGCCCGAGGGCCTCAAGCGCCTGTCGGTCGCGAGCATGTCGGCGCGCCTCGCGGCGTGGAACCGCCGCCGGTCGAGCGACACGGTCTACACGCCCGCGCCGCAGCACACGCGCTCGATGGCGCTCGAGGCCATCCCGGCCTCGCCGATCCAGTTCACCCAGTCGTTCCCGTCACGGTCGCGTGACCCGCCTGCGCACGACTCGGAGGACCTCCTGTCGGCCGCCGACCCGGGCGCGACTCGGCCTTTCCCGACGACGACGACGACGACGACGACGACGACGACGACGACGACGACGCCGCCGCTCTCGTCGGCGTTCATCGACAGCCCGGCCGAGCTCCTGCGCGGCGACCGCAAGCCGTCGACCGTCTCGTTCGGCGGCCTCGAGCCGCACTCGAGCGACGAGTCGACGACGGCCGACGGGCCCGGGTCGGGCGACAGCCCGCCGCCGTCGTCGTCGAGCGCTGCGCCGCCTTCGTCCTCGACGCGGTCCAAGCGCCTCTCGAGCGGCGCGAGCAGCGGCTTCCCCGTCAAGCTGAGCCGCACCGGCGGCGGCGGCGGCGGCGGGACGGACTCGCGGCGAGGGACGGGCACGGGCACGGGCTCGCAGGCGCGCCAGCACCAGCAGAGCGGGACAGGCGGGCGGCGCATGTCGCTCTCGCCGCGCCAGATCAACAAGCGCCTGTCGATGCTCATGGCCGTGTTCCCGCTCGCGTACTGCGCCCTCGTCGCCGTCGCCGTCGCGCGCTTGATCCAGGAAATCTCGACCAACCAGCGCGCGTCGACGGCCCTGTTGTGGGCGTCGCGGTTCCTCATCAACAGCATTGGCGCCATCGACGGCATCCTGTTTGTCTTTGTCCAGTCGGCGTGCGTCCTCGTCTCTCTCTTCGTCTCTCCCTCTCTCGCGAGAAGAGCGCGCCCTGACCTCTTGCTCTCGTTCGCCCTCCTCCTTCTCTCTCTTCCTCGGCCGCCCCCCTCTCGCAGGTTCAAGTGGTGGGTCAAGAGGGACTCTCGACCATGACGGGAGTAGAGCGCGGGCGGTGTAGAGCAGGGGGCGCCGAGGGTTAGACGGGCGGCGGGGCGGGGCGAGCGCGTACAGTGTTGTTGTAGAGGACACGAGACGGGACGGCGCAGAGCTTCCTCCATGCTTGTACATACACTCGCATTCACCATGTGCAGCTCTGTCGCGCGCTTCGAGAAGTGCGAGTCGTCGCGAGCGGGACTCGGAAGCACCGCCTCTCGGCCCTCCTCCACCTCCAACCACTCGCTCTCACTCGCCGAGATGGACCCGTTCGAGGTGCGTGAGCTCTCTGTGTGCCTTTGGAAAGGTACTGACCAGGCTGCTCGCACAGGTCCGGCTCCAGTTCACCTCGCTCGCCTCTCGGCTCACCTCATCAGTCGCGAGCGTGTCCAAGGTCGCCTCGTTCGCGCTGCGCCACGCCACCAAGTGCGCCGACGACATCTGGGACTGCTACCTCGACGAGGTGTCGACCGCGACCCTCAACGCCCGCGTCAACCTCCTCTTCCTCCTCGACTCGCTCCTCGACAAGGAGGGCCCGCGGACCGCAGCGCCGCCCAGGCCACCAACGGGCACCCACACGAGCTACCGCGAGCTCGTAGAGCGCGACTTGGACACGGTCGTCAAGCTCGTCGTGCCCGACTCGCGCGAGGGCGTCCTCAACTGGATGAGCACGGCGCAGGTCCGTCCTCTCTCTCTCTGCGTCACCTCTGCGCATGCCGCGCTCGCCTGAGCGTGGCTGTGCTGTGCTTCGTCGTCTTCGCGGGAGACTGACGCTCTACTGCCTCCACGCAGGTCCTGCGCTCGTGGAAGACTCGCCGCCTGCTCGACGCCGACATCCTCGACCAGGTGTTGGCAGAGCTCGAGGAGCGCAAAGCGAGGTGCGCCCGACTCTCTCCCTTCTCCGGGTCGCACTCGAGCGATCTCTAACTCTGTTGCGCCCCTCTTCCTCGCCTGCAGGCTGCATTCGAGCTCGTCCGACGCGTCGCCATTCGCCAACTTCTCTCGCAACGACGTCCTGCGCCGGATAGAGGACGACCGCGAGCGTGTGCGTCGCCTCTCTACCTCTCCTCCTTTTTCCCCTGTGCGTCACTGACTCGCGCTCCTGCCGCTACAGCACAAGCGCCTCAAAGAGCGCCGCTGGGTCCTTCCCGTCCCCTCGACCCTCTTCTCGACGACCCCTCTCACCGCCTCGCTCCCGCCGCCACCCTCGGCGGTCGCCGGCCTCGCGTCGCAGAAACCCTCGCCCATGTCGCCCGCCTCGCCGTTCGACCCGACGTCGCGCCGACCACCCTCGGCGGCTGGCGAGCGGCCGCTCACGCCCGCCCTGGCGCACGCACAGGCGCAGCGTGGGCCGGAGCTCGCGCTCGAGATCGAGTTTGAGCAGCTGTGGGAGGCGGGCGAGGAGGAGCGCAGGGCAGCACAGGGTGACGAGGAGGTGCGGGAGGAGCAGGAGGGGCAGGGAGGGGAGCGCGAGGAGCTCGCGCCGGGCAAGCGCAGGAGGCCGTGGGTGCTCGAGGAGCAGGACCGCGAGGAGATGAGGACCGAGCGGAGGAGGTGCTTCGTCGTCGACGACGAGGCGTGAAGAGGATCGAGCAAGAGATTCCGTCGTGGTTGTCGTCGTCGCAGTACCGGCCCTGAGCCCCCTGTTGTGCAACTTTCGCATCTCGCAGCCTCTCGTTCTCACTTGGCGAGAGTCGAGGGAAGACAAGTTTGTGCGACGAGGGATGCTACAACAGCCAAAGAGAGAGAGAGAGAGAGAGAGAGAGACGATGCTGAGAGAAATCTAGAAATGCGAGGTCCGAGCCCTTCCTCCTCCTCCTGCGCCAACCCGCTCACTCTGCGCGCCTCCTCTTCGAGCCCGCGCCAAAGCGCTCCTTCTGCGCCGCAAACGCCGCCACCTTGCGCTTGTTGCCCGCCTTGCGCAGCTCTGCGCGCTTGGCCTTGCGCTTGGCGTCCTCGACCGGGTCCGTCAGGGCCTGCTGCGCGAGCTGCTTCTTGCGCTCGTTGCGCCGCGCTGCCGCCTGCTGCCGGATCGCGTTGTGCACCGACGAGTACGCCGTCGTGCCAATCTTGCTCTGGAGGAGCTCCTGCACCTCGCGCGCGAGCGTCTGGAGCTCGGCTGTCGGACGGACGAACGAGAGGGTCAGGAAACGCTCCCACGAGGCGGTCGAGAGGAAGAGAGAGGGGGAGAGGGAGAGGTGGACGCACCCATCTGCGGGTCCTGCGCGTTCGGGTCCTCCGAGATGCGGAAGATGGGCACGGCCATCTGCATGACAAAGTGCTCGAGCGTCGCCGCGTCGAGGAAGCTGATGACGGCCGCGAACCAGCGCAGGATCGTCGCCGGCTGTCGCGACCACTGGCCCTGCAGACGGTGAGGGAGGTAGGACGAGGTCAGGACGGCTCGAGAGAGAGAGAGAGAGAGAGAGAGAGAGAGAGAGAGGAAAGAGAGAGAAAGAGAGGGACGCACGGCGTTGAGGTCGTGCATGCTCGGGCGAAGCATGTGCGCCTGCCGAGCCTGGTACGACAGGCGCGTGAACAGCCACCGCAGCGGGTCGCCCTTGCGCTCGTGCTCGGTCGCCTCGTCGGCGCCGTCGGCCGCCTCGTCGTTGTCGGCGTCCTCGACGGCGGCCGGTGCGCCGCGCTCGATGCGGGCGGCGAAGCACTTGGCGGCGAAGAACAAGTTCTTGACGACCTGCATCGCGAGGCCGTCGTCGAGTTGCGGGCTCTTGAGCTGCAGGCACGCCTTCTGCGCCGCGTCGAGGAGGTTGGCCGTCGCGAGCGGGTGGTGCTCGGAAAAGTCGGTCGAGGCGACGGCGGCCGGGCTCGCCGCGTACAGGGTGCCGAGCAGGCGCGACGACGCCGTGCGGACCCACAGGTGCGGGTACAAGAGGTGGCCGCGGACGGCCTTCCACAGCGAGTAGTGCTGCTTGTTGTCCGGCGAGACGAGGTCCGGGAACGCCTTGTACACGTGGCCGAACGTCTGCAGCGCCTGGTACGGCAGCTGCCACTCGGCCTGGAGCGCCTGCGCGTCGTCGCTGCCCTCCTCCTCGGCCTGCTCGAGCCGCTCCTCCGAGTCGACGAGGATGTCGAGGACGACGTCGACGATGGCGGGCGCCGAGGCACGGCCCTCGTCGCCGAGCGCGTCGACGGCGACGCCGAAAAGCTGGATCGCCGTGCGCGAGAGCTGCGGCTGAGCGCGCTTGCCCGCCCACGAGTGGAGCATCGACAGGAGCGTATCGCGCGTGTCCTTCTCGACGCGCGCAAACAGCGTCTTGACGAGCTCGGCGGCCATCTCGCGGCACTTGGTCGAGTCGTCGTTGGCGATGACCATGACGAGGCCGACGAAGAACAAGTCGGCCGAGTCCTGAACGAGCTGGGTCGCAAACTTGGCGAGGATGGCCGCGACGAGCTCGAGGACCGACAGGCGGCCCGACTCGTACGTGTACGACAGGTTCTTGGCGAGGAACGCGAGCGAGTCCTTGAGGCGACCGCGGCCCTGCGGGTAGTCGAGGAGGAACTGGAGGTAGATGGCCCGGCACACCTCGCGCACGTTGCCCGACTGGTTGGTGACGAGCATCTCGGCGACCTTGTTCATGAGGTCGTAGATCTCGGGCGCGACAAACTTGCGGGCCATGACCGCGCGCAGGACCTGGAAGAGCGTCGCCTGGCGGTCGGCCTCCTCGAGGTCGGGGCCGATGACCTGCGGGCGAGAGGGGTCAGTGCTGATTCTGGGCCACACAGTCGAGGGAGAGAGAGAGGGAGGGAGAGAGGGAGAGAGGGAGGGGACGCACCTCGAGCAACGACGTGAGCTGCTTCTCGGACAGGGTCGCCGACTTGCAGTCGCGCAAGACGGTCGACAGGGTGCGCAGGGCCGACTGGGCGAGCTCCGACTCGGTGCTGCCGGCGCGCTCGACGACGGTGAGCATCTGCTTGATGAGGACGGGCGCCGCCTTGTCGGTGCTCGACAGCGGGCAGCGGATGAGGCTCGCCGTCGCGCGCATGCTCCTCGCGAGCACGACCGGGTCGTCCGAGTACAGCGAGTTGCCGACGAGGCTCACGAGCGGCTCGAGGCGCGACAGGACCTCGGCCGAGTCGAGGTCGAACACGCTCTTGCGGAACGCCGAGTTGAACAGCTCGAGGCCGAACGAGACGAACCGGTACGCGTTCTTGGCGTAGTAGTCGCGCGACTCGTCCTGCTTGCGCTCGAGCTGGACGTGGTAGTCGGGCGCCGCCTTGTTGTGCCGGCGCACCTCCTTGACGACGCGCAGGAAGTCGGCGTTCTGGCTGATGAGGGTGTGGCACAGGTCGAGCGTGCCGACCGCGTCGAGCTTGGGGTTGGCCGTGAGCCCGATCGCGAGCGCCTTGAAGACCTCCTCGACGTCGCGCAACGGCTTGGCGGCGTCGGTCGAGCCGAGGATGCCGCGCAAGGGCGCGAGGAGCGACGCGATCTTGGTCGGCGAGATGACGCGGGCCAGGACCTGGACCGAGTCGAGCGACTTGAACGACCGCACCTCGCGGAACTTGGTCTTGGCGCGAAACTCGGGCGACTGGCGGTCCTTGCTCGGCGCGCCAAAGATGTCGTCGTCGAGGACGGGCACGACCTGGCCGAGCGCGTCGTCAAAGTCGACCTTGTCAGGCGTCTCGGCGAGGCGAACGAGGAGCGCGTGCACCGTGAACGCGAGGACGTGCAGCTGAGGCCCGCGCGCGAGCGCCTTGCGCAGCTCCTTGACGGTGCGCGACAGGAGGTCGCCGTCGGTCGCGACGACAATGTTGGCGAGCGTGTTGCGCACGAGGTCGCGCACGTGCTGGTCGCGCGAGCGCAACGTCTGCGCGAGGACCATGAGGAGGGCCGTCTCCTGAACGTGCTTGGCCTCGCCCGGGACGTGCTGGACGACGGCGGCGATGCCCTCGGCGACCGGGATGCGGATCTCCTGGTCGCTCTCCTCGCGGCGCTCGAGGTAGGCGAGGAGCTGCGGCACGAGGCGGCCCGTCGTCGACTCGAGCGGCTGCGCCTCGGCCTCGAGGTCAAAGTGGAAGCTCTTGAGGACGGCGACGAGCGTGCGGACCGACGCCTTTTGCGCCGCGCCGACCTCCTTGGCGAGCTTGAGGTAGTGGTGGGCGCATTTCGAGTAGGCCGACCACGCGAGGTGCTTGGCGAGGCGACCGAAGCACTGGACCGTCTCGTTGACGAGGTCCGGGTCCTTCTTGTCGTCCGAGCCGACGACAAAGTGGTCGAGGAGGGGCAGGAACAGGTCCGAGATGGCCTTGCTCTTGATCTCGCCGGCCTCGACGGCGTCGGCGAGGCGGCGGAGCGCACGCGTGCGGCGGTGGTGCTGGATGTGGAGGATGTTGTTGAAGAAGTTGGCCTCCTGGTCGCCGCCGACGAGGAGGACCTTGAGCTGCTCGAGCTCGGCGACGCCCTCGACCTGCTCGACGGCGTGCCCGAGGACGGCGATGACCTCGGACCGGATGATCTCGAGCTTGGAGCGCATGACCTTGCGCAGGCCGGGGAGGAACGTCCGGAGGAGGCTCGTGCGCAGCGCCTCGTCGCCGCCGCTCGGGCCTGCAACCTCGATGAACCGGCGCAGGGCGTAGCTCGCGTTGCTGCGGATCGACAGCTCCTCGGCGTCCTGGACGAAGAAGAGCATGTTGTTGAGGATGACGACCCAGTCGGCCGGGCGCAGGGTGCGGTACAGGTCCTCGTTGAGCTTGGAAAACGCGGCGAGGCGGCGGTCAAAGTCGGGCTCCTCGGACCGCTTGACCGAGTACGAGTTGAGCTCGTCGACGAGGTAGGCGACCTGCGCGTACGAGTCGTCGACCGACGCGACCGAGTTGAACGCGGCGACGAGCTGCAGGCGCGCGTTGCGGCCGCGCGCGCTCGAGAACAGCTGCGAGATGACCTCGGAGCACCGGTCGTACAGGGGCGTGCCCGGCTCGGGGCGCGCGAGCGGGTACAGCGCCGTGACGATCTTGAGGAGGTCCGTCTTGACCTTTTCCGGGACGGCCTTGTTCGTCTTGCGCAAGAGGGGCGTCGCGAGCGCGAGGAAATTGGTCGCCTGCTCTTGCGAGTGGACGTACGGCGCGAGCGAACACAGGAGGGCGATCTGGCGCTGCGCGACCTCGCCCTTGGCGTCGAGCGACGACGACGTGACGGCGATGAGGCCGCCGAGCTGGACGAGGAGGACGTCGACGCTGGGCTTGATGACCTCGCGCCCGATCTTGCTCTTCTCTCCGCCGTCCTCGACCGAGAACTCGACGAGGCTCCCGACGAGGTCGAACACGCGCAGGACGACGGTCGGCTTGACGTTGCGCACCGTGAGGACGCCGTACAGTGACGGGAGGAGCGACGGGTCGTACTCGACGAGGAGCGGGATGAGGTCGCGGCGCTTGCTCCACGTGACGAACAGCTCGAGGAGGGCCGACGGCGCCTGGGCGTTCTCGGTTGCGAGGGTCGGCAGGCGCGGCGAGATGATCGACGGGAACGCCGCCGCGACGTACGGGCGGTAGTCGAAGTCGACCTCGAGCTTGAAGAAGTCGGCGAGGCGCTTGAGCGCCGTCTGGCGGATGTGCCGCAGCGGCGCCGGCGAGTTCTCGACCTCGGCGCCCTCGTCGTCCTCGACATCGTCGTCCTCGTCCTCCTTGCCCGCGTCGTCGTCGACAACGGCCTCCTCGGGCTTGACGGCGTCGCCCTCGAGGCCCTTCTGCGCAAAGTGCAGCAGGTTGAGGAGGGCCCCGAGCAGGTCGGGCCACCGGCCGACAATGTCCTTGCCGAGGTGCTTGACGACGTCGGCGAGGAGGCCGAGGAAACCGAGCTGGCGCTTGCCCGGGACGTGCGGCGGCGCGTCGGCGAACCGGAACGCCTCGCCTGGCGGCGTGACGAGGACCTTGCGCAGCGGGCCGAGGAGGAGGTCGACGAGCGTGTCGAGCTCGCTCGCCGAGCACGTGCGGAGCGCGCCGAGGATGGCGGCACGACGGCCCGCACGACCCTGACCCGAGCTGGCGCTCGCGCGGCCGAGGCGCGACGTCATGAGGCCGTAGACGATGCGGATGAAGAGAGGGACGACGTCGGCGCGGTGCTGCGGGTCGAGGCCGCCGGCGTCCGTGTCCGAGACGAACTCGAGGAGGCCGTCGCGGAGCTTGGTCGGCTCGAGGAGGTTCTTGAGGCGGTCCGAGTTGGCCGTGACGGCGGGCACCTTCCACCGCAGGAGGCAGTCGAGCGCGAGCTTCTGGATGTCGGCGTCGGGGAAGGCGAGGAGGGTGCGGAACTGGTTGACGAGGTCGGCCGAATGGTACAACGCCTTGGGGTTGCTGAACTTGGCGAACAGGGCGAGCCAGCCGAGGAGGCGCGCCTTGCGCTCCTTGGCGTTCTCGTCGGCGTTGAAGTACTTTGGCGCCTCGTCGGCCTTGTCCGGGATGACGTCGTCGCGCTGGAAGCACCCGAGGAAGACCTCGACAAAGTCGCGGCTGTGCCGTTGAGCGAGGTCGGGGATCTGGCAAAACAGCGACAGGAGCTGCGCCTCGTAGCTGTGGATGACGAGGCGTTCTGGCGCGACCTGGAGCTGCACACGAGGACGACGAGAAAAGAGTGAGCTCAACGTCCGTGCGGCCCGTCGCTTGAGGAAGGAGGGAGAGGGAGACGCACCTCGACGAGACCCTCCTCACGAGCCTGCACCGCCTCGATCCCGCCCTCGTACCTCGCCTCCTCCTTCTTGACCCTCGCGACTCGGTCCTCGACCTGGAAGTCGCGCAACGCCTGCTCCTCGAACACGAGCTCGTCGCCCGCCGGGCCCGCCGCGCCGCCGCCGAGGGCCCAGTCGGGCTTGCGCGCGACGTACAGGTCCGAGCTGCGCGTCGCGACCGTCAGGAGCTGGCGCGAGCACGTGGCCCAGACGGGGTCGGGGAACCGGCCGGCGAGGAGCGCGAGCGAGGCCGTCGCCTCGGGCCAGATCGGCTTGAAATTGACCTTGCACATGGCTGCGAGCGGTGCGAGCGTCAGTGAGGCGACACAGAAGGAGAGGGAATCGGGGAGAGAGAGGCGACGCACCCGTGAGGTACCGCAAGACGATGTCGAGCGCCGGCTTGACGTCCTCGGTCGTGCCCTCCTTGCCGATCTGCCCGTGGGCGATGATGCCCAGCTTGCGCACCTTCATGCTCTTCTCCCTCGCACCCTGGACCGTCAACGGCGCGTCCTCGACGTCGATGCAGCGCGCGACGAGGTCGGCCGCGACGGGCGCCTCGGCGGGCGGGAACAGCGACAGGGCGATCTCGAGCGACGCGCGCCGCAGCTGGGCGTCCTCGGACAGGAGGTTGGGCAGGATCGCATCGTAGATGGCCTGGCGCTGCTCGGGCGTGCCCCGGTCCGACGCGAGGCGCGCGAGCGACAGGACCGAGATGCCGTGCATGACCTGGCGGTGCCACGCAAAGTTGGTAATCATGGGCTCGACGGCCGACACGAGCTTGTCGAGCGCGGTCGACGACGCCTGCTGCGGCTTCTTGAGCATCGCCGAGACGGCCGAGAAGGTGGCGAGGGTCGAGCCGAGGACCTGGGCCGGGCTCGCGGCCGACGACAGGTAGGCGACGCGCGCCTCGGTCGACGGCGTGGCGGCGACCGTCGTCGCGAGCGTCGCGAGGAGCGGCAAGATCGTCTCGCACCGCGAGGGCACGAACGGCGCGACATGCAGGACGTCGAACAGCTCGTACGACTGCTCGTCGGCGACAGCGGCCGGGTTGGCGTCGTACTGCTCGGTCCACCGCACGACAGCGCCCTCTACGAGCGCGCCGACGCTCCTCTCCCACGCGACGACGGCGGCGCCGCCCTTGGCGACGAGCGCGCGCAGCCGTGCCGACTCGGCGAGCCGCCCGAGGAGCGCGAGGCTGTTGTCGCGCTTGGACGGGACGGCGGCCGCCTCGTCAAACGCCGACGAGCTCGCGCCTGCAGCCGCGCCGTTGCGCGCAGGGCCGGGCGACGAGGACGAGCCGCCGAGCTCGCGCGCCGAGGCCGTGAGGACGTGCTGCCCGATGGCCGTGTCCCACATCTGCCACTCGAGGCCGTCGAGCGCGCTCGCGAGGGCGCAACCCGCGGCAAACACGGCATCGCTCGCGCTCGGGGCGAACAGGGCCTCGAGGATGGTGCGCACGGGCGACGAGAGGACGTCCTGGAGGACGGCGAGCGGGAGGAGCGCGCTCAGGTAGGTCGACAGGGCGTGGAGGAGGGCGGGCGTCGGGGCGTGGGGCGCCGTGACGAGGCGCGCGAGGGGCGACAGGGCGGCAAACAGGCGCGGCTTGAGCGCGACGGGGAGCCGGGCGCCGCCCTTGACGCCCATGAGCGACGTGGCCGCCTGGAGCACGACGACGAGGCGCGCCTCGTCGACCGACTCGGCACCCTTGAGCTCGCCCTCGAGCACCTTGACGACGGTCTCGGCGAGGGGCTCGAGCGGCTCGGGCTTGTGCGCGTGCTGCGCGAGTGCGACGAGCGCGTGCGAGACGATCTCGCGCGGGAGGGTGAGGTCGGCGAGGGAGGGGAGGGACAGGACGGCCGTGTAGAGCGAGCGCAGGAGCGCGGGCGTGCGCGAATGGAAGAAGTTGTTGGCGGCCTGCGAGAACGAGGAAAGCCGAGGTCAGGGTCTGCGCCGCGAGCGGGTCCGTGCGGCGCCCGAGAGGAGAGTGAGACGAGGACGCACGCTGCAGCTCTCGAGCACGAGCCACGTGATGCCCTCGGCAAACACGTTCGAGCTGCCCTCCTCCTGCCCTCGCCCCTTGCCCTTGCCCTTCCTCCTCCCCTTGGCGCCCCTCGACCCAGCATTTGCCCGCTCGCCGCCGTCCACCTCCTCGACAGCCGCAACGTCGCCGATCGCGCGCGCAAACAGGTCGTCGAGCGACACGACGTCGCCGTGCGTCGAGCTGGCCGGGTCGGACGAGGCGGGCTTGGCCTTGCGCACGAGGAACGCGAACGCGTTGGCGAGCAGGCGCCGCGTCTGGGGCGTCGTGCGGAACGTGGCCGGCAGGGTCGTGTACAGCTTGGCGGCGGCCGGCTCGTCGAGCTGGGCGGCCGACGTCGACGCGACGGGCGCGGCGCGCTCATCGTCGACGAGGGCGACGGCCGCCGCTGCGGGCTCGTCGTCGTCGTCCGAGGCGTCCGAGGCCGCGTCGTCCGCCTCGGCGACGGCCGCGATCGCGCCGTCGATGTCCATCGTCTCGACGTCGTCGGCCTCGTTCTCGGACAGGACCTCGTCGACGGCGGCGGGCGCGCCGAGTCCACGTCGGACGACGTCCCACACGGCCTCGAGGCCGCCCAGGCTCGCGTCGTCGTCGCCGCTCGCGTCGGCGGCGAGGATGTCGCGCGCGAGGTCGCGGAAGAGGGCGCCGAGGACGTCGTACACGCGCTGGAGGATGCGCGGCTGGGCGGCGAGGAGCGGGGACGGGGTCGTGAGGCGGATGAGGGTGGTGAGGAGGAGAGGGAGGGACGGAAGGAGGAGGTGGGCGACGTCGGTGATGAGGGGAGGGAGGAGGCTGTGCGCAAAGAGGGAGAGTCAGGCGGGCTCGCGAGGAGAGAGAGAGAGAGAGGAGGACGCACTCGAGGACTGTCTCGCCGGCGAGTTCGACCTCCTTGCTGCCGCCCGACAGGACCTCGCAGATAGCCTGGACGAGGTCGCGGCGGTAGTGGACGACGAGGGGCAGGCTGCGGCTCATGCGCTCGACCTTGCGCGAGAAGCGGACGAAGGGGAGGCTGAGGTTGATGAGCTGGCTCTGCTGGAGGGCGTGGCCGAACAAGGTGTGCATGTCGTCTCCCTCGGCGATGTCCTCGCCCTCTAGCATCTCGCGGCGGTCGCGCACGGCGGCGAGGTCGACCTTCATGGCGGCGATGCGGTCGGTCGGGGCGACAAAGCGAAAGTTGCGGCCGCTCTTGATGAGCGGGTTGAGGCGCTTCTTGGCGAGGCGCTCCTTGACGGTCATGGTCGCGGTCGAGCGGACCTTTTTGTCGGGCCGGGTTGACGACGACGAGCCACCGGCGGCAGCTTGGGCGGCGGCCTCATGGCGGAGGGAGCGGAGGGTGCCGCCCTTGCCGCCGTTGGCGCGAGTGCCCTTGTTGCCCTTGCGGGTGTTGGTGCCGTTGCCCATGCGGCTGGGGGTGCTGCTGGGTGCTGGCTGTCGACGGGCGAGGCGAGTGTCGAAGCGGGGGGAGGGGCGAGGCGGTGGAGGATCGGCCGCGAGTCGCTCGAGGGGTGTTGGCGCGGCTCGGGTGGCGTGAGAGCGAGCTGGTGCGGTGCTCTAGCTCTTGCAAGCACTCGGCGGTGCAGTGCGTGGGTGCAGAGGCGAGCTGGTTGGTCCTCATCTGGCTGAGCTCGCTTGAGCTGCTCGCGCTCTCCTCCGCGGACTTGTCCTCACTCTTCCGCACCGTCTGTCGCGTGCTTCTGCCCTTTGACGCTGCGACTTGCTCGTTCGTGCCTCGCTCGTGCCCTTGCGCAGCGCGATTGGCTCCCTCGGGCCTCGGCGCCGTGTCCGGCTCAGGCTCGACTCGTGCGCCGGCTCTCGTCGTCCTCCGCCATCCACGCCCGAGCCTCGCTTGACCAGCTCGATGCTCCCGGCCCTGTCTGCCCAGCTGCGCACCGCCGCCGCTGCCCCGCTTCGCCGTCGCCCCGTCGCCCTCGCCCTCTCGACCTCCTCCCCTTCCCCCACCTTCACCATGTCGTCGGCAGCCCGCGCCAGCTCGCACACGGCCGCACCACCGCCAGGCAACCCGCTCGCGGCCGACAAGTACCTCGAGGGCAAGGCCAAGGCCTTTGCCTGGCTACGCGACAACGGCTACCCCGAGGACAGCGCCGTCGAGTGCCCGGTCGCGTGGGGCGAGTGCGTCGTCGCTTTCCCTCCCCTCTCTCCGTGGGCAGCGTACTGACACTCGACATCGTCGACAGGATGGACGCCAACGCGCACGTCAAGTGAGCTCCTTCTCCTCGCAACCCTCTCTCCCTCCTCGAACCCTGTCTCCCTCCTCGAACCCGCCCGCCCGCCTGACGCTCACCCTCTCCCTCTCGCCCGCGCAGCAATAGTGTGTATTTTAGGTGGTTGGAAAGCGGACGACTCGCCAATCTCAACGCGCTCGCCGACCAGCTCCCGTCACCCTCGGACGCCGCCGCCCTGCGCGGCAACGGCAAGGGCAAAGGCCCGATCCTCGCCCGCATCACGTTCGACTACGGCCTCCCCGTCGCGTACCCGGACAACGTCCTCGTCGCGCACAAGTGCAAGCAGGTCGGCGCCAAGAAGATGGTGTCGCAGGCCGTCGTCTACTCGTACGGTGCGTCCCACCTCGCTCTCCTCGCCGTTCGTCCTCTCTGGCGACGCAGCGAGCTCACGCGCGCTCTTCCCGCTCGCAGCCCAGCAGTGCGTCGTCGGTACGAGCGACTCGGTCGTCGTCAGCTACGACTACGACAACGGGCGGTCCTGCCCGTGGCCGACGAGCCTCGTCGACCTCGTCGTCGAGCGAGGGGCCGAGCGGCTCGAGTCGAGCGCGGGCAAGGGCTCGAGGGCGGCCAAGCTATAGTTAAACGGCGGTCGAGGGGCGGGTCAGGGGCCAGACAGGGACGATGTACAGAGCTTGGAGCGAGGCGAGCCATCGCAATGTAAATTCTCGGCATCGACTTCTCGAGCGCTCCCTCGTGTCGACGTCGTCCTGAGCTCTGCTACGCCTGCGTCTGAGCTGTTCTGCACACGTCGAAAGCTTGAGAAGGACGGCGACGCTCAGGCCTCGATGAGGTAAGGCCGACGGCGCTCGACGCTCCGAGACACAGTGGCCGAACGGCGCTCTGCTGAGTTCAGCGCGCACGCCGCGGCGTGCGCCCCACCTCGAGTGTACATCTGCAGCCCTCGAATGCTCTCGGCGGCTGCTTCATTCTCTGCTCCTCTGCTCCTCCAGCACAGCTCGCCACAGCACCACCGCTCGTCATGACCATCTCCCAAGACTCGTCGGCCCCACTCGTCGCCATCGTCGGCGCGACGGGCAACCAGGGCGGGAGCGTCCTGCGCTTCCTCGCCGAGTCGGACCGTCCGTACCGCCTGCGCGCCTTGACTCGCGACGCGTCCAAGCCGGGCGCGCAAAAGCTCGCCGAGCAGGGCGTCGAGGTCGTGTCGGTCACGCTCTCGGCGGACAACCTCGAGGGCGCCAAGCGCGCGTTCGACGGCGCCGACATTGCCTTTGTGCGTCTCTCTCTCGCTCTCCTTGTCTGGAGAGGAACGAGCGCAGAGCAAAGAAGAGGCTCGAGCGCGAGAGCTGACCTCGTCGTCCTCGCGCACGCAGGGCGTCACCAACTTCTGGGAGCACGTCGACAAGGACCGCGTGCGTCGTCCCCCTTTCGCTCTTGTGCACCTGTGACGTGCACCTTCTGACTCGGTTCATCGCTCCCACAGGAGGTGGCCGAGGGCAAGACGCTCGTCGATGCAGCTCTCGCGGCCGGCGTCCGCCTCTACATCTACTCGTCGCTGCCCAGCTTTGACAAGGCGTCGAACGGCAAGTATAAGAACGTCCACCACTGTGCGTCCAACTTTCGTCAGATTCCTGCCCGGCGCCGCACGACGGCGGCGCGTTCTCGAGGTCCGAGCGGCGCGCTGACTTTCCGTTCGTCCCCTCTTTCTACTCGCTCGCCGCAGTCGAGGGCAAGGCGCTGGTCGACGACTACGCGCGCAGCAAGGTCAGCAAGAGCTTCAAGTACGTCGCCGTCCAGGCCGGCTTCTACGACACGAACATGCTCCCGGGTCCGCTCGTCCGCAAGGCGGCCGACGGCAAGTGGCGCATGCGCACGCTCATCGAGCCCGACACGATCCTCCCGTCGATCGACATCTCGGAGTACGGCCTGTGGGTGCGGGCCGTCATCGAGAACCCCGAGGTGCAGGACGATGGGCGCCCCGTGTGCGCCGTGAGCGAGGACATCTCGCTCACCGCCCTGCTCGACACTTTGCGCAAGCGTGAGCACGTTCCCCTCGCCCTGTCCGTCTCTTCCAAAGACGCCAACTGACGTTGTCGGGTTGCCGTTCGCAGACGTCAAGGTCCCGATCGAGTACGAGGTCGTGAGCGCCGCCGAGATGCGCGCAGAGCAGCCCGACGGCACGCCCGAGCACATCAAGGACGACCTCGAGGACAACTTGACTGCCATCAACGAGATCAGCTGTGAGTCCCGTGACTGTTTCGCTCTTCCCTGTCGGTCCGTCCACGTCGATCCGGACCCTGACCCGTTCTTCGCCCGCGCTCGCAGTCTTTTCGGGCCAGGACGCCGACTGGGTCCTCCCTTACCTCGCTCGCAAGCGTACGACGTTCGACGAGTGGTGCGCCAAGACCGACCTGAGCGGCTACGCTGCCTGAGGTCGTCCGGCGCACGGACCGGTCCGCGACCGCCTTCTCGAGCGAGCTCGACGGGCTTGCCGTCCGTCTCTTTTCCTTGTGTACAGCTTGAGCGTGCAACTACGAGTTGCATTACTCTGTGGACCGGCGTGCGCGTGCTCGACTGCCTGAGCCAAGTCAGCCTTCTCAAGTCGCTCCTCTTCGCCTCGCGGAGGGTTGGCGGCCTCGACTGTCGCTTCTCCTTCGTCGGCTCGTTCGAGCTCGCGTTTCTCTGCATCTCGCTTCCGCGTGCGACAGAGCTTGCTCTAGCTCAGAGCGGTCTGCGAAAGTTGTCGAATAGCCGGAGCCGGAGCTGGCTGCAGCGGCTCGGCTCGCTTCTCTCGCCTGCTCCTCGTCCTTGAAAAGCTCGTGCGGCATCGACAGCTTGCGCATATCGCTGCTCAGCTTCAGCACTACCCCTTCAGCCACCCGCCTCTCGCCCCTCGCGCCTCGCTCCTCGCCCTCCTCCTCGCTCCCCCACCTTGCCGACCTCGACCTCCCTCGCTCGCCATGCCCTCTGCGCCGCCAGCACTCGCCTCCTCAGCGCCCATTGGCAACTCGCAAGACCCGGCAGCCTACCTCGCCGGGCGCGCTGCCGCCGTCGAGTACGCGGGCGAGCGCGGCTTTCCTCTCGAGTGCGCGGTCGAGATTGCGACGGCATGGGGCGACCAGGGTGCGTTGCTCGCTCGCTCTCTCTGTATGACACGGCACGCGAGGGAGGGTGACTGACCGCGTTGCACCGCGCAGACGCCAACGCGCACGTCAAGTTCGTCCCTTCCCCCTCCTCCTCGCTCCTCCTCCTCTTCCTCGCCGCCCACCCACACTGACGCGCCCCTCCCGCCCTCCCGCCCCGCACAGCAACGTAGTGCCTTTACGATGGTGCGAGACGGGCCGGGGCACCTTCATGCGGGCCGTCGCGCGCGACATTGCCGACGAGCAGGTGCGGGCCGACCTGAACGGGAGCGGGAGGGGCAAAGGCGTCATCTTTGGCGAGGTGCGGTACCGGTACTTGGTGCGTCGGGTCGTCTCTTCGAGGGCGGTCGATGCGGGAGAGGCGGGAGGGAGGGAGGAGAGGAACGAGGGACGCACACTGACTGCCCTCGCTCGCCCCCGCCCCGACCCGACGACGACAACCCGCACAGCGCCCCGTCTTCCACCCGGACAACATCCTCGTCCTGACGCACACCAACACCATCTCGCCCAAGTCGCTCACGGTCAAGACGATCCTGTACTCGTACGCGCAGCGAGCGCCCGTCGGGCAGGCCGACGGCGTCTTGTTCGCGTACGATTACGACGAGGCAAAGAGCTGCGAGTGGGACCCGGTCGTTGTCGAGGGCATGGTGGCGAGGGGGGCGAGGAAGGTCGGGTTTGGCGACGGCGAGGGCAAGGCAAAGCTGTAGCTCTCTCGCGAGGGAGGGCCAGGACGGGGGCAGATAGATGTTACAGGCACGGCTGGGGACGTTCAGAGAGTCAGTCGAGGCGCTCGAGAGACGAGAGAAAGAGAGAGAGAGAGAGAGACTCGCCTACGAGGCAAAGAAGTTCTGCTTGGGGTCGACGACGCGCTTCTCCCACCCTTTCCGCTCTTTGACCGGCCCGAACCGACTGCGCACACGCACGTTCATGAGTCTCGAGTCTCTGGAGCGAGAGAGAGAGGAGAGAGGCAGAGGGCGCACCTCGGCGGCCACAAGACCCAGTCGACCCTGCTCTCGACCAAGCCCATCGGGACAGGTCCGAACGTGTTCGAGTCCCGCGAGTGGTACCGTTCGTCGCCCTCGATCCAGCAGGACCCTTGCGGGACGCGCACGGTCGACTCGGGGTAGGGTGCGAGCGTGCGCACGATGCTGTTCGGCAGCGCGACGAGGCGCTTGATGAGGAGCGTGCCGGGCTTGACGGGCGACCTGGGTGCGAGGGAGGGTCAGCGGGGAGAGGGGAGGAGGAGAGAGAGGGGACGAACTTGACGGCGACGACGTCGCCTGGCTTGAAGCCGCTGCGGTCGCCGTGAGCGGCGGCGAGGGCGGCGTAGCGGTTGAGGAGGACGATGTCCTTGATCATGCTCGGCGAGTCCGGGTTGAGGGTCGGCTGCGGGGCATGCGACCGAGTCAGTCACGTTCCCTCGTAGAGAGAGAATGCGCCGGCGCACCTGCATGGACCTGTGCGCGGCGAGAGAGGTGGTCAGCGCGGGAAGGTGAGGAGAGGAGAAGGGACGCAGGGACGGACCTGCCCGAGACGGTGGCGATCGAGTAGACATGCTCGTTGAAGAAGAGGGCGACTGCGCCCCAGCCTGCGACTTTGAGAGCGCGGCGGAGGGCGACCCTCGTTGGTCGAGGAGCGGCCAGGTCGTCGGAGGTCGAGTGGTGAGTTGGGCACGGGGAGCTTTGGCGCAAAGCCGAGGGCGGGCTCAGGAGTGATCCGAGTAGGTGCGCGTGGCTTGTAGCAAGCTTGAGCTGGGTGCTGGCGAGTGAGATGAGGTGAGAGATGGGGACGAGTTGCTCCCCGCTTGTCGTCGGCTCGCTCGCCTCCCTCAACCCCCTCGCTCCTCCTCTAGACACCATGGCTGGTCAGTCCACCCCTCCCACACCCTCCAGCAGTCACCTGGACCGCGCCCCTCGACACCGAGAGCTGACGCCTCCTCCACCTCGCCCCGACCGAACAGACGTCGAGATGCAGGGCGCAGACGCCCCCAAGCGCTTCGAGGTCAAGAAGGTGCGCCTCGTACCTCCCCTCTGGTCCCCTACCGAGCTCACCCTGCCCCTCTCGCGCTCGCAGTGGAACGCCGTCGCGCTGTGGGCCTGGGTGCGTCCCCTCCTCCTCATCGCCACGGACCTCGGTCGTATCGCGCAGAACAGAACTGACGAGCACACACCCGCACAGGACATCGTCGTCGACAACTGCGCCATCTGCAGGAACCACGTGCGGCCCCCCTCCCGACCTCCTCCCCTCCCTCGCGCCGCCCCACCGGCTGACCTCACCTTCTCCCTTCCCGCCGCCGTGCACAGATCATGGACCTCTGTGCGTCTCCTCTCTCTCTCTTGCTCTCGACTCGACCGAAAAGAGGTGCGCGCAGGACTGACTCTCGCTCTCGTCCGCAGGCATCGAGTGCCAGGCGAACCAGGGCGCGGCTGCCAACGACGAGTGTGCGTCCTCCTCTGGCTCCTTCTCAAGCCCGACTCAGACGAACTGACTCGTCCCTCCTCTCACGCAGGCACGGTCGCGTGGGGCGTCTGCAACGCAAGTCCTCGGCCCTCCTCGCCCTCCCTGCCCCTCGACCAATTTCCCCTCGAGCCGGTTCGAGCTTGAGGAGCGTGAGCTGACTTGCACCTCGTCCCGACACGCACACAGCACGCCTTCCACTTCCACTGCATCAACCGCTGGCTCAAGACGCGGCAGGTGTGCCCGCTCGACAACCGGTGCGTGCCTCACTCTTCTCCTTCCCCTCTCTCACTCTCGCTCGGTGGGGTCACACTGACACGGTATCCTCCACGTCGACGACAGAGAATGGGAGCTGCAGAAGTACGGCAAGTAGAGCACCGCTCCTCGCCCGCCTTCGTCGTCCTCGTCGCCCGCCGCCGCCCGCACGTCCCTCGCAACCCTCGCCTCATACCGACCAGCCTGCCCCGTCTCCCTCTCCCTCGATTCCCCTTTCCCTTCCCCTCTCTGTCTACATAGTCGTCCGTCTGTCACGCCCTCAGGCCCCCCTCCCCCTCGTCGTGTTTCCCTCGCCGCCCGAGCACTCGGGTGGCTCGCTTGCAACTTTCCTCTCGGGTCCTCCTCCTCTCATGTCGTCAAGAGACCGAGAGATCACGCTCCACAGCCTCTCGAGAGCTCTCCTTGCGCTCAAAGTCTGAGAAAAGGGCAGGAAAAGAGAGCGTCTCGATTACTCTGCCCCGCCGCGCACCTCCATCGTCCACACGACCGTCTCGTCCGTCTCGAGCGTGACCTGCTCCTGCACGAGGTGGTTCGACGTGCTGATCGCCTCGGAGAGCGAGGTCGGGTACATGTCTGCGCGCGGTCGAGGCCGGGGCCGGGTGAGCTCGAGGATCCTCTTGTCGAGAGAGGGCGAGGAGGACGAGAGGAAAGGGCGCGACGCACAGGCTGTCGGTCCGAGGTCCCACTCGAGGCCCGTCGTCGTAACTCTTGCGGCCGCCGAGCCGAGAGGGAGGATGCCGCACGTCTTGCCAAACGTCGACAGGTCGATCCGGAGCTCGTGCTTGCCCTGTGCAGGACCCCGTGCTTGACCATCAGTACACGCTCCCGATGAGAGAGAGAGAGGACCGAAAGGGTGGACATGAGGACGCCACCTTTGCGAGCACGACCGCGGCGCTCTCCCTCCCGACGGCCCACACCCTCTCGCGCCCCTCCTTCTCGACGAGCAGCGTCAACGCGTGCAGCGTGTGCACCGTCTGGTCGAGCCGGCCGCTCAGCCCACCGACGAGGACGAGCTGGTGCTGCTGCGGCGGCGGCGCCGCTGCGCCCCGACGCTCGAGCTGCGACAGGCGCGCGACGTTCTTGCCCAGGTCGGTCGAGAACTCGTCCGGGTCGTGCTCGACGGGGACGCCCTGCGCGCACACTCATGGCGAGTCAGCTCGGCGGTCCGAGCGAGGAAGAGAGAGAGAGAGAGAGAGAGAGAGAGGGGAGCGCACCTTGCCGACGTAGTACTCCTTGACCTCTGGCCGCAGCGAGTCCAAGTCGCCAAGGACCAAGTCCGGGAGCCAGGTCGCCTCGTCGCCATCGCTCGCGTCGTCCGACGCGCCGTCACCGTCGTCCAAGCGCCCCTTGCCGCGCACGAAGCGGTCGTACAGCCGGTTGGCGCCGCCGTCGGCGCAGAACCGGACGCTCGCTGGGTGAGAGGCGGGGTCAGCGAGGGGGGGAGTCGAGTGGGTGTGAGAGAGGGCGAGGGAGGGGGACGTACCGGAGGCCCAGAGTCGCCGGAAGACGGGCTGAGGAGGGAACGGCGTGTTGAGGATGATGAGGGCGTTTGGTGGGGGAGGCGACGAGGAGGTCGAGGGCGAGGGCGGCGAGAGGAAGCTGCGCGTGTCCCACAGCTTGGTGGACGTGACTTCTGGCATCGCCGCAGAGCTGTCGCAAGTCTGGCTTGGTGCGAGAGAGCAAGGTGGGGGAGCGAGAGCTCGTCGTCGTCGTCGTGCGCGGAGTGGCTCTCGGTCGACATCATCCACAGCTCAGGCCGGGTCGCAGAGCTACCCCAGCTGCTCGGACGACTTCTGCACTTGCGCTGCAGCCGGTCCCGCACCGCCGCTTGCCGTCCTCGAGGTGTCGTTTCATCGCTCCTCCTCCCTCCTCCTCCCTCTCCGACCTCGCCTGCCGTCCACCACTCGCCCGCACGCGCCCCAGCGCTTGCTCGTCCTGCCCAGGCGACGATACGCCTTGGCTCTGGCACCTTGTCGTGCTGCGGCGCAGGCTCAGCTGGTCGAGGCATGTCGAGGCGGTGCAGGCCGTCCAGCTCGGCTCTCGCCTCTTGTGGCGACAGGTTCTGCCCCTTCCTGCTCTGGTATGATTCGGTCTCGACGAGCGCGCCGAGCGAGGAGCGGTCGAGCGAGGGCTCAGTCCAGCGCATTCCTGCGCGGCGCTTGCTCGGACCCTGCCTCTGTCGAGGAGCTCGCGCTGTGCACGTCTTGCGCCGCCGGCTGCAGCTCTCGATCCTCTCGAGCGTCGAGCTGGCGCGGCCTCGTCTCGGCACGACGTGCGCGTTCCCGCTCTCGACGCTCGGCGCCCGCCGGAGCTCAGCTGGCAGCATCTCGAGATCTTTCCTCCTTCTGGCCGGCAGATCAACGAGCACGCAAGCACTGGCGGCGATGCACGAGAGACGGGGCTGACCAAGAGCCGATCCGCGCCAATCATGACCAACAAGCGGGGAGGCGGTCGAGCCCCGTCCAATGAAGTGCGGCTGCGGCGCTCAGTGTGAGGGTCGACCGCGCGGCCTCCGGAGAGCAAAAGGGCCTTGTGCGTCGCTTGGTGCAGCGTGCAGATCGTCCGGCGGGTGCGCAGGCATCACCTCGGTCTCGATGAGAAGGAGCCGCGAGATTGGAGTGTCTGGGTCGTCGAGCGATTCCCGACGAGAACGAAAGATCGCCCTCCCCGTACTGCACCAGCGGCGACGGAGGCGGCGCTGCGATGGGTGATGATGCGCGTGCCCCGGGAAAGGCGCACGATCTCGGAAATCGGCCGAGGTTCAGACAGCGCGGACGCGGCGGCGGCTGCTGGCTCAGCTCTCTTTCTCTCCTCATCCACGCCCGTGCACGATGGCAGCCAACGCCCACAGCTACCTGTTCAGCAGCAGCGGCAGCACCAGCCATAACCCGAGCACCAGCGCCGCCCCGATCCCGTTCCGCCGGCGCCAATCGTCCGACCCAGCTCCGCCGCTCTCCTCCCTGTTCGCCATGTCGAGCCTCAGCCAGCAGCAATCGCCGCCGGGCAGCGTCACGTCCGACGAGTCGTCCCCTCCCTCGCTCCTCTTCTCGTCCACCTCGGCGTCGCCCTCGTCCAGCATCTCGTCGTCGCCTTCGCTCGATCCGTCCAAGCGGTCGCTGGCGTTCCCGCCGCCGTTCTCGCTCGACGCCGGCTCGCCAGGATCGGGCCTCAAGCCGTCCCCGACCCAGATGGCCGTCTACGCGAGCAACATCATCCGCAACGAGGCGTACGCCCTCCTCGCCCTCGCCGCGCGACTCGCGCCCGCGGCCCACCCGCTCCACGACGAGGACGGCGCCTACTTTGGCCACACGGCGAGCGCACCACCGGCCTCGGGCAGCAGCAGCAGCTCGAGCGACGAGGGCGGCGAGGGGTCGCAGACGGGCGAGCTCATGCCGCCCGACCTCGACGAGCCCGTCAGCGGAGGGAGGAGCAGCGACGACGTCCTCGTCGAGAGCCGCACCAACGTCGCGTTCCGCCAGGTCGTCGACTTGTGCCAGGCCATGCCGCCGCACGGCAAGATCCTCGTCACGGGCGTCGGCAAGAGCGGGATTGCGGCGCGCAAGATGGTGGCCACGTTCTGCTCCCTGGGTCCGTCCCTCTCTCGCCGTCTCTTTCTTCCGATCGAGCCCTCGACTGACTCGCTGCACCCCTCACAGGCATCCAGGCCGCCTTCCTCCACCCGCTCGAGGCGCTGCACGGCGACCTCGGCGTCGTGTGCCCCTGCTCGCCCTCGGCCCCCTGCGACACCCTCCTCATGATCTCGCACTCGGGCGCGACGGCCGAGTTGATGCGCCTCCTCCCCATCGTCCGACCACGCGTCCGCTCCCTCATCGCCGTCACGCGCGACGCCGACTCGGTCCTCGCACGGTCCTGCCACGGCTGGATGGACGCCGGCACGGGCGTGTACCCGACGGGCATGCCCAAGGGCACGACCGACGAGGCCGACTCGGCGCTCCCGGCACCGACGAGCAGCGTCGTGTCGGCGCTCGCGATCGGCGACGCGCTCGCCCTCACGCTGAGCCGCCTCAAGGTCGGCTGGGACGCCGACGGCAAGGAGCGCCGCCTCCAGTTCTTTCACTGCCACCCTGGCGGGCAGCTCGGCCTCCAGGTGCGTCTCCCACACTCTCTCCCCCCCTCTTTGCGCGCCGTCTCTGACCTCTCGTGCTCCTGCAGCTCGGTCGCGAGGGTCGCGGCGTTGAAGTTCCCTCGACCTCGCCTATCGCCGCTCCTTCCTGCCCTCCCGCACCTGTACCCGCGTCCGTCGCCGCCTAGAGTGCCCCCTCCATATCCTTACACGCCCTCGATACCCTCTCCTCGCCGCTCCCTCGACCAAAAGGCGCCCGGTCGCGCCTCTTCCTCTCCCTCCTCTCCTCTCCTCCTCCTCCCGCATCCTACCTGTACATACTCCTCGTTGTTGCCTTTCGTCACTCTCTCCCCTCTGTCTCTCTCTCTCCCTGTCTATCTCCCGCTTGGTAGTGTCCCCTTGTCACACTAGGCTTCCTTCGCGCCTCCTCCTTTTTCCTCGTCGAGGTGAGCTTTCCTCTCTGCGAGAGCGCTAGTCTCTCGCTTCTACGCAGCTCGTTGCTCTGCTGTCGCTGCATCTTATGCTTGTCGGCGGCGCGATTTGGCGAGACACGGCTCGCACGCTCCCCCTTCCCCGCCTCGCTCGCTCTCCTCCTCCCACCTCCCGCCTCGCCTGGCTGCGAGCGGACGGGTACACAGCCCCGGCACGACTCGCTGCCTGCATCCAGTCCCGCCCGTCCGCCCTCACCAGCGCGCCCTCCTCACACCTCGCCTCGCCTCGTCATCTTCCACCTCGCCCACCATGGCCGACCAGCCGCCCGAGGGCTCGATACGCCTTTCGGCGCGCGAGAAGAACAAGCCGAGGCAGGACAAGGCGCAGTGCGTCCCCCTTCCTCGCCTTGCCCCCTCCCGCCTCCCTCGCCGCTCGTCGCTGACCGCTTCCCGCGCACCCACAGGCTCATCCAGGCGGGCCGGCTCCACGGTCGCCGCGAGAACCGCGAGATCGACGAGCTCACGGCGCAGGTGACGGCCCTCACCGGCCAGCTCGACGCGGCGCGCACCGAGGTCGACCGGCTCAAGAGCTCGGCGGGCGGCGCGGCGGGCGGCAAGAAGACGGACAAGGCGGTGCAGAAGGAGCTCGACGCGCTCTCGAAGAAGGTGCGTCCCTGCCCTCTGCAGCGCTCAGTCGCAGAGAGCGGTCACTGACGCCCTGCGCTCGCCCCGCCAGGTCCGCCGGCTCGAGGAGGAGCGCGACGCCGCCATCGCCGACAAGGACGCCCTCGCGACCAAGGTCTTGTCGCTCGAGTCGTCGCTCGCCCTCGACACGCGCCTCGTCAAGCTCAACGCCGACCTCGAAGCCGAGCGCGCGAGGGCGTCGTCGCTCGCGGGCAAGCTCGCGCTCGCGCAGGACGAGAGCTCGACGTTCCAGCGGCGCCTGCAGCAGCTCGAGAAGGGTGGCGAGACGACGGCCGAGATGGAGATGAAGCGCCAGAAGCAGCAGTTCAACGAGGCGGTGTCGAGGCTTGAGGGCCAGGTCGCGAACCTCGAGCAGGTGCGTCTCTCTCTCGCATTCTCGCGCCGCTCGGGCCTGACCTTTCCCTCCTCGTCACGCAGGACAAGTTCAACCTGATCGAGCTCGTCAAGACGTCCAAGGCCAAGCAGGTGCGTCCCGCTCAGTCCCTCCCTATCGATCCCACCTCCCTGACTCGCCGGCCTCGCGCCGCAGGACCAGCTCGAGGACCAGAAGCTCTCGCTCGAGCGCGAGAGCAGCCGCCTGTCGACCGAGCTCCAGAAGGCCGAGGGCCTCGCCAAACAGCGCGAGCAGCAGGACCGGGTGCGGCAGACGCAGGCGCGAGAGGGTGCGTGCTCGGCCGAGGAGCAGACTCGGTGCGTCCTTGTCCTCTCGCAGTGTCGCCGTGACCTCTCAGCCACGGTGATACTGATCTTGAAGGACGGCCCGCGCAGGCTCAAGGACAAGATCGTCGCGCTCGAGAAGCTGTGCGCGACGCTCGAGGCGAGCGCCAACGACAGCTCGGCGGGATCTTTTGACTCGGCCGCGTTGTGCGCCCTACTTTCTCCTTCTCCTCGAATGTCCGGTCCTGACCCGTCGCCCCAACAGCCTGACCGTCCGCCGGTACCACGACCTCGTCGCCAACCTCCACCTCTCGGAGGACGACGTCACGACACTCCTCGACGAGGGCTCGCTCTGGCCGCCCATTCGCGCCACGCAGCCTCACGACACGTCGCTCATCGACTTCCTGTGGCTCCTCGCCGACCAACAAGCCGAGCACGACGACGACAAGCGCGCGCTCGAGGACGAGCTCACCCAGGCCAAGCACCGCGCCGACGAGGTGCTCGCTGCGGCGTCTGGCTCGCGGCGTGGGAGCGTCGCGGTGGGGGCGTTGCGCTCGGGTGGCACGCAGGACGGGCTCGAGAAGGAGAGGGCTGCGGCGCGCGAGGACAAGGCGCGCGACAAGGAAGTCATCGCCCAGCTCGAGGCGCGCATCTCGGCGTACGAGGCCAACGGTGCGTCTGCGTCTCCCTTCCTTCGTGCCTCTCTCGTCCCCTTGAGCCGGCCCCTGACCGACGTCGTCGTCGTGCCCGCCCCGTCCGCAGCCTCTCGTCCCGAGCGCTCCTCCTCGCGCGCTTCGTCCATTTACGCGGCACCAACGGCCACCTCGGGCTACTCGCAAGCCGTCGTCGACCGCCTGACGGTGGCGATGAAGGACCTCAACCAGCAGGTGGCCGACTTGCGCGACGAGAACAGTGCGTCCTCGCCCTTTCTCTTCGCCTCTCTCTCGGACCGCCTTGCCGGCGACACATGCACTGACCTCCCTCCTTCTCTTCCTACCGCCTCGCAGTGAGCCTGCTTCTTCAGCTCGCAGGAGTCGAGCCCTAGCGAGGCTGTCCTCGCCTGACTCGAGTCGGCCACAAGCAGGAGCGCTGGTCGCATTCCTCTCTCGCCTTTTCCCTTGTACATACGCCACCTTCCCCCTTCCGTACCTTGTCAAGACTTTCCGTGTCTCTTCATCGCAGCGCTCGAGAGTCTCGAGAGACGAGCTGCTCAGCGAGACGGTCCGAGAGCGAGCCGACAGCGCGAACGACCTTCGCAAGTTGGTCACTCGCGGGAGATTTGGCGCTCTCAGGGAACGCTCTGCCCGGGAGACTGCTCGAGGCGCTGCACGCATCTCTCGAGCTGCTCTGAGGACAGCTTCGGACCCTCCGCGGACGAGCTGCTCGCGCCGCCTCCCCGCGCTCGCCGACGCGCAGCCGCTCTTGTCCTCGCTCCCCTCCCTCCTCCACCCTCGCTCCCCCAGCTCACCGACAGCATGGCAGACGAGGTGGGAGTGCACCGGCTCACGAACCGCGACCGCAACAAGCCCCGAGCCGACAAGGCGCTGGTGCGTCCTCCTCCTACCTCATCGCCCCCACCCTACCTCGTCTCGCTCGCGTCGTGAACAGTCACTGACACCTCGGCCCCTTCCGCAGTTGATGCGCGCAGGCGTCTTGATGGAGCGGCGCACCGATCGGGAGCGTGACGCTTTCGTCGCCCGTCTGGAACGCGCCGAGCAGGAGCTGGAGAAGGCGCGGCAAGACGGGGCCGTCGCGGCCGCCATGGCGTTCACGACCGGTGGACCCGCCGTCAAGGTCCTTCAGCGCGAGGTGGGAGTACTGCGGGCCAAGGTGCGCAGGACGGTCGCTGTCTCTCGAGGACGAGGCGCTCGACTTTGGCCGCGAGTCGCGCACGCAGCGACACAGACTGACGTGCCTCCCTTCCTTCTCCCTACCACAGCTCGCCGAGGTCGAGCTCGCGCCGCCGACCGCCTCCGCCTGCAACACTCACCACTGCCCGTCCTCGTCCGATTCGTCCGCCCTCGGCACCCCGACCCGCATCGCCGAGCTCGAGGACGAGAACCGCCGCCTGTCGCTCAGGATCAAGGAGATCGAGCTCAAGACTCGGGAGACGAGCGCGTCGAGCTCGAGGGCCCGCAACGGCGATGCCGGGGCGGCGTGCAGGCCGTGCGAGGAGCTGAGCGACGCGGTCGAGCGGCTCAAGGGCAGGCTCGACGTGCTCACTCAGGTGCGTGGTCCCTCCTGCCAGTCTCCGTCGTCACAGAGCAGCGTCCTGACAGCGTCTGTGAGCCCGCAGGACAACGTCAAGCTCTCGTCGGACCTCAAGCTCGCCCGCGCCAAACTTGTCCGTCCTCTCCCGCTTGCACCTCCTCCCGCGACAGCATCCTGACCTCCCTGTCCCTGCAGAACGAGGGCCCCGACGAGAACGTCAAGACTCGCACGCTCGAGAACCAGCTCGACGACGTCAAGACGAAGCTCGCCGCAGCTGTCGCCGTTCGCCAAGCCGAGGCCCAGCAGCAGAAGAGCCGTGTCGTCCAGCTCGAGGACGCCCTGAGCCGCAAGGAAAAAGAGCGCCTCGAGGGCGTGCGCGAGTGGCAGGTCAAGTACTCGACGGCGCTGCGCACGAGCTCGAAGCAGGACGAGTCGACCAGGTGCGCCCCGCTCGATCATCCAGGTCTTCCCTCCTCGAGCCCTCATGTCGCCGCCCGAGCCGTCCTGACACGATAAAGTTCTCGACGCGCACAGGATCAAGGCGAGTCGCTACGACGCCCTCCTCACGAGCGTCCGCCTGTCCGAGGACGAGGTGTCGCAGCTCCTCGACGACCCCGACACGCCGCCGATCCGCCAGCACTTGCCCGACCTGTCGCTCCTCGACCTCCTGTGGCTCCTCACCGACCAGCACGACGAGCACGCCGCCGCAATTAAGGTGCTCGAGGACAAGCTCGAGCGGTGCGAGGCCGAGCGCGCGAGGACGCACAAGCAGGCGGCGGCGCAGGTTAAGGAGGAGAGGGAGCGGCTGCAGGGGACGATCGACGAGCTGCAGGGGCGACTTGACTCTGAGGAGAGTCGCCAAAACGGTGCGTCCCCCGTCCTCGCATGCGCCGTCGAGTCGAGAACGAGACTGACCCACTCTTCGCGACGACACGCGCAGGATCGGCCGCAGCTCGCGACGTCTCGGTTCCTCGTCCTCCTCTCAGCACGACCGCTGCCTCCAGCACGCCCTCGCCCGTCGTCATGGACCGCCTGACCAGCACGATCGCGAGCCTCAGCGACGAGGTGTCGCAGCTTCGCGACGAGAACAGTACGTCCCGCGCTCTCTTTCCTTCCTTCTACCATGCAGCACTGACTCTGTCGGACCTGCGCTCCCAGTGACCCTCCTCCTCAAGCTCGCCGGCGCCGACGACTGAGGCGAGCGCGCTCGACCGCGCGTCGCTCGGGCCCCTCCTTTTGCCCCTCACCTCTCGCACCACCCTCTCTCTCTCTGCCTCGCTTGTCTCTCTTTGTCGATAGCGTCTTCTGCATGTACCTTCAGTGCCTTTGCCCGCTTCCATGCGTGAGCTGGCGAGGACGGTCGGCGCGAGCGCAGTTGAGAGCGAGATGCGCATGAAAGCGAGCGAGCCTTTGTCGCGCTTCCCTTTGTTCTCGTCGAACGGACGCTCTCGAGCTGCCGCACTCTGCAAACCGCCTGAGAGAAGCAAGAAGGGAGAAGCGCAAATTCCGCGACCGGCGGCGGCGCACGAACGGACTTGCACCGCCTCCGCTCGCGTCGACCGAGAGCCGTCCCTCCTCGTCCTTCTCCCCTTCTCCCCACCCGCTCCAGCGTCGCTCGCTATGGCTGCCCCCACTGGGCGCCGCGATCTCGTTCCTCGCGATGGAAAGGACAAGGCCACCCTCGTCTCGGCCGGGCGCCTGATGAGCCGCAGGACAGATCGCGAGGTCGAAGCATTGAAGGTCACGGTCGCCCAGCTCGAGGAGCAGCTCGCGGCGGCAAAGGCGCAGGGCTCGGCAGAAGCAGTCAACCAGGCGCTCGCTCGCACCGATGGAGGACTCGCCGCCAAGGCGCTGCGCAAGGAGGTCAGCGATTCGGGCCAAGGTCCGTCTCTCCGTCCTCTCTGTCTCTCCTCGCCCCACGAGCTGAAATCAGTCTCTTGCAGGTCGACACGCTCGAGAAGGAGCGCGACATCGCCGGCTCGACCCCCACATCCATCCCTCCCTCCGCCTCCTCACCTTCACCCGACCTCGACCGCGTCACCAACGAGCTCGCCGCCTCCCAGTACCATCGCACCTCGCTCGAGAAGCAGGTCGTCGAGCTCGAGCGCCGCGTCAAGCAGGCGCAGAACGAGGTCAAGCTGAGGGGGCCGGGCGCGGGACCGGGGCTGGCGGCGGCCGAGCGCGAGGGGCTCAAGGAGGAGGTCCGCATCGCCCAGTACGAGGTCGAGATGCTCGCGCAGGTGTGTCCACGTCTCTCATACTCTCGGCAAGGGTCGGCGCCACCGCTTTCTGGACTGACCCCGCCCTCGTCTCGCTCGCGCGCAGGAGAAGACGAAGCTTGCGGCGCAGGTCAAGCTTGAGCGGGCCCAACGCGTGCGTCCCACGCTCTCTCTCCCCTCTCCTGTGCCTCTCTTGACGTTGGTCGTCGACGAGCAGAAGCAGGCCGAGGACGACGCCGAGCTTGAGGGCCAGCGCCTCAAGGACCGCCTTTCCTCGTCGGCCCAGCGCGTTCACGCCCTCGAGGGCGAGCTCGCCCGTGCTCGAGCTGTCGCCAACGGCGTCAAGGGCGACCAGCGCCACTTCGAGGCGCAGCTGCGGGCGCGGGAGGAGGCGTGGGAGCTGCGCGTCAAGGACATCATACGGGAGACGGACGCCAAGTTCGCCCGCCTGCGCCTCGAGGCCGACGCAGCCGTCCGCAACGCCCAGATTGCGCATGCCGCCGTCGAGCAAAGCTTGTGCGTCCACCTCCTCTTCCACGATCGCCTCGTCTCGGTTCCTCCCCACTGACTTTTTCGGCGAGAACAGGCGCGAGGAGAATGAAGGTGCCCAGTGCGAGCTGGAGAACATGGAGGAGCAGCTCGCCGAGGTCACCGAGGAGCTCGAGCGCAAGCGTGCGTCGACCATGCCGCGCCTCAAGGAGCTCGACGCCGCGCGCTCGCGCCTCGCGGCCCAGTCGAAGGAGCTCGCGCGCCTCAGCGGCATCATCGCGGCGCACAAGACCGAGCAGCACGGGCGCAAGAAGCGCAAGGTGGCGCCTCAAGCCGACACGGTCCAGGCGGCCGCTGTGCACGCCGTCGGCGAGCCCGAGTCGAGCGACTTGGGCTGGGCGCAAGTCGAGTCGACGGCCGTCGTCGAGCTCGAGCGCCACGTCGTCACGCTCCGCGCCGAGAAGGCGCTCGCTGTCGACCAGGCCCAGCGCAAGATCAGCGCGCTCGAGCAGGCCATCGTCGGCGCCGGCCTCGCAGGTGCGTCCCCGACTCGCTCCTCTTGCGCCGTCGCCGAGCCAACGCGCCCTCACTCACACACCTCGCCTCGTCCCGCAGGCCCTTTCGACGTCCCTCAAGATGAGCCCGAGGCGCACACGCCGTCGTCGTCGAGCGCGCTGCACGCCGAGGCCATGGCCATCCTCGCGAGCTGCGAGCGCCGCTTCGACAGTGTCGCGACGGGCCTCGTCCAGCTCAGCGCCGAGATCGTCTCGCTCGCGTAGCGCGCGACGCGGCCGTCGGTGCGGCAGCGTGTCGGCGCGGTAGCGGCGGCGACGGCGGGCGGGCGAGGAGAGAGGAGGAGGAGCAGGAGGAGGTCGAAGAGGCTGGCCCTCGCTCGAGCGCGGCGCGATGGAGCTGGACCTCCCGCTTGGCGTGCAACACGTCGTGCTCTTGTCGATGTCGCCGCACCGAGCGAGCGACTCGAGCTGCTCTCCGAGAGCTGCCGCGAGCAAATTGCGAAAGGAGAGCGAAGCGAGCATGACACGGGCGAGCGTCGCTCGTCGGCGGGACGTGTCTGCTTGCTGGGAGAGCAGCCTGAGCAGTTTCGCAGCGTCGCAGCCCGCGTGTGAGAGCGGTCGGGCGACTTGGCGAGGCGAAAGTGGTTCGCGCTCTCGCTCCCCCACCAGCGCGACCCTCTCCCCGCCAGAGGCAGTGCGCACAGCTTGCAGCCCTTGTCTGCACCCTCTACACCCCTCGCGACCGACAGCGCGCCTCCCCCGGCCTCGCCCGCGTCCACCTCGACCACCCGCATCCTCATCGCACGTCGTGTTCTCGACCCCACCTCCCACCCTCCGCCCAGCACCATGTCGGGCAAGACCACCATGACGGCCAAGGAGCAGCTACGCGGTCGACGCGACAAGGCGGCCCTGCTCCAGACCGGCCGTCTCGCCGAGCGTCGCCTAGACCGCGAGCACCAGGACCATCAGCACCAGCTTCAAGAGCTCCAGCAGCAGCTCGAGGAGGCGCAGCGCGAGGCCACCATGGCCAAGGGCGGCGGTGGAGCCATGAAGGAGCTCCAGAAGGAACTCGCCGACCTCCGCGTCACGGTCCGTCCTCCTCTCCCTCTCTTCCTCCTTCGTCCAGCAAGTGCAGCAGGGCGAAGGGACCTGACCTCTCGCCCACCCTCGTCTCGCAGCTCGCAGAATCCGAGGCGGCCCTCGTCGCCGCCGCCGGCGAGCGCGACACGGCCGTCAAGGAGCGCGACGACGTCCTCGCCGGTTGACCTGGCGCTCCTCAAGCCGTCCTGCGCAAGGAGACGGAGCGCGCGACGGCTCTCGAGAAGGAGATCAAGGCGCTTCAAACCCGGCTCGCTCAAGCCGACGAGCGCACGGCCGAGGCGGCCGCGGGCGCCGGGAGCGGCAACGAGGAGATGGCGGCGCGCGAGGAGAGGGTCAAGGAGATGGAGCGTCGATGCTCGACGATGCAGCAGGTGCGCTCTCTTCCTCTTCTCTCTCGTTCGACTCGCCGGGGAGCGGCGCTCACGCAGTTCTCTCGCGTGCAGGACGCCTCTAAAGCTGTCGCCGGCCTCGCCGACCTCAAGACCAAGCTCGTGCGCCGCCTCTCGCCCGCTCTCTGTCCGCCCCTCGTGCACTCACTCACTCTCGGTCGTGCTGCAGGCCGAGGTCGAGGAGCTCAAGGACCGCGAGACTCAACGTCGCACCCGCCAGCTCAAGCACGCCGAGGAGCGCGCCGAGCGCATGCGGGAGGAGCTCATCACGGTGTGGGAGGCGTCCAACCGCGGCCAGTTTTCTGAGGCGGGCAAGAACAAGTGCGTCTGGGTCGTCCTCTCTCGCCTCTCGCACAGCGGTCCGCCGAGAACTGATTCTTCTGCCCTGCCCTCCTCCTCCTCACCCAGGTTCGTCACCAAGGCGCTCGAGCTCGAGAACAGCCTTCAAGCCGCTCAAGAGCGCATCGTTCAGCTCGAGGACAAGGGTCTCGAGGGCAAGGTCGTCGCAGCCGAGTGCGTCCCCCACCCCTCCTGCATCCTCTCGACACGCACTGACCGACGGCTCGTTCTCGTCCGCAGGAAGATCGCCAAGCGCTTCTTCGCCATGATCGAGTTCCTCCGCATCACCGAGGCCGACGCCGACAAGCTCGTCAAGGACGGCGTCGCGTGGCCCGCTCCCGGCGCCGGTCCGCAGAACCTCAAGGAGCACATGCAGGCGCTCGCCATGGCGCCTCCACCTCCAGCGCCCGCACCCGCACCCGCACCCGCACCCGCACCGCCCAAGCCGGCGACCCCGCCACCGCCCAAGGAGGAGCCCAAGCCCGCTCCGCCGGCGCCGACTGCCGAGGACCGTGCCGAGATCAAGAACCTGGAGTCGGCGATCGAGGCGCTCGGGACCAAGGTCGACGAGCTGCAGCAGGCCGTCAAGGCCAAGTCGGACGAGATCAGCACGCTCGAGGCCGACCGCCAGCGTCTCGAGGACGAGGTCGCCAAGCAGAAGAGCAAGACGCTGCTCGCCGAGCGCGACGCGCAGGAGCGCAACGACGAGCTCATCCAGGTCAAGGGCCGCAAGGACAAGGAGGCGACCGACCTCGAGAAGGAGCGCACCAAGCTCAAGCACGAGGTCGACCGCCAGAAGCGCCGCGCCGACGAGGCGCTCGCCGACAACCAGAAGCTCGTCACCGACCACTCGAACGAGCTCGCCCAGATCGAGCAGGAGCGCCACGAGGCCGAGTCGAGCCTCGCGCGTCTCGTCGAGCGCCAGGACCGCACCAAGGCCGAGCACGAGGCGACGATGAACCAGCTCGTGTCGCGCATCAAGGCCCTCGAGTCGTCGTCGGGCGGCGGATCCGGCGCCGTGACGCCGAGCGACGTGTCGGGCACGCGCACGCTCGACAAGGAGCGCAACAAGCACCAGAGCGACCTCGCCTTCTTCCGCCCCAGGTCGAGGAGCTCGTCGAGACGGCGCGCATCAAGGAGGAGGAGCACGTGCGCCAGATGGACAGCAAGATCAAGGAGCTCGAGCTCCTCGAGGAGGAGCGCGACCGGTACCGCGACGAGGTCAACGCCGCCCGCGCCGCCGCCGACAAGAACGAGGCGCGCGTGTCCAAGCCCATGTCGCGTGCGGCGTCCCGCTCGGCGAGCCCGGCCCTCGGCGCCCCATCGACGCCCGAGAAGAAGAAGCCCGTGCGCGCCGACAGCAGCGGCGGCGGCGGCGGCGGCGACAAGGGCGAGGACCTTCCCTGGGCCCAGCAGCAGCAGAAGCAGGCCGTCGTCGAGCACCTCGAGAAGGAGCGCGCCCGCCTCGAGGCCGAGCTCGCGTCGCAAACGCGCATGGCCGAGGAGGCCCTCACCGAGGCGGCCTCGCACCGCGCCGCGCTCGAGCAGCTGCGCTCGTCGCGCGCGACCGACTCGAGCCAGTGGGACGCCGAGCGCCACCGCCTCGAGGTCGAGCTCGGCTCGCAGGCGACGCTCGCCATGCAGCGCGCGCGCGAGCTCGACGCCGAGCGCGAGCGCATGGCCGGCCTCGTGCGCCAGGTCGCCGAGCTCGAGAAGGAGCGCACGACGCTCCGGGGCGAGCTCGTCGCGCGCGAGAACGTCCACGGCGGGTCGTCGTCGGGCGTGTTCGCGTCGTCGGGCCCGTGGGACACGCCGCAGCAGCAGCAGCAGCAGCAGCACTCGAAGGCGGTCGGCGCCCAGTTCAACGGCCACGGCAGCTCCTTCATCGGTGCGTCCTTTCTCTCCTTCTCTCTCGACCACGTAGCCCACAGTCACTCACCCTGAGCGCTCGCCCGCAGACCGCTCGACCGCCGGCACGCCCGTCTCGCAGTCGTTCGTCTCTGCGCCCGGCATGCCCTCGTTCGGCAGCCCGGCGCCGTCGGCCATGTCTGCGCAGGGCGCAGCAGCGGTCAACGGCGTCGGCGTGTCGGGCCCGGTGCGGCTCCTCGTCGAGCACCTGCGCAAGACGAACAGGGAGCTCAACCACGAGGTCCTGTCGCTCAAGGACGAGAACAGTGCGTCTCTCTCTTTCTCTGCCTTCCCGAGAGCCTCACTGACTCTCTCTCTCTCGTGCGCAGTGACCCTCATGATGCGCCTCGCCGGCCTCTGAGCGCGGCTGTCGTCGGCTCGCGCGAGGAAGGAGGATGCGCGCCGACTCGAGGCTGTGCCTCTCTCGTCGCCCGTCTCGCAATGCCATTGGTCTTTCCTCGACTGTTTTCTCGTCCGTGTCAGGTTGCAGAGAGGCGCACAGAGTGCATGCAGCGAGGAGGAGAAAGTGAGAGACATCCAAGCTCGCGGTCGAGGCCAAAAGGAGCGCGCGAGCGGCCGCCCTCTCTTTCTCCTTCGTGCGGCATTTCCGTCGGCGTGCGTCCCCTTCCCCTCTCCTTTTCCAGCGCCCTACGCACACAAGCTGACCATGCCCCCCCTCCCACGCGCAGCTACATCCGTGTTAGTGAACCCCCAAGCACCTCGCGCCCTCGTTCTCGAGGCGCAGGAATTCCTCGGGCCCGCGAAGCGTTCACTGTCCTTGGTCGACCAGAGCAACCCTCGATCCTTGCCGGCTCGATAGTGGCTCGGACGTCTCAGCGCCCGATGCTTCGCTCCCGGTCGCACTCCGTCGTCGCCTCGCAAGGGCACGGCGCGAGGGGGAGCGGAGCGGGACGGCAGTCCTGACAATTCCCCCTTCCTTGTCTCTCTCTCTCGTGTGCGGTGGATCCTCGTGCGGCGGTATGGCGAGCGGTCGAGCTGGAGGCGGGTCGAGCCGAGGAGGAGGGAGCGAGCTGACCCTGCAACTCTGTTCGTCGTCCACCTCTCTCTCCCAGGCCTCAGTCCGTTTGCAAGGGCGCACGAGGGCACCATCGAGAGCCCCTACTGCACAGCACCGCAAGCTCGCGAGGCTTGAGCGACGCCGTCGAGCGCGAGATTCGACGCGACCACCTTGCTCTCCCTTCCGCTCGCGCCGTCTCGCCGCCGCAGCAGCACGAGCAGCCGCCGCTCGCTCTCGCCTGCTCGCCTGTCGCACACGCGAGCCTCGTCACGGCACCCGCAGGCGGGCTTGTCGTCCTCGCGCCTTCCACGCGCCCTCCCTCGCTCAACTCGTCGGCGCCCGTCGTCAGCTCCACCTCGCGCCGCCAGAGGCCGCCATGTCGCTCAAGCAGGAGCTGCAGGTATGGCAGAGTGCGCTCCAGGCGTTCGAGGCCGGCGACCATGCCCTGGCGCTCGCTCGCTTCGAGGCGAGTCGTGGTTCCTCATCTCTCTCGTCGCCCACGCCTCGTCCCTCTCATCGAGGAGCCTACTGACACCTCCAAGACTCTCTGCAGGAGATCTCGGACACGTCCAAGGTCGTCTTCAACATGGCGCTCATCCACGCCATCGGCGGCGAGCACGACCGAGCCGTCGCCCTGTTCGACCGCGCGATCGCGCTCGACAACTTCCTCGCCATCGCCTACTTTCAGTCGGGCGTGTCGCAGTTCCTCCTCGGCCGGTACGAGGCGGCGCGGCGTGACTTCTCGGACGCGCTGGCGGTGCGTCCCCTCATCTCGCTCTCCTCGTCCAGGACGACCGGCGCGAGCTCACTCGCCGCCTCGCGCCCGCAGCTGTTCCGTGAGAACCACACCATCGACTACGAGCAGTGCGTCTCCTCTCACTTCTTCTTTCGAGCGCCCTGAACTCACGTCTCGAGCGCAGACTCGGCCTCGACTTCAAGCTCTTTTCCTGCGAGGTCCGCTTCAACCGAGGGCTCGCCCTCATCTACATGGTGCGTCTCATGTCTCTCTTTCTCCTGTCTACTTCATCGACTCGAGCTCACGCAGCACGACCGCAGGGACGCCTCGACGAGGGCATGCTCGACCTCGCGGCCGCCAAGGAGGACAAGCAGACGGGCGAGCACGACGTGATCGACGAGGCATGCGCCGACCAAGCCGTCGTGTGTCCTCGTCCTCTTCGTCTTCCTCCTGTGTCCTCGAACGATCGCCGACAATCCCGCCTCGCGCCGCAGGGCTACACCGTCTTCTCGATCCCGGTCGGCATCCTGTTTCGCCCCGCCAACACCAAGCTGCAGAACCTCGAGACGCGCGACTACCTCGGCAAGGCGACCGTCATCGCGGCGACCAACTCGACCGACCTCTTCATCGGCTTCGGCGGCGCCAAGAAGCTCGCGGCGACGGCGGGCGTCGCTCCGCCAGACGGCTTCGTCCAGGTGGCCAAGCCGGGAGGGCGCCCGAGGAGGAGCAACACGGGCGATGGGCGACTCGAGCGTGCGCCGACGTACGAGCGCGGGTCGCCTGCGTCGGCGGCGAGGGGCGAGGGCGGCGGCGCGAGTTTGGGAAGGTCGCAGACGGCGAGGGCGCCCTCGGCCTTGACGGTCACGACGACCGTCTCGCGCAGCCGGTCGACGGCAACGAGCGGTCGCATCAAGCCGTCCGGGCTGCCGACGCCGCCCTCGTCGACCGCGAGCGCCCAGGAGGAGCAGGTCTTTCCGCCGCCGCCCAAGGGCCTCCTCCACGCCCGCTCCAACTCGTCGAGCCTCAACGGCTCGCGCACCCAGCGCTACCCCGAGCGCACCACCCCTCTCCGCAACGACGGCTTCTACGTCCCGTCGCGCCCTCCTCGTCCCACCGACAACCTCCACTCGCTCCCTCTCCCCTCGTCCGCCCTCACGCCCTCGCTCAGCGCCCGACGCGGCCGCAAGCCCGCCCCGATCGCGCCTCTCTCGACGCTCCTCGACGTGCCGCGCCCCTCGCACCCCGTCCCGCCGTCGCAGGGTGAGCAGCCGTCGCCGTCGGGCCAGGCGCCCGAGCGCGTCGCCTCGTGGGCCCAGGGCCAGCGGTCGAAGCACGAGCGCTCCGCGAGCAGCCCGTCCGCCCTGCCGACGACTCCGCGTGCCCCTGCGACCACGCCTGACGACGTCGTCGACGAGACGGCGCCGCAGCAGGTCAGCCCGTCGTCGCTCGCCTACGTCGCCGAGGATGGCGAGAGCGACCTCGGCGGTGTCGAGCCTTTTACGCTCGCGCGCTACGCCTCGGTCGCAAGCTCGAGCGCGGCGGCGGCGGGCTCGGGCGCGGTCGAGCTGCAGGTGCCGTCGCTCGCGGGCGGCGCGAGGGACCCGTCGCGCAGGATGGGCGCGATCGAGATGCTCGCGAGCGAGATGAGAACGGCGATGCAGCTCGAGGGGGCGCAGCAGAGGGGCGAGGCGGGCTCGGGCGGCTCGGGCCCGGCGAGGGAGCAGGAGGCGCTCGCGACGGCGGCCAAGATTCGCGTCAAGCTGCAGTACCAGGGCGAGACGAGGGCTCTTGTGCGTCCCCTCTCGCTTCTCTTTTTGTCATTGACGACGATACTGACCTTTCACGACACGCAGAACATCCCTGCCGACGCTGCTCTCGGCGAGTTTGTCGAGCGCGTCCGCCGCAAGTTCGGCAGCGAGTCGAACCTGCCCAGCAAGTGCGTGTCGCGCTTCCCCTCGACCCTCTCGACGCCTTCAGCGTCACACTGCTCATACTCTGCGTCTGCCACAGGTACCGCGACTCGGACGGCGGCCTCGTCTCGATCCTCGACGAGGACGACTGGGAGTGTGCGTCCCTCTTTCTCTCTCCTCCCTCTCTCTCGCTTCCCTGCGCGGGTCCCTGATCGTCCTCGTCGACTCGTAGGTGCGCTCGACACTGCTCGCGACCGTGCCGCTGGCGGCAAGTGCGGCGGCAGGCTCGACGTTGTCGTCGGCGAGGGCTGAGCGTGCGAGGGGGAGGAGGTGGGTGTTGTGCGGCTGGACCGCGCCGCTTGTTGTGACTTCTGTAGCAGTCCCTCTGTACCTTTGCTTTGCCAGATCAAGCTGTCGTGCGCTGAGAGGAACGAGCTGCCTCGCCCGCGCTCCTCCTCTCGCCTCGTCTGCTCGCGCTCGCTCTCCTCATCTCGGTCCATCTACGCGCGTGACTCGGTCGGCTTCATCGGTGTATCTGCGCATCTCGACACGGTCCTGGTGCGTCCTCGTGTTCTCCTCCTGTCGTGGCGAGGGTGCGGAGGAGCTCGGGGAAGATGAGGACGGAACGACCCCACCGCGGCGCGGCGGGCAGGCGGGAGTGCAGTTGGAACGCGCAGACGAGCACTGTGGACGAGATGGACCGCGCTCCACAGCCACTCGCGGCAGCACGAGCCTGAACTGACCCTCCTCCCCCTCCTCGTCCAACCTCCTCGACGCGTCCTCTCCTCGCCCTCGCAACAGATCGATATACTGCAGCGGTCGACACAGCCAGTAAGATGGCTCCCGTAGCTGTGCCCGGCGCACCGCCCCTCACCAAGCTGTGCGTCCTTGACCGTTCTCTCCCTCTCGACGAACTCGCTGACCTCGACCGTCCCCTCGCAGCGTCGACCCAAATGGCTACTTCGAGGGCCAGATCAGCATCGACGGCAAGCCTGTTGAGATCTACAAGGTCGAGCACAGCGAGCGCAAGACGACCTGCTTCATCGAGGCCGTCGAGGGCAAGGAGTACACGGTCAAGTTTCGTCGATTCGTCTTGCCAAGCGCTGTCAGAGCCTCGGTCTACGTCGACGGCCTGTTGTACGTCCGTCTACTCTCATGTCCTAGGCGAGCCCTGACAAGTCCTGCGCACAGTGCACGGTGCCACACGCTGCAGCTCGGCGACAAATCTACCTGGATCTGCGACGGCGTCCGCGTTTCGCCCGAGCATGTCCGCCCGTTCATGTTCCCCCAGATCGCGCTCACGGACGACCCAGATGCGGCGACAGCGACCGAGAACGTGATCAAGGCGCTCGGGGCGGTCAGCATCGACTTTCACCGCATCACCATGAACGGCAAGATGTGCCCCAGACGGGGCAGTGGCGGAGAGCGCAAGCAACCTGTGCGTCTCTATTCCTGGTCTTTCTCGTACCGTACTCTCCCTGAACTCTCACCTTCTCGTCTCGGCGCAGGTCGTCGACGAGCGCAGCAAGAAAGCCTCGATGTCGCACTCGACCGCGTGAGCTGCCGGTCCTGCATGTGCTCGACGTTATGATCGGACATACTGACACTCTCTCGCGTCTTGACAGATTCGGCGAGACCCCAGCTCAAGCCGAGGGCCCGGCTCTACGAGGAGTACAAGTGGATCGACCGCCCCGCCTCGCCCTACTACACGCTCGAATTCAAGTACCGCTCGAGGGACCTCCTCGAGATCGACAAGATAGTCGAGCGTGCGTCCCGCCCTCCCCTTCCTCCCTCGTCCACCTCGCCGACCCTGACGCACGGACCCCGCCCTTCCAGCTGCAGCCGAGCCCGCCTCGCCATCGCTCGCTCGCCGTTCCCCTCCTCTCCAGCCCGCCGTCGCCTCGACCTCGAACGCCAACGCCGCCGCCGCGGCCAGCACGTCGTCGTCGTCGGCGAGCGGCAAGAAGCGCCGCCAGTCGACGTCCGAGTCGAGCTCGACCTCGCGCGACCAGGAGCTGCAGGAGATGCGCGCCAAGATCGCCCGCCTCGAGGAGGAGAACTCGCAGTACCGTACCGGCGCGGGCGCGAGCACAAGCGGCGCCGTCAAGCGCGAGAACGGCGGCGACGAGGACGTCAAGCCGGCGTTCGTCAAGGGCGAGCCGATCGGCAAGACCAAGATGGAGAACGGCAGGATGGTCATCGACCTCCTCGACGACGACGACGACGACTGAGGGACTGAGTGTGCGTCGCAGTCTTTCCTCTCGTCCTCTCTTTCGAGAACCGAGTCCTGACCTCGACTCGACCCGCAGGCGCCGTCCCGACTGTACCACTCTCTCACGCTTTCAAGCCTCGTTCCCTCTCGTGTATTGTCCCACTACGCTTCTCCTTGCAACTCGAGTTGTTCTGTCCCTCCTTTGCAGCTCTCGAGAGCGAGAGAGACTGCCCGTCGTCGTCGTCTTCGACCTTCTCGACCCGACTTTGCTCGTCGCTTTCGGCTCTCAGCTCGACGGCAGGGCACAGGAGAGACGCTAGATGCAGGAGGATGTACAACAAGAGACGAGAGAAGCTTGGGGATGATCACAACAGGCCTCGGGGCGCGAAAAGGAGAAAAAGCGAGAAGGGTCGTGAGCTGCGCGAGGCGGCATGGGCTCGCGCTCGACGCAGTGAAGGACGGGAGCGACGTATCGCTCAGCTACTACGGGGCGAAAGGAGAAAGTCAGATCGAGCGCGGGGAGGAGAGGCAAGTGTTGAGAAAAGGAGAGACGGACCGTTCGTGAGGCTCGCGCACGCTGGGCGCGGTCGATTCGAACGAGTCGGCGCTGCCGCGGCGGCACATGGTCGACAGGAGGGGTGCGAGTGTGATGGTCTGCGGCGCAGAGGCGGTGCTGCTTCATTTGACGAATCAGAGCTCGGCTGCGACGAGGAGGAGAGGGGTCGAAGCGCGGACGCACCTGTCTTTGACCGGCGGGAAGGGGAACAGAGGGCGGCACCTCCACGGCCAAGGGTCACGGCCCTTCAAGGGCACAGGCGCCGACGAGCTTTGGGTCGCGAGCGGCGATTGCGCGGCGGACATGTCGGCCAAGTCGAAGCGAGGGGTGTCGAGGCCAGGGTGGACGTGCGGGCGAACCGAGTGCGAGTTTGACGGGTGCGAAGAGAGAGAGAGAGAGAGCTCGACAGCGGCGCCAGTGGCTCGGATGTCTGTGCGGAGGAGAGGTGCGGGGAGCAAGGAAACGAATGGAATCCGAGCCGGCAAGGGGTGGACGAGGTCGAGGAGCCGAGCGAGCCGACGCACGAGCAACGTGAGCTTTCTCGCTGGCGAGCTTGCACCCCAAGGCTTGCCCAAGGCTGGGCAAGGTTCCGCGAGCGAGCGAGAGCGTGCGACGCTGCGCGAAAGAGCGCGGTCGTCTCGCAGGGCGCACTCTCTCGAGCGAACCATGACGACCGCAGTTTCGATCAAAACATTCGCCGGCCGCGCACTCTCGGCAGGGAGGACGCGAGAGGGAGCGCTTGCTCGAGTCGCTCGCGCGGACGCTTGGTCACGGAAGAAGGCTCTGATTGAAGCGCGAGACGAGGAGGACGAGCACAACCGGGACGAGGGAAAGGAGAGGGGTGACAAGCGGTGACGAGGGGGAGGGGCAGCTACAGCAAGGCGGGCAAAAGGGGGGAAGGGGTGCATAGAAGGGACAGCAGGCAGGGAAGGTACACAAACGAGAGAGAGAGGCAGGGGAAAGGGGAAGGCGCGGTGCGCGCCTACTCGAGCGGCTCGAGCGCCGAGCCGAGTGCGCTCAGGCCGGCGATGGCGCCGACGACGCCCGTGACGAGGCCGAGGGCGAACGACTTGTACGGCAGGTCGAGGCGACGGCGCTTCGGAAGCGGCGCGACGACGGCGGCCGGCTCGGTGCCGACAGCGACGGTCGAGGTCGAAGTCGTGGCCGGGAAGGTAAAGTCGGTCTGCGCCGACTTGGGGACGCCGATCGGGAGCGACTCAAAGTCGGCGACGTGCTTGACGAGCGACGGCATCGGGTCGGCGCCATCGAGGTCGGTGTCGGACAGGCGGCGCTTGCGCGAGGTCGAGGTCGGCTTGGGCGACATGGTCGAGTCGGACACCTTGTCGAAGGCGTGCGAGGCCGGCTCTGCAGGACACAGGGGCGCGTATTAGTCGGTGCTGAGCCTCGACAAAAGAGGAGGAAGCAGAGGACGGACCGATGGTGCAGAACTGCTCGGCCTGGTCGGCCGCGACGACGAGCTTCTCGCTCACGCCGTCCTCCCACTCGGCGCCGTCGTCGTCAAAGCCATCCGGGTGGTCGATCTCCTGCGCGTCGACGTCCTCCTCGTCGAACGCGTCCTCGTCGAGGTCGAGGTCGGCCTGGTCGAGGTCCTGGTCGCCCTCGTCGAGGTCCGGGTCCACGTCCGACTCGACGATGCGGGCCGAGAGGCGCTTGACCTTAAAGAGGTAGTCCGACGAGGGGCCGATCGGGCGAATCAGGGGCATGGCGGGCTCGTCGACGGGCGTGGCGACCAGGGCCGCCGGCGCGTCGGCAGTCGACTCCTCGACCTCGCTCATCTCGACGACCGCGCTCGCCTCCTCCTCCTCGCTCTCCTCCTCCTCACTCATGTCCTCGTCGTCATCGTCATCGTCATCGTCCATCTCGTCCTCCTCACCGTCACTCTCCTCCTCGACCGAGCCGTCCGAGCCCTCGCTCAGGTCGACGGCGCGCGACTGCGCCTCGGCGTCGCGCGCGAGCTCGGGCGAGCTCACGCCGTCGTTGGCGATAGGGTCGTGGCCGGCCTCGAGGCTGACGAGGAGATTCGAGAGGATAGTGTTGAGGTAGGGCGAGCGAGCCAACGAGGCGATGGCGGCCTGGTCGAGCTGGCACGGCTCGAAGGCCTGCGACGACTGCTGCGGCTCGTCGTCGTCGTCGTCATGGTCGTCATCGTCGCTCATCATCGGGCGGGACGAGCGCGACGGCATGGGCTCGCGCGCGTCGTCCTCGCCGCGGTCGGACCACTCGACGTCCGAGTACGACTCGACGCGGATGTCGTCCGGCGTGTGCTCGGCCTCGAACACGAGCGCGTGCTGCTCCTCGAGCTCCTCGATGAAGGCGGCGACGCGCTCGCCGACGGGCGAGGCCGGGGCCTTGACGGCGGCGGGCGGGTTGTCCGAGTCCGACTCGAGCTCGACGCTGCGCTCGGCGGCCTGGATGAGGGCGTCCTCGTCGTCGAGCTCCTCGAAGAAGGTCGCGATGCGTCTGCCGACGGGCGAGCTCGAGATGGGCGGCTCGGGACCGTCGTCCTCCTCGCCCTTGCAGCTCGACATGGCCTCGCTCGCGAGCGGCTCGACGCTGCCCTCGGGGCTGTCGCCGATCAAGGACGCCGCCGACGCGAACCCCTTGGGCGAGCGAGTCGGCGACGGGAGCTGGCTCGCGGCCTGGCTGAGGAGGTCGTCCTCGTCGTTCTGGTCGCCGCCGTGCTGGGCCGGCCCGAGCCACGCGTCGTCGAGACGGCCCATGGCGCTGTCCGACTGGGTGTGCTCGGTCGTGTTGCCGAACAGGGCGGGCGAGAGCTGAGGCGGCGACGGCGTCCTGGCGGTCCCGCCGAAGCTGGTGGGCTCGGGCGGGCCGGGCGCAGCGCTCGCGAGGTGCGGGCACGACGTCGACGTGGCGCCCGACGAGTGGACCTCGGGCGAGTAGACGAGAGTGCGGCCGACCTTGCGCTGCGACGGGTTGGTGCTGCGCGGCATGTCGGCCTCGTCGCCGTCGACGTACGCCTGGTCCTCGTCGGCCGACGCGATCGCGACGAGCTGGAACTCGGGGCTGACGGGCGACGGCAGGCCGGTCGAGATGAGCTTGTCGAGCTTGGCGGCGGCGTCGAACAGGGGCGGGGAGCGCGCGACGTTGCTGTCGAGGTCCATCGGCGAGTGCGAGCGCGACGTGATGGCCATGAGCTCGACCGACGCCGTGTCGACGGCGGCGTCCTCGCTCGCCGTCGGCTCGATCTGGAGCTCGTCGAGCTCGGAGAGGGGGCCCGGGGCGAACGAGGCGACGGCGGGCGACGACTCGCGGCTGCTGAGGAGGTCCTCCTCCGACAGGCCGAAGCCGCGCTTGGACGACGACGGGCTGCTCGTCATCTCGACGTCGTGCTGGCCGGCGTTGACGATGTCGTTGCTGTCGAGCGAGGACGACTGCGACAGGCCGACGAACGAGACCCTGCGCGACGACTTGACCCGCTGCGCCTGGTCGTCACCGCCGAACGCGTCGAGCGAGCCCTCCTGCTCGTCGTCGCTGATCGACGACTCTTGCGAGCCGACCCGCCACGTGCCCTCGGTGACCGTGTTGCCGCGCGAGAGAGCAGTGCGGACGGGCGACTCGCCGACGTGACCCGGCTCGCGCGAGGCGTTCAAGACGGGCGTCGGCTGCAGCTTGACGTCGAGCGTGAGCGGCTGGCTGACGACTGCGGGCCTCGAAAGAAGTCAGTATGTTCCCTGCTGGAGCGCGGTCGTCGAGGAAGAGGTGACGCACCTGGCGACGAGCCGTGGCTGCGCTGCGTGACGGGGCGACCAAAGATGATGCGGTCGTCCGAGAAAAGCTGCGCGCCGAGGAGGAGGACCACGGTCAGTACGAAGAGAGCTCGGAGAGAGACAGAGAGACGTGGGACGCACTCGGTACGGCACGTCGGGCTTGAGCTTCTGCTGGTCGCCGTCGCGCACAAGGAAAGTGCCGTTGGTCGCGCCGAGGTCGGTGAGGAAGGCGTACTCGTTCTCCCAGTGGAGCTGGGCGTGCGTCGACGACATGACCTTGGTCGCGCTCGTGCGGAACTTGGGGCTCGCCGGGTCGAGGGCAGACGAGTCGGACTTGGCTCCGCGGCCGAGGATGAGGCGCCCGGCGGTGCGGCTGTCGAACTGCTTGACGGGGAGCCCGGGCGAGGTCGAAGGGTCGGACAGGATGAGGTACATGGTGGTGTGGCGCGCCCTGGAGGCCGTGATGTCGGGCGAGCGGCGGTGGCAGATGAGGATGGCGAGGTGGGGGAGGGACGCGTGAAACGGCTCGCGGCGGCGTGGGACGGGGGCGTACGCCTCGGCACTTGATGCTGGATAGCTTCGAGGACTGCCCACAGGTGAACGAGCTGTCCGGGAGGAGGACGGGGTGGTGCAGGAGTGAGAGGAGCTGGCTTCCCGATAGCTCACGCGACGACCGCTCGGGCTCTCTCGCTACCTCGTGCGGCCGCTGTGCTGGGTCAGTCTACCTCCTAAGATCGTGCTCAAGCACCTGTGCCCAAGCCCGCCGCTGGACAGCCTCTTCAACGAGGCGACTCGGGTTTTTGCACCGCCCCCCGACTTCTCCGCGCCAGCCTTCCTCTCTCGCTCTTCTTCCACGCGCTTGCGCTTTCTGGCCTCACCGCTAGCTCGATCTTACTCTGCTGCAGCTTGCCCAGCTGGCTGGCGGTCGCGCGACCGTCCGCCCGGCTCGCCTCCTCTTTCCCCCACTTTGCTCGCTCCTCGCGAGGACGCCGAGCCCGGCGTCCGCATCAGCGCCGCGAGCCTCTGCGACTCTCGCTTGGGTGGTCACACTCTGGACGAGGACGGCACCGCGCAGCCTCCTCGACCGCTCGCTCGCGGTCCCGCTGCCGTGCGCAGAGCAACGACTCGCCGACGTCGCTCTCTCGACGCGAGCGGCCACTCTCGCCCTCCACAGCAGCACGATGAGCTGGAGCGGGACACCGTCCGGCCGATGCGTCGACTCGGGCAACACGCGCAGCCATGCGCACCTGATCGGCGGCAACTGGGTCGACAAGAACGACCTCGCACCGTGAGCTCTTCCTCCTCGCCCTCGACGTCTTCCGACGAGCCACCCTGACCATCGTCCTCATTACAGCTCGGCGGTACTCTGCGTCGTCAGCTTCTTGGCCATCGCGGCGGTCGCGTGGACGTACAGGGAGACGAAGGTGCACCTCCTCCTCCTCTTCGCCTTTGCGCTCCTGTGTGCGTCGACTGAGAGCGCGAGCTCCCTCTCCTTCAGAGGCAGCTCGTTGACTGACTCTCGAGCCGGCGAACAGTCCTCGGCATCGCCTTTGCGATCCATGCCGCCCTCGCCAATGCTCGCCCGTCGGCCCGAGGTCAAAGCGCGGTCGCGTGCGAGCAAGCCTTCTTCCTCCTCGCCCTCTCGCTCCTTCTGCTCGGCCATATCCTCTTTGCCCGCACCTTCATCAACCGGGCGTCGCTCGTCCACTGGCCGAGCACGCTCCTGTACCTCGCCTGCGCCCTCCTCCTCGCCGCCTTCATCGTCGGCTGCGTCGCCCTCGGCGACCTACCGCCGCTCGACCCGTACACCTACTCTCCACCCCTCAAATACACGCAGGAGCGCATCGCGAGCGCCGTCCTCGAGCTCATCGTCGCGACGATGCACCCTCTCCTCCTCCCTTTCGCGAAACTCGTCGCACCCGAGCTGCCCGGGCTCGAGCTGGGCCTCCTCGTTCTCGCCGGGTGGTTCCTGTGGGTCCCGGCACTCTGTGAGTCGCACCCTCTCGCCCTTGCCGGAGCGAGAATCGCCCCCTGACCTCGCGCTCGAACCCCTCGCAGACGTCTTTTGCCTCGCGACGATCACGGCGGACGCCTCTCCTCTCGTCTGCTCTCAGGTACGCTCTCTCTCTCCCCCAGCCGCACCTATCGGGACAGAGACTGACGCAAGCACCGTCGCAGACGTTCTTCTACCTCGCCTTCTTCCTCTTCCCCTTCCTCGCCCTCGCCATCCTCCTCGGCCTCCCACTCCACCGCTGGGGCTTCACCCTCCCTCCTCGCGACCTTGTCACCTCTTACTCGTACGCCGCCCCGGCCGCGACGCACGCCGCCCTCGCTCACGAGGCGGCCGAGCTCGGCGAGGCGGCGGCCTGGGCGCAGCAGGAGCGGCGCCACGAGGCGGACGAGGGCGCGCTGCTCGACGAGATGAGGAGCGTCGTCGGCGAGAATGCTGAGCGTGCGGGGCTGTACGACGACGATGCGTGGAGCTTGCGGCTGCACTGAGCGAGGGACGTTCGGGCGAGGAGAGGATGGCGGCAATGGATCATAGTTGCGGCACGACCTCTTCCTTTGACTGCTCGACTACGAGAGGAGGCTAGATCGGCAGAGATGAGAGTGCGAGAGCGCGAGAAAGGGGGATAGAAAGACAAAGAGAGGGTCCATGCGGGAGGTGAAAGCGAAGGAGGGGGTCCGACTTGGGAAGGGGATATCATAAGGAGGGAGCGACCTACGCCGACGAGCTCGCTGCCGAGAGAGCGGACGAGACGATCGACGCGACGGCGCTGGTGGCGGTCGCCGTGATGGCCGACGTGGCGGGCGACGAGCCGGACACGGTCGACGCCGCCGAGAGCATCGACGAGAGCATCGACGACATGCCCGACGGGACGGCCGACGAGCCCGACATGGGGCCCGAGGTGGCCGTAGCCGCCGCCGCCGACGCCGACGAGGCGCCCGCCGTCGAGGTGCTGTTGGCCGGGGCCGACGCCGCCTGGAGGGCCTCGAGGAGCGTCCACGCCTCGGTGCCGATCGACTCGATGAAGGCGGGCGAGCCCGGGTACAGGTCGACGCCGACGGTCGACGTGTTGCACGCGTCGATAAAGGTGCCGTTGAACGCCTGGTCGAGGAACTGGTACGCGTCGCCGGCGTACACGATCGAGGTCGTCGAGTGGTCCGTGCCGATCGACGACATGAACTTGATCTTGGCGCCCCGGTCGCACTGCGACTGGACGTACGCCGGGACGGGCTCGTACGCGACGACCTGGTCGGTGACCGAGTGGTACTGGAAGACGGGGATCTCGACGACGCCGGAAATGTTGACCGGCGTCAACATCGAGTCGTTGAGCGGCGCGCCGAGGAGGCCGCCCTGGACGTAGCGTTGCGCGACCGAGCTGTTCTGGAAGTCGAGGCCGGTCGTGAACAGGCTCGAGACGTTGACGTTCGAGAGGACGTCGGCGAGCTGCGTGTTGCACATGGTGCGCGCCTCCTCGAACGCCCGGGTGCCGTTCTCGGTGAGGATCGTCTCGTAGTAGGCGTTGAGGTCCGGGTAGGCGTTGGCGAGGCCCACGAGCGAGCTGATGGCGAGGTAGCTGTCGTTGCCGCCGTTGAGAAGGGCGAGGGTCGAGGTCAGGTCGACAGGGACGCCACCGTACGCCGCAGCGATGACCTGTTGAGGGGAACGACGACAAGTCAGGGCGGATCTCGGGTGACGAGGCGAGGGGGAGAGAGAGGAGGACGCACGTTCAGGCCCTCGCCGTAGGTCGAGAGGAACTGGGTCGTCCAAGCGCTCGCGTGGCCGCCGCCCGAGTAGCCGTGGATGACGGCCGAGTAGTTGTCGGTCGACGGGATCGTCTCGTTGTGGTTGAGGAGCGCGCGCAGGCCGTCGATGCCGGCGAGGCCCTCGGTGACGCCCGAGATGAACGACGCGTTCGAGCCCTCGTGGTCGGGCACCGAGACGTACCAGCCCTTGCTGAGCGACGAGACGATGTCGAGCGCGACGGTCGACTGGAGGAAGCTCGTCGCGTTGCTCTGCCCGCCGTTCTCGAGCGAGTAGGCGACCTGGCAGTCGGGCGACGCCGTGTCGATCGGGGCTGCAGGGACAGGCTCGTCGTCAGTCTCCCGGACGAGCTCTCGACAGGAGGTAGGAAGAGAGAGAGAGGGACGCACCCATGAGGAGCATGATGCGAGGAGGAGAAGCCGGCTCAGCCGGGCGGAAGACGGTCGTGACCGTGGCGTCCGCCTCTCCCAGCGGGCTCGTCGTCTTGTACAGGACCTGGTACACAGACCTCGCGCCCATGTCGAACTGGGTCCACACGGGGCGAGAGTCGAGGACGGCGCCGTTGGCCTGCGACGCCCAGTCGCCAGTCGGCTGATAGAACGAGTCGTTCGAGGGGCGCAGCGGAGCGCCGTCCGGCCCGAGGGCGCGCAGCTCGAGGACCGAGCGCCGCGTGACACGACGCTCGCGCACTGGGGCGGCGTTGACGAGGAGGAGCGCCGGCACGATGGCGAGGAGCTGAGCGACGACCCGCATGGTGGTGGGAGACGAGGGGCGGCGGGGAGGGGGAGAGTCGAGAGGGCTCGAGGGCGACGCTGGGCGAAAGGAAGAGAGAGGGAGCACTCGAGGGGAGAGAGGCTGAGCGGGCGGGCAGCAAGACGAGGAGGGAGCGGCGAGCGAGCGTGGGGAAGGAGCTGAGCGAGCGCAGCGACGTCTGCTCCCCGCACGGACACAGGCACCGCCGCAATGCAGACACTCGGCCGCGAAGCCGACCTTTCGCAGGCCTCGGCGCGTCACGGGGAGCTTCTGAACCGGGTCTCACTCTGGCGGCCTTCTCAACTTGGGAGGCCTCGTCGTCCGGCTGCGGATTCCTCGAGCTGTGCTCCCGCTCGCCTTCCTCTTGCTCTCGAGCGAGAGCCTGCGGCACTGCGAGACCTGCATTGCGCCCGCCAAAGACCTGGACAGATCCATCTGCCGCCGCTTGCCCACGCGAAGGTCACTCCGAGTCCTCGTCGCCCCAAAGAAGCTCGTCGACGCCGGCGACCAGCGCGGTGCGCCAGCGCTCGATCGTGTCCGGCTCGAACCCGTTCTCGTCGTACCCGAGCGAGACCCACAGGCGTCCGGCAAACGTGTAGGCGAACAGGAGGAGGGCGCCTGGACGCTGTCGCGAGCCGGTCGTCAACCTGCGGGCCGTCGGGAGAAGCTTTGGGTCAGTACAGTCACGCTGCTCGTCGACGACTCGACGCCGTCGGGGACGAGTGGAGGTGGACGCACGTGTGGAGGTTGATCCCGTGGAAGTCGGCGTGCTTGTAGATGCCGTCGAGGTCTGTGCGCACGAGGACAGGGTCAGTTCTCGCCTCGTCGGCAGCCTCGACGTCGAGAGGGAGGAGGGGACGCACTGCCGAGCATCGACAGACCCATGAGCGCCGTGCTGGGCGCCTGTGAGCGACCGGTCGGGTCGACATGGACCTGCTCGACCATCTTCTCCCCGACGCTCTCCTGCTCCCCGCTCACGCTCGCCCCCTGCTCGTCCTCCTCCTTGGCGCCCTCGACGCCGCTGATGCCCAACCCGGCGAGCTTGGCGCCGGCCTCGCGCGCCCGCTTGTCGTCGTCGGCGCGCTGGAACCCGATCGAGCGCTGCTCGCGCTCGAGCGCCATGAGGGCCGTGCGCGGCGCGAGGAACGGCGACTTGGCGGCGCGGGACGTCTGCGCCTTGACCGAGAGGCACTGGTGCCAGAAGTAGTCGGCGGGCGAGAGGGAGCGAGGGACGAAGGACGGGAGGATGATGCTGCGGGGGCGAGGAGGGGAAAGGAGCGGCAATACCGAGTCAGGTCGTGCTCGTAGGTCCACAGCGAGTTTAGAGGGACATCTTGGGACGCACTTGAAGTAGCCGATCGCGATGTGGTACCAGTCGACCGGCGGGTCCTCCTTGACGAGCGACGGCCGGACGTTGAGCGCCGAGTAGAGCATGGTCGGCAGGTCGGGCTGGCGGCGCCCGTCGGCGACGGTGCGCACGTGCGCGAGGTTCGACAGCGCAAACATGGCGTGCGCGATCGTGACGCCGTGACGCTTGCAGGCGGCGAGGATCTTCTTGGTGTCGGCGGCGGACCACGAGCAGGTCGGGACGACGGTGCGGCGAGGCCCGAGGCGGGCTCGAGGGAAGGCGTGACCACCCTGTGAGACGTAAGGAAGAGTCAGGCTCGACTCGAGGCTTGTATCTTGCGGGGAGAGAGAGAGAGAGAGAGGGAGGAGGACGCACGACCAGCTTGCTCTGCTCGTTTTCGAACTCGACCTTGGCCGCCGCCCACGCGCGCGAGCCCCACCTCTCCGACAGGACGAGCTTGCTCTCCATCGCCGGGGCGAGCACGTGCGCCCGCGCGAGCGCCGCCGCCTCGTCGTCGTGCGACGCCGGACCTGCCGCTCGGACCTGCTCGCGCTCGTCCCGACGCTGCGCGAGGACCGCCTCGACGTTCTTCGACTGGACGCCCTCGACGTCCGATGGGCCGGCGAGGAGCGTCAAGAGCTCGTTGGCGGTCGAGTGCAGCGCCATGCCGTCGCCGATAAAGTGCGTCGACAAGAGGAACAGGTCGTATTCTTGCTCGGCGTCGAACGCGCGGTCGATGGCGCCGGTCTCGCTCGGCGCGAAGACGTCGTTGGACGTCGAGATGACGAGGTGGGCGAGGCGGTGGTCGGAGAGGAAGCGAGGGCCGTTCAAGTAGTCGTCGAGCAGGTCTGCGCACGCGGACGAGTCAGTGTGCGCCTCGTCGAGACCCAACCGGCCTTTCCCTGGCCAACGTTCAAGAGATGAAGAAGCTCGACGCACCTTTGCCCTCCTTGCCCGTCACGAGCGTGAGGTGCTGCGCAGCCTTGGCCCGCGCTTCTTGCGGGTCGAGCGGCGAGTCGTAGCTGCGAGCGGTTTGTGAGAGTCAGTGAGGCTCTCGAGGCAGGCAGAGCTCAGTAAGACGCACACGAAGCGGATGTCGTAGTAGTCCTCGAACTTGACGGCGCTCGTGAGGAGGACGTGCCGCCGCGTGATCTCGGTCCAGGCGTCGAGCACTCGTGCTGGCGCCATCAGGCTTGCGCGAGCCTTGAAGCCGAGGTGGAGGTACCTGCAGGTGAGTAGGAAGGATGAGCCAGGTGCGCACGAACGGAGGTGCCAGGACGAGGACGCACATGTCGTTGACGCCGCCCTCGAGAAGGTCGCCGCGCGAGCCAAGGTAGTACGACGCCTCAGTCGGCCCGAGACGGCGCTCACAGCGGACACGAGAGCAAGGGCCGTCCTCGCCGAACGATGGAGGCTGCAGGAACGTCTCCCACTGACTGCAGGAAGGAGGACAGGCTGGGTGAGTTTGGCGCTGGACAGCGCGAGGATGGGCAGGGGGACGCACAAGCTTCTCGGCCCCGCCCCAGTCTCGCTCTGGAAGCCGTTGTCGAGATGCTGAAACCCGACAGGTGGCTCGAGGGGAACGCGAGGGCCGGAACGCTCGAACGAGGGCTCGGGGAACGAGGACGACTTGGCGGATGCGGGTGTGGTGAAGGCGGTGCTGGCGCTGCCGAAGCGGCTGCTCGTCGAGGGCGACCCAGAGGTCGAGGCCGGACTGACGAGGCTGGTGCTGATGCCGGTGAGGGAGAGCGAAGGCGACCGGTCGGGCGAGGTCGACCAGGCGTGCAGCGGCGGCGAGCCCGCGCTGTCGGTCGAGGAGCTGCAGGTGGGTCCCGGGTCAGCCACGCGCATTCGTGTGCACCTGGGTGCGCTGGCAGGGAGAGAGGACGCACGAGCTGGGCATCTTGGGCGAGGCGGGGAGGAAGCGAGGTGGTGACAGGTGCGGTCGACGACGGGGTGCGGTTGGCGTGCGACGAGTCGAAGGTGCGGGCTGGGCAGCTCTCTGTCGCTGCAGCAACGAGCGTAGTGGAGAGAGGCGAGCGAGAGAGCAGGTTCGAGTTGAGCCCGGGTTGAAAGCAGGAGGCTCGAGCCCCATTGTCTCCCGACCGCGCTCGCCCCTTTATCGTCTGGACGAGTCTCTGAGTGGCTCGGCAGTTTTCGCGCGACTCGCAAGCTGCTCTCCAGCCTGCGTGCGAAGCCATTTGCTCCTCCTCGTCGCGAACAGCTCGCTCGCTCTCTGTGCCGACCGCGAGCCGAAGTGCGGGGAAAGGCCAGTTTCGGCGCCGAGCTCGAGCTGCTCTCCCTCTCTCTCTGCTCGCAACCACAGCAGCTGTGTACACTCTCGCGCGCTCGCGAGAGATGCTCGACAGGATTAGCGGCTCGCTGCGAGCAAGCGCCTCGTCCGGCTCGCCCGCGCCGGCGCACAATTGAACTCCATCCGGGGCGCACGCTCCGCCCTCGCTCCCCTTCTTGCTCTCGCTCTCTCTCTCTCACTTTGGTGTGCATCGCCACTGGCTGGCTCGGGCACCTCTGCCCGGCCCCTGCGCTCGTTCTCGCACGGTCGCCACGCCCTCGCACCTCGCCCAGCCGGCCTCATCAGTCAGGTGCGCTCGCCGCCTCTCCCACACCCGCTCACGGCCGCCAACGGCAGCCGAGCGCGAGGGTTGGAGCCGTACTGCGAGCAAAACTGACCTCGCACTCTCCTGCAGTGCGGCACGCCACCCAGACTCGTTCGCCAGCCGCTCCGCCGCCGACTCTCGCCATGCCCCTCCCCTTCCACCGCTCGCAAGCGTCGCTGTCGGCTCGCCGGGCCACGGCCGACACCGATCACACGCGCAGTACCTCCCTCTCCCTGTCGCCCGTCTCGCTCTTCCCCTACTCGGAGAAGGACCCCTTCCTCTCGCCGACGACGCCTCGCTCCTCGCCTCCCTCGCCGCACACCTTCCACCCTACCTCGCCCGTGTCGCCCACCTCGCACGTCTCCGACCACGAGTACGGCGTCGCAGCGTCACCCGCGTCCAAGCGGCGGCGAGACGTCGTGCAGAAGGGCATCCTCGGCCAGGTCCAGCTGCCGCCGTCGGCGAAGCGGACGAGGACCTCGACCTGGCTCCTCCTCGCGTCAGCGACGGCCGTCGTCATCGTCTTTGCCGTCTCGCTGAAGAGCACGACGCTCGGCGAGTCGAGCCTCGCCGGGTACAGGTCGAGGGCGAGCGAGAAGCTCGTCGAGCTCGCGGCGGCGCAGGCGAGTGGCGGCAGCAGTTGGGCCTCAGACCCTGTCGAGGCGAGCGCGAGTATCGAGGACGCGGGCGGCGAGATCGCCATCACGGCGCTGCCCCGTACGCGACGACCCGACCTCGACGACCCCGACGCTCGTTACCTGGGCTTCCTCCCGCATTCGGGCTTCCACAACCAGCGCATCGCTCTGTGCGTCCCCTCCTCCATCATCACTCTCGGACGAGACTGACTCGCTCGAGCCCGCAGGCAAAATGCGCTCCTCCTCGGCAAGGTCCTCAACCGCACCGTGTGCGTCCCCCTCCTCTCGCCCGTCCTCTCCTCAGCCTACAGTAACTGACGAGGCTCCCTCTGCAGCCTCGTACCGCCTGTCTGGATCGGTACGCAAGCCCTCGCCCTCTTTGCAGGAGTCGATCTGACCTCGAGGGCCCGTGCGCAGGCTGGCCCACGCCGACGCAGTACTACTCGGACCTTGTGCGCCCTCTTTCGCTCTCCCGGCGCGCCCATTCGACCCGACCTGACGACCCTCTCTCGCCGCAGCGCCAGTCCTGGCTCGACATCATGCTCACCAACCCGTCGTCGTTCAACCTGAGCACCGTCGCGCCCGACTCGCCGCTCAACCCGCCCGCCTCGTTCACCTCCTCGGCGACGACCTACCCGTGTCCGACCTGTATGGCCGACAACTCGACGTTCCTCGCCGAGGTGCAAGCCGCCGCAGCCGCCAAGCAGAGCAGGTGGCACGACGCCGGCTACGAGACGCGGCCCGATGGCTATCCCGTCGTGCCCGGCCTCAAGTTCGAGGACTGCAAGAGCTACTCGCCCGAGTGCCGCTTCACGTACCGCGACACGTTCCTGTCCTGGGACTTTCTCGTCGACCTCGACCGGGCCCGCGCCGTCGGCGTCGACCTCGTCGACCGGTGGGACCTGCGCGAGCGCGCCCTCGTCGAGCAGCTCGGCGTCGCCGAGTCGGACGTGTACGTCGTCGAGGACCGCGAGACGTACGACTTCCAGTTCAGCGACCGGCCCGAGGCCGACGCGCCCCTCATCGACGACAACCTCACCGTGTCGCACTACAAGCGCGTCGTGTCGCTCCGGACGCTCAAGACGCTCGAGCACAAGGTCGTCCTCCTCGGCTCGCTGTTTGGCACCGGGCGTGTGCGCACGTACCACGAGCCGCAGGCGCACGAGTGGAGCGAGGCGTTCGGGCAGGCCATGGCTTTCCGGTACGTCCCACGTCGCTTCCCTCTCTACCTCTCCTTTCCCTCCCTCGACCTCGCACGACCTGACCTCGTCCCTCGTCCCACGTGCGCAGCAACCCGTGGCTCCTTCGTCCCGCCGACGCCGTAGTCGCCCGTCTCGGTGGGCGCGCCAACTACGTCGGCGTGCACGCACGCGTCGGCGACGGCGAGTTTGCGCGCCGGGCCCGCCAGAACATGGAGCGCGCGTGGCGCGAGCTCGTCGTGCGCGAGATGGGCGTCGACGAGGCGCTCGCCGACGAGATGTGGGACCTCGTGCGGCCGAACGTGGTCGTCGGGAGGAGGAGAAGCGAGCGGGCGAGGGTCGGTGCGGCGGCGGACGAGGCGACGTCGAGCGCGCCCGACGGGCAGGACGACGCTCGCGTCGAGGCCGACGAGCACGCACAGGGCGCGCAGCTCGACCGCCGCGGCCTCCTCGACGAGGCCAAGTCGTGGCTCCCCTCCCTCGACCGCACCGCCACCTCGCCCTCGTCCCGCCTCGTCAACCTCACCTGCCGCGCCCCGCTCCACACCGACCCACGCCTCGAGGCGTTCAACGTCCCGCTGTACCTCGCGACCGACTCGCGCACGCCCGAGCACGACCTCAACCTGCGCGCCTTCTTTGGCGCGTTCCCGTGCACCTTCGTCCTCGACGACTTTGACCGGCCCGACGTCGAGCGCAACGACGGCGTCGTCGTCGACAGCGTCGCGCAGATGGGCCGGCTCGTCAACGGGCTCGACGGCGTGCCGCTCGGGCGGCTGTTCCTCCCGTTCCTCGAGGCCATCGTCGCCGCCAAGGGCCGCCTCGTCGTAGGCACCGAGCACTCGACCTTCTCCTGTGCGTCTCCCTCTCGCTCGTCGTCGTCGTCGTCGTCGTTGTGCAAGAGCGAGCCCGCACTGACCTCGTCGCCCGCAGCGTTTGCGTCGACGAGCCTGCACGACGCGTACTGGGCCGAGTGACGGCGGCAGCGTGTGCAGCTTGGGAGGAGCAAAGACACTTTGTACCAGTCGAGCACAGCGAGGAGCAACGAGCTGCAGCGGTTTGCCCTTGCGACCGGCGAGAGAGAGAGCTTGGGAGAGGTAAGAGGCGAGCGCAGCGCGACGAAGGTTCTGCTATTCGAGTCTAGACCGCGAGTTGGTATTGAGCTTAGGCGCGAGGCCGGGGCTCAATGGAAAATCTGTATTCGCCTCGCGCCCCGGCTGGCTCGCCGCTTCTTTGCTTCCTTACCCTCACTATCTCTAAACAACAAGATGGCTGCTCAGAAGAAGACCGCTGTGCGTCCCCTCTGCCTCGTCGACTCGTGTGCGCCATCGACGCGAGCAACACCTGGCCACGCGCCACCGCCGTCGCCCCGCTCGTCCGCCGCCCACGTCGTCCGCCCGCCAGCCCTCTCCTCCCCTCCCTCGCTCGCCTCCCCACACTCCGCCTCGTCGCGCCAAATCAAAACAAACTACCACCTCTCCGAGCACTGTCCTGACACGCACACTTGTTCTCGTGCTGCAGGTCGTCAACGCCATCCAGCACGTCGCGAGCCTCCACAAGGAGCTCGCCAAGGCGCACAAGCAGGCGACCGTCGCCGTCCTCGAGTACGCCGCCGAGCTCGAGGAGTCGGGCGCCGACAAGTCCGCCCTCGCCACCTTCCCGTCGCTCTTCCCGCTCGACGAGGGTGTCGTCCCCAAGAAGCGCGGCCGCGTGAGTCGTCCCTCTCTTCGTCCCGGTCGCGTCCCCCTCGTCCCTCCTCTCGAGCGAGCACGCACTGACACTCGCCCCTCACGTGCCCTGCAGAAGTCGGTCGCTGGCGAGGACGGTGACGAGGTCGACGGCAAGAAGCGCCGCGCCCCGAAGGAGAAGAAGGTCAAGGACCCGAACGCGCCCAAGCGCCCGGCGTCGGCCTACCTCGAGTACCAGAACTCGGTCCGCGACGACTTCCGCACCAAGTACCCGAACGACACGTACGCCGAGATCCTCAAGCGTATCGGCCAGACGTGGCAGAACTTGCCCGAGGACGAGAAGGCCGTGCGTCCCTCTTTCTCCTCCCTATCTCCCTCTCTCGCTCTCGTCCGGGCGCACGTGTTCCTCGCTCGTCGAGACGGGCAGCACGGCATGCTCCTCGCAGCGTCCGTCGCGAGCCTCGACCATCGAGCCGGCGCCCCCACAACCCGTCAACCCGCACCGACCCTTTCTCCTCCCCTTGCCCGCCCGCAGCCGTGGCACGCCATGACGGCCGGCAAGACGGCCATGTACCTCGACGCCAAGTCCGAGTACGAGAAGACGGACCCGACCAAGGTGTCGCCCGCCGAGCAGGACGCCGTCGCCATCGCGACCGAGCCCAAGGGCAAGCGCCCGCGCAAGTCCGAGGCCGCCGCCGACATCCCCGTCGACGCGACGCCCAAGGACAAGAAGGCCAAGACCACCAAGAAGGCGAGCCCGCCCAAGGCTGCGACGCCGGTCCGTCCCTGCTTTCCTCCCTCTTTCCCGACCCTCCTCGTCCTTTCGTCGCTCGACCCTCTCCCCAGCTGCCACGGGCACCGATCACTGACTCGCCTGCCCTCTCTCCCTCTCCCTCCCATCCCCTCAGTCTGCCTCGTCGTCGGCCGCCGGCTCGTCGTCCGAGTCCGGGTCCGAGTCCGAGTCTGAGGCGACCCCGCCGCCCAAGAAGGCTCCCGCGTCGAAGAAGGTCGCCAAGGTCTCGAAGAAGTGAGCCGCCTGTCGAGCTCATGGCGGGACCTTCATCTTGGTCGAGCAGCGGCGAGGGTTGGGCGAGGAGGAGATGGCGAGCGAGGAGGGTGGCCTCGCGCCTCTGTGCCTTCTTTTGTAGTCGACTCGCTTTCTTGAGATACCCTTTTCAGTACCTTTCTCTCTCTCTCTCTTCCGACGACGAAAGATGTCGAGAGCGCGAGAGGCGAGAAACAGCCTGCAGCTCTCGAGCGAGAAGGACACGCTCTGAGGAACGAGGCTTGCGATTGCAGGACTGACGAGGCGACGGAAATGAAGCGGGCACGGAGGGACTAACTGAGAGAGAGGGGAGAGAGAGAGAGAGAGAGAGAGAGAGAGAGAGAGAGAGAGAGAGAGAGAGAGAGAGAGAGACGAGACGAGACGAGACGAGACGAGGCAGTGCAGGAGAGGAAGGCGAGAGAGGAGGTTCGAGCGCTGCTCGCCCTCACTCCTGCTCGCTCATGGCGACCGGCTTCTGCTCCTCCTTCTCGTCGATGACGACGTTTTTGACGTCCTCGACGACCTTGGCTGTCGGCGAGTCGCCCTTGCTCGTCGACGCGTGCGGCATCGCCGACGAGTCCGAGTCCTTCTCCTCCTCCTCGTCCGCATCCTCCTCCTTCTTCGGCGCCGGGGCGCTCTCGACAGCTCCGGGCTTGCGGTCGGGAGTCTTTCTCGGGCGCGGACCGCCCGACGCCTGCGTACCGAAGAAGTACGGGCGGGAGGCAGCGCGCATCTCGGACGAGACGTGCGAGCCGGGACCAAAGGAGAACGGGGCGGGAACGGCGGCGTCGGCCTGCTTGTCCTTCTTGCTCGACGGCGTGTCGCGGTGGAATATGCCCCCTGCGCGCGCACGAGCCTCTTGTCAGTCTCGCCTCCCTCGAGCGCCTCCGAGACGAGGGGTAGGGAGGTAAGGGAGGAGGGAGGCACTGAACGCCGCCTGCTTGTCGGTCTCGCGCTTGGCCTCGTCCTGGTCGAGCTTGGCGAGCGCCGCCTTGACGGCCGAGTCCGGGTTGGTCGTCTGCAGCTCCTCGAGGAGCCGCTTGCCCTCCCAGATGCGCCCGAGCCCGATGAGCGCCTGCCCCTCGCGGGACTTGGCCTTGAGGCTGGTCCTGTGCAAGTGAGTGCACGATCCACGTCAGTTAGGCCGTCGTGAACACGCGGAGAGAGACGAGGGGAGAGCGAGCCGACGCACTCCTCGTACTTTTGCGCCGCCTTGGCCGACTCGAGGGCACGCGACCAGCGCTCCTGCTTGACGTAGATGGCGGCCGAGTTGAGGTACGTGTTCTTGAGCGCGTCCTTGATCTGCTTGTCCATGTTCTCGTCGTCGGGCTGCGTCTTCTCGGGCGCCTTGAACTGCTCCTGCTTGGCCTTGCCCTTGCCCTTGACCTCGACATCGCCCTCGTTGTTACCGTCGTCCTGGCCCTCGGCCGTCTCGAGCTCGTCGCTCTCCTCCCCGTCGCTGGCGACGGGCGATGCTGCGAGACGAGGGGGAGGGTCAGCTCGCGAGAAGACGAGACGAGACCCGGCTGGAAGGTGAGACGCACAGGTCGTAGAAGTCGTCGCCTGGGTCGTGCCGCCCGCAGGCCAGTGCACGCCGCGAAGCGCGGCGAGAACGGCGTGGTACTTGAGAAGCGCGCCGCGGTAGTCGCCGCTCTTGAAGAGCTCGTTGCCCTCGAGACGCGTCTGGAACGCTTGCAGGATCGGGTGCTGTGGATGTGCGAGAGGGGAGAGTCAGTCAGGGCTCGGCAGGTCGTGTGAGTGAGGCCGCCCTCGTCGCCGTCCTCCTCGCTCGCCCGTCTCGCCGCTGCCGCGCTCGTCTTGGGCCTGAGACGGCGGTAGCGACGCTGCAGCACCTCGAGTGACCATCTGAGACCGTCTCGTCCAGCTCCCACCTGCCATGCTGCCGCCGTGAGCCGTCGAGCCGGCGAAACTGATGACGGCGTGGGAGGGGAGCGTGCGGGAATGAGAGGAGGGCGTGGGACTCGCCTTGGCTGCGTCGGTGGGCTGCGCCATGAGGTCGAGTGTGCAGTCGCAGAGTCGAGCAAGCAGAGCGAGAGAGCGAGGTGAGAGGGAAGAGGACGAGACTTGACCGTGGAGGCGAAGCGAGCGAGGAGCCAGGTGTCGCACCTTTCCCTCGCTCTCGAGCTCGCCTGGCGTCGTGGTCGAGAGCATGATTGCGTGATAGAAGTGATGCGCAAGTACAATATGCAGGGTCTGTCGCCCCATCGAGGGTCAAAGCGCCGTCGGTCCTCCTCCTTCTCCTCACGCGGTCGCCGCCGCCCACACAGCGACGCCGAACAGCGCCGCGACGCCCGCCCCTCCTCCCGTCGCCGCCACCCGGTTCATAAACACCCACCGGTCGAGCCCGGCGTACCGCTCGCCGCCGCCGACCTGCGCGCCCTTGGTCCCGTGCGCCGCGACTCCCACTCCTCGCGAGCCCGACCCGCGCATGATGCGCCCGCACCCGCACTGCTCGTCCCTGCAGCGAGTCCCACGCTGCGAGTGGAACTCGCCGTCGAGAGGGCGCAGGTACCACCCGCCGAGGAGCCAGAGCCAGGGCGCGAAGAAAAGGAAGCCGGCCTGCAGGCGAGCGAGAGGCGAGTCAGTCGTCGTCGCTGTCGATAGGGAGCGAGAGAGAGAGAGAGAGGAGGACGTACAAGGAAGGCAAGCTTGGCGGGCACGACCTCGTCGACCCACCCACTCGGCGCCTGGAACCACCCGCCCAAGTCGTCCCACCACGCGACCGGGCTCGCCCTCCTGCTCCTCGCCGCCGTCTCTCCGTCGCCGACCGCCGCCGCAACGTCGACCGTCGCCTCGACGGGCGCGCCAGGCGACGCCGGCTGGGCGTCCTGCGCCGGCGCGCCCGCACCCGCAGCCGGCGACTCGGCGCTCGAGCCGTACCCGGCCGCGCGCAGCAGCTGCACCTTGACGAGCCGGAGCGGTGCCGGGCTGAACGAGAAGGACGGGTCGCGCTTGATGCCGCCTGGCCCGGGCGACGGCGACACGAGCAGGTGCTGCGGCGTCGGGATCGAGGGCCCGGCCGCGCTCGACGACGTCGCCGACGAGGGCGTGTCGGTCTTGTGCAGGAAGGGGAACGAGGTCGGACGCGAGTCAAAGTGGACCGACGGGCGCGAGGCGGGAGGAGGTCGAGAGGCGAGGTCGGCGCTTGTAGTCGAAGCAGGGCCCGCCGCCGCGAGCGAGAGGCGGCGCGAGAGGCGCCTCGACGGCGACACGGTCGGGTCGACGCCCGAGTCGTGCGACGACAGCGTCGACGAGCTCGTCCCGACCGAGCGCGCGCCGTCCTCGCTCGGACGCTCCTCGGCGACAGGTGGCGGTCGTGGCGGCGAGATCGACAGCGACGGGATCTTGTCGTGGCGGACCGAGCGGCGCCGCTCTGCGACAGGTGGGAGCGACACACGGCGCACGTTGTGCCGCAGGGGGACGAGCGGGAACTCGTCGCGGGCCTCGGCGTCGTCGCGCTCGCCAAAGTCGAGCCCGAGGCCGGCGAGCGCCGACGAGCCGAGGCGGTGCGGCATGGGCGGCGTCGTGTCGTCCGAGTCGAAGCAGTCCTGGAACAGGGGCGTGTCGTTGGGCGTCGACGGCGCCGTGCGCACCGTGCTGTCGTGGTCGTGGTCGCCGTCCGAGTCGAACATGGGCGACGCGCCGGCGAGCGAGTCGATGTCCGAGTCGGCGACGGTCCCAGCCGTCGCGGCACGCACTCGGCTGCCGCCCGTCGTCGCCGTCGCCGTCGAGCGCGCAAAGGCCGACACGGGCGACATGAGCGCCTCGGTCGAGCGCTTGGTCTGCTGCAGCAGCCGCAGTGGGAGCGGGAAGCCCCGGCTCTGCGACGGTCTCGACGCGTGGCCCTGCTGATGCTGCTGCTGGCGGTCGGCGAACGTCGGCTGCGACAGCGGCGGCGCCGAGCGCGGCGGCTCGCGCCACAGCGCGCCCGTCGTGTTGTACGCGAACCCGGCGCCGTCCTGCTCGTGCTCGTGCGGCGGCGACAGGGCGTCGAAGCGCGCGACGTGCTCGAGCGGCGCCGTCAGGGCGTACTCGTCGTGCTCGTGCTGCGCGCGCGCACCCTCGAGCGGGCGCTTGCCCTGCCGGATGACGTGCCGGCGCACGGCGTCGTACTCGGCCTCGTCGTCGCCCTCGCCCTCGCCCTCGCCGCTGTACCGCCACTCGCCCGCCGTCGAGCCGAGCGCGCCGATCGTGATGGCGACGTCGTGCGCGCCTCGGGCGGCGTCGGCGTCGGCGGCCGCCTTGAACTGGGCGCGCAGGTCCACGGCGCTCGTCGCCCGAGCGTACCGCGCGCCAACGAGCTGCCCGCTACTGCTGCGCACCAGGTCGCGCTCGGGGATGTCGTGCACCGCCGGGCGCGGCGACGAGTGCTGCTGCACCTCGATGCCGACCCAGTCGTGCCCGCCGCCGTCGTCCCGCTCGCCCTCCCGCTCGCCCTCGCGCTCGTGCTCGTGCGCCTCGACGACGAGCTCGTCGTGAAGGAGGGACGAGCTCCCCCGACTGTCGCGCTGCGCACGCTCGAACGACAGGTCGAGGTCGACGTCGCTGCTCGTGCGGTGCGTCGACGAGCTGCACCCGCCCTGGCTGTCGGCCCGGGCCTGGGCCGCCTTGAACGCGGCGAGCGAGTTGTGCGCGGTCGGCGGGGCCGGGTAACGCGGAGCGGGAGGCGGTGCTGGCGGGCGGGCGAGGGTGGAGGAGGGGAGGGCTGGAAGGGGCGACTCGGGTCGGGGGAAGGGCGACGGCGCACGCTGTGCGTCGTGGTGCGGCTCGGCGGGCGATCGTGCGAGGTGGCGCAGCGGCTTGGCCGGCGGCGGGACGAAGAACGGCGAGGGCATAGGGTCGCTCGCCGACACGACGAGGTCGCTCGTGGTCGAAGCGTTGCTGACGACCGACAGGGCCGAGTCGCTCGTGTGCAGCTTGGGGCGCGCCACGAGGCCGAACCGTTTCGACAACGACGACGACGACTCGGCGGCATCGTGCGCGAGGGCGGCGTGTGCAGCGGGCGGGCCTTTGCGCTGCACGTCGGTGAGCGGACGGCGCACCTCGCCGCCGGACGACGACGGGGCCTCGTACGGGAGCGGGTCGGCGGTGAAGGCGATCGTGACGCCGGTGAGGGACGTGTACGACTCGGTGGGGCGTAGCTCGCGCGGACGGGGGCGAGTGGTCATCGAGTCGAGATGAGGGAGGGGAAGGAGGAGAGGGAGAGGTCGAAAGTGGTGGGGAGAACGAGTGTGTCCCTGTAAGAGGGTGGGTTAGCTCGTGGGAGGTGCAGAGTGGCCTGTAGGACGTACTGGAGGCAGCCAGGTGCTGGTGACAGGGTCGAGAAGACCGTTGCGAGGTGAACAAACACGGGTCGAGGCCGAGAGGGCGGCGAGGCGGGCGGGAAGGCCTGCAGGCGAGTGGGCGGGGACGCCTGGCTGTCGAGGAGCAGTATCGACACGTCGGGGAGCAGGGTGTCGAGCGGGTGGAGGAGCAGCTGGACAGTGCGACGCCGCTCTCCCTCGTCGTGGCCACTCTCGCGCACGTGACCTCACACTCGCTCAACCTCGAGCGTCTCTCGCTCAAGACTTGCTCGACAGAGCCAGTTGCACGATCCTCACGGCGCCGGTACCGCCACCGCCGCCGCCGCCCTCTTGCTCCTCGGCACGGGCCTCCCCTTCTCTCCTCCCGCCCTCCTCGCCCCCATCCCGAATCGTGGCGTCCACTCGCCGAGCCCCTTGTCGCTGTAAAAGTCCATCGGGTAGTCCTCGTCGCCCTTGCGCGCGCCCTCGAGCCCGCGCTGCTCGGCATCGCGCCCCATGTCCTTCCACCCGCGCGCGCCGTCGACCCCGAGCGCGACGGCCGCCTCGTACGGCGACAGGAGCGGGCGCGAAAAGGCGTAGCCCCAGTCGATCGAGAGACGGGGGCACGACGTCTGGACAAAGGTCGAGATGCCCTGCAGGAGCGAGAGCTTGGCCGGCGACAGCTCGGAGAGGAGGATCGGGATGAACGGCGTCGACGACGAGGTTGACGAGGGCGTCGTCGTGGAGAGCATAGTCGACGACGTGGCGGGAGGAGCGTCGAGGTGGCGGGTGACAGACTGTGACGAGAGGGCGTGTGAGCGGCCAGAGCGAGAGAGAGAGAGAGAGGTGAACGAGGAGAGGCGGACGCACCTTGAGGACCCGCAAGTTTCCCTGCCGCCCAAGCGTCCCGAGCACGACCGCCCAGCTCTCCTTGTCCTCCTCTGCCCTCCCGCGGTTCTCGACCAGGCTGTCCCGCGCCCTCGCGACGGCCTGCCCGCGCACCTCGCGCATCTCGGCGTGGTCGTACAGCTCGCGCGTCAACCGCTTCGTGTACGGGTCGTACCGGAACGCCGGCACGAGCGGGTTCTGGATCATGATCGACTCGAGGTGGAACCGGCCGTCGCCGACGTAGCTGCAGAGGCGCGCCAGCGTGGGTGAGTGGCTGTGCGCACGCTCGACAGGGCGAGATCCAGGACGAGAGAGGGAGAGGGTGACGCACAGGAGAGCGTCCGTGTCGGCTGCGAGCTTGGGCGCCGTGCAGCCGAGAATCTCGCCCGGGCTGAGCGGCTTGACCTGCGGCACGACGACCTCGAACCTCGGGCTCGCCGCCGCGACCTCGCTCGAGGCGCTGTTGCCCTCGCCGCTCGCACCGCTCGCACTCGACGACGACGACGGCGCGGCCTCGATCGCGAGGCGCTGCGCGTCGAGCTGCGCGTCGGCCTCGAGGTCGGCCTTGAGCCCTTGGACGGCGGCGACGAACTGGATCGTGCCGACGACGGCGAGTTTGACCGGCGGCGGGGCCTGCACGGGCTCGTCGGTGGCGCTCGAGGCGTCCTGCTGCGGGTTGCGCGCGCCGCAGCATGCGCCGCCGGACGACGGGGACGAAGTCGACGACGACGCCGACGAGCACGCGCAGCCGCCGGCGCACTTGGCCTGCGACGCCGGCTCGATGGAGATCTCGAGCTCGGGACCTTTGCCCTTGGCCAAGGCCTGGTTCGACAGGGCGCCGGCACCTCGAGGCGGGATGCAGGTCGGGAAGTTGAGGCGCACGGTGCCGGCGAGGTGCTGTCGGTCGACGCCGATCTCGACAAAGACGTACAGGGTCTTGATGGTGGTCGTGTCGACGGGGACGAGGCACGAGTGGCCGTAGTGGATCATCATGTCGCACCCGAGCGCGCGGGCCGTGTAGTCGTCGATGCAGCACGCGCCGTACGTGACGTCGCCCATGATGACGCACTCGGCGCCGGTGAAGCGCTCGAGGATGTCGACGATGGCGCAGCCGTACATGGCGAGGCCCTCGGGCATCTGGAGGGCGACGCGGGTGGCGCGGTTGCGGAGGATCTGGGCGACCGACTTGGGGATCTCAAAGTTGTAGTTGCTCGGCAGGAGGTGGTGGATGGCGGCCTCGAGGAGCGGGTCGACGGGCTGCTGCTGCTGCTGCTGGAGGGCGCTGGCGGCGACGACCTTGTTGGAGGACGCCGGCGGGCGGGACGAGGTGGACGAGCGGCCGACGAAGCGCTTGCGGGCCGGCTTTGGCTGGGCCGGCTCTGAGGCTGTTGGTGGAGTGTCTGGCTGCATGGTGCGAGTCGACTCGTGGCAGCCCTGGGTGGTGGGAGAGGAGAGCAGAGGTCAAGCTCGAGAGGAGATGAGATGAAGCCGGCTCGGCCCTCCTGCTCTCGCTCACGACGGCAGAAGGCTTGCACGACAGCTCCAGAGCCACCTCCAGCTCCATCAACCACCCGTCATGGCCCCGAACGTTAAGCAGGCCGCGCGCTCTGCCGACACGGGCACCTCGGTCCGCGCTCGCTCTCGGCACGACCCGCAAGACCCGACCCGCAAGACGGTGTACAAGCCCGTCCTCGCCAATCCGCTCACCGTAGACTGGTGAGCACCTTCCCCCTCCCACCCACCAAGAAAGAGCGAGAGCTGACCTCTCCTCCTCGTCGCCCGCCCGCAGGCCTCCGCTCCCCGCCTCGGTTCGCCGCGCCATCCTCGACCAGCTCCTCGCCGTACTCGCCGACTCGACCACCAGCTCGGCCAAGTCCATCTCGGACTGGCGCCTCGACGAGCACGCCCGCCGCCGGGGCAACTCGCGCCGCGGCCTCGGCGACGTCGAAATCCAGAGCAAGGACAAGGGCAAGGGCAAGGACGCGCCGGCCATGAGCGTATCCAGCGACGACAACAAGGTGACAGCGCCGACCGTCGCGACCCACACGCTCACGACCCGCTCGTCGTCGACCTACTCGATCCCTTCCTCCCAGCCGCACCCTCCTCCTCCCACCTCCGCCGCGCCCTCCGAGCTCGCCCCGCCCATCCTGTCGCACCTCGTCCTCGGCATCAACGAGGTGACGCGCGCGCTCGAGACGCGCATCCGCTGGGGCCGCTGGGATCTCGGCGACCGCGACGCCGCGCCGTCGTCGTCCCTGTCGCTGCCGCCGCCGCCCGAGCCTCGCGCGGGCCGCCACCGCCGCCGCAAGTCGACCAAGGGCAAGGACCAAGGCGCGGCCCCGGCCGTCATCCCGGCCTCGGCTACCCGCCCGGCGCCGCAGCCCCTCCCGCTCGCCGACCACCCGGCCTACGCGTTCCTCCGCTCGCGCCGCACGCCCAAGCCCTCCCTCGACCGCCGTCCGCCGTACGTCGTCGTCGCGGGTGACGCGCAGAGCGAGCGAGGCGTGCGGCTCCTCGTCAACTCGGACGCGCGGCGCGTGAGCGGGTCGTCGGCGCGAGCAAGGACGGCTGCGGTGGATGAGGGCGCGCTCCTGCCGACGCAGCCGAGCGCGGCGGCTCCTGTCGTCGGCAACGGCGACGTCGACGTTGCCGACGCGATGGACACGGACGTCGAGCCCGAGACGAGCGCGCCGGCGCCCGCACCCGCAGCCGCGCCGACCCCTTCCCCGCCGCCGACTGTCCCCATCGTCGACCTCGTCCTCGTGTGCCGCCCCGACATCAACCCGCCGTCGCTCGTCGCCCACCTGCCGACCATGGTCGCGGCGGCCAACGGCGTCCAGAGCGCGCTCGACGGCGTGCTCGCCTCGAGGAGGAGCGAGCGGGAGGCGGGCAAGGGGGACGGCGAGGACGAGAAGAAGAAGGGCGCAGCGAGGCCCGAGATGCGCAGCGTCAGGCTCGTGCAGCTCGATGTCGGCGCTGAGCGCAAGCTGGCCGATGCGCTCGGCCTGAGGAGGGTCGCCGTGATCGGGCTTTCGGTGCGTCTCTCCCTTCCTCTCTCTCTCTTCATGCCGGTCGACAGTGACTGACACTGGATGCACACTGCAGTCTCGCGCACCTGGAACGGCGCCGCTCCTCGACCTCATCGCCTCGCACCTCCCGACGCCGCTCTCGGCGCCATGGCTCGTCCCTCATCTGCTCCACCCTCCCTCTTCCGCCTCGACCACCGCCAGCACTGCGACTGCCACTGCCGCACCGACGAGCCGCTTCGCGCCGACGGCGATCAAGCACCTCAAGACGTCGGCGCCGCTCAACCCGCGCCAGGCCGTCGTCGCCAAGAAGGAGACGCGGCGCCGCAAGCGGGAGGACAAGGCGGAGCGGCTGGGCAAGAGGCGCAGGGGCGAGGATGGGGCGAGTGGGAGTGGGAGCGCGAGGGAGAGCGAGGTGTACGTGGCGGAGGACTGAGCGGCGCGAGAGGGAGTGGGAGCGGGAGGAGCGAAGAGGACGAGGTGCGCCCAAGTTCCGCCGCAGCCCTCGTTCGAGACTCGCCCGCTCACTGAGTCCTCTGTGTACACAGCGGCTGCACTGCATCGCCCATCATCATCCGCAAGCCCGCTGTCACGCCGCCGCATGTACCTCGAGCCGCTCGCACCCCTCTTCTCGCTCGGCCCCCTCCTCCCCCCTCTCTCACGCTCAATGCGCCGCAAACTCTCCGCCGATCGACTCGTCGCACGCCCCGCTTTGCTGCATGCCCTCGTGTGCCGGGCACACGGCGCCGATGCGCTGCGCGAGTCGGTCGAGCGAGGACAAAGGAGGGGACGAGGCCTTCTTTCTTGTCGGGGTGAGCGAGGGCTCGTCGGCCTCGCCGCTCGCCTCTTGCTTCCCTTCCACGCCTCTCTCCCTCTCGCGCGCACACGAGAAGCGATGCGCCCGACCGAGCTCCTCGCGGCCCTCGCGGCCCTCTCGCCGCTCTTCCTCTCCGCCTCAGCCTCGTCCCCGACCGCGCACGAGTCGTTCTCGCCCGTGCGCCTCGAGCGCCGCATCAGCCCCGTGGGTACCGTCGCTGTGTCGTCGTGCGGCTTGAGCAAGTCGAAGCACCAGCTGTACCTCAACCCGCTCAAGGGAACGTGCGTCGCGCACTGCCCTTTCGGCCACTACGGCGTCGAGCGCGCGTCCCTCTTCCTTATCTTCTCCCTCTCGAGTAAGAGAGACTGACAGACGTCTTGCGCGCAGAGACCAAGACGTGCATCAAGTGCTCGAGCGCGTTCAACTCGGCCGTCAAGACGTGCGACAAAGATGGCGCAAAGAGCTGGTACGCCCGCTTCTCCTCGTCCCGCTCCGGCGTCGTGCGCACCTGACTGATATCGCCGTGTGCCGCAGCAACACGTCCAAGAATGGCGTGCCGTTCGTGCTGCAGGACAGGCAGTGTGTCTGCCCGCTCGGCACGACGCTTTCAGGTACGTCCACACCTCTCCTCGCCGCAGCGCATCATACTCACTGCTCACTCACGCAGCTGGTTCGTGCAACACGGTGCCGGTCGTCGTGCCGGGCCAGACGACGACGACCACGACTGCGGCGACGTGCGTCGACCCCTCCCCTCTGTCTGCCCGTCGAGCGCACCCATCCTGACGACCACCTTGCACCGCAGTACCACCACGACCTCGCACACCTGCACGGCGACCTCAACGGGCGCTACTAGCCCTGCTCCCTCGCCGACAACGCCGCCTGCGCACGACGGCTCGACCTCAAGCTCGTCGAGCGACGCCGAGACGATCACGGTCACGCTCGACGACGGCGACACCATCACCGGGACGACGTACGTGGCGCTTTCTCTTCTTTGACGGTCTCTTTCGGCAGACAAGCCGACACTGACGACCTCGTGCCGAACCAGGCCCGACACGCCGACGCCCGTCGAAGAGCCCTCGACGCCGACCGCCGACTCGTCCTCGTCCACCTCATCCTCGAGCAGCTCTACAACTATCACGACGACAACGACCAGCATGACAACCTCCTCTTCCGCCGCCGCCGCGCCGACCCCGACCGTGCGGCTGGTGCCCGGCTGGTCGTACCAGGGCTGCTGGCGCGACCTCGCCTTTGACGGGCACGTCCTCCCGAACGACCTGACGAGCAAGGCGGCTTTTACGCCCGGGTCGTGTCTCGCTGCTGTACGTCCCTCGTTTTTCGCAAGCGCGCGAAAGCGGCCTTCTCAAGTTGGCTCACCTCGGTCTCTGTGCCCGCAGTGCGCCACAGCCGGCTACGCGATCTGCGGCCTCGAGTACAAGGTGTGTCTCCTCTCTCTCTCTCGCTCCCGCACGAGGAGGACCGAGCGCTTACGAGCCTCTCGCGAACTCGCAGGGCGAGTGCTGGGGCGCTCCCGGCGTACCTCGCTGGACTGAGCCGGTCGACCACTGCAACCTCGCGTGCAAGAATGACCCGACGGCGATCTGCGGCGGAAGTGCCGCCCTGACGGCCTACGTGTCCGAGTCGGTGCGTCCTGCGCTCGCTCGTCTTCATCAGGTTCAGCTCCTCGAAGCGGCGCACTGAATACCTTTTGCCAAGCAGATCCCGTGGGTGGAGCCCGTCAGCAACGAGCAGCTTGCGAGCTATGGCGACTACACGTACCAGGGCTGTGCGTCCTCGCTCTCGCGCTCTCCCTCTTGGGCCCGCCCTGACTCACGAGCCGGTTTCTCCTCGCCCGCAGGCTACGCCGACCTCGTCGTCAACCGTCAGCGCGTCCTCCCTCGCCAGCACACCAACGCCGAGGGCCGTGTCGAGTCGTGCCTCGACTTCTGCGCGTCCAAGGGCGCCTCGTACTGCGGTACGTCCCTGCCGCTCGGACCCCTCTCTCCTCGCACGACACGCCCTGACGCACAACTTCTTCCCTGCAGGCCTCGAGTACTACGGCGAGTGCTTCTACGCGCTAGCGGGCGAGTCGCTCTCGGTCGCGTCGACACCCGTCGACGAGTCGCTGTGCAGGTTCAGCTGCAGGGGCGCGCCTTCCGAGGACTGCGGCGGCAAGGCGAGCTTGTCGCTGTGGAAGATGGCCGACAGGGTGCGTCTCCCTTTTTCTCTCTCTGCCTCTCCCGGGAGCGCTGAGCGAGACTGACGACCTCGATGCGCAGGCTCCTCCCGTCGCGACGGTCACCGACTGAGCGCGATCGTTTCCTGCCCTTCCCTCTCGTTCAGCCTCTCTCTAGTCTCTCGATCTCGTCTTTCCCTCTCGTCGTACCCTTTGTGTCTCTCTCTAGCTCGACTCGCGGAGAATCTGGTGCAACATGATCTCGTTCCTCCCCTCGTCTCGACGATCCGAGCAGTTGCTACTCGACCCTCGCGAGCGTGACGGGCGCATCGGCGTACAGAGAGATCGAGAACTCGGCGTGCACGCCGGGCTGGAAAGTCGAGGGGACGACGAGGTAGCCTGGGAGAGAGAGGGAGGAGGGAGCGTGAGCTCGAGAGGCGCGAAAGAGGCTTGAGAGAGAGAGGAGGACGGACCATGCTCAGTGGGCTCGAGGCGAGTGAGGGGCAGGACGACGCCGCAGACGGCGTCCGAGTAGGCGCCAGACGAGGCGACCTGCTGCAGAGGCTCGCCGGTTCGAGAGGCGGAAAAGAGGGAAACGGCGATCGGGCGAGGGCCTGCGGGCGTCTGCAGCCGGACCCTGTTGAAGTCGAGAGAGGGAGGTCAGTAGAACATCTGGAAAGGAGAGAGAAGGGAGAAGGGGGCGCACTTGACGCTCGTCGCCCTCGTCACTCGAAGCGCGAACCTCGGGTTCCGCCTCAACGCGTCCTTGCCGCCGTCGCAGCCGTCCGACCAAGCGCCCCTGGCCTGCCGCGCGTACATACCTGCACCCTCTGGCGGTACCGGGGCGAGCTCGACGGGCAGGCTCGAGCGCAGGACGAGGGAAAAGTCGGCGAGGTGGCGAGGCTGGAAGGACGAGACAACGAGGGTGTAGGAGCCGGCTGTGTGCGTCGAGATCGGTCAGGTCGTCGGTCGACATCTAGTGAGAGAGAAAGAGGGACGCACGAGCGACGTCGCGAACCGAGAACGAAGCGCGCCCGTGAGCGTAAGTTGACCCTCCGCCGACCACGTCACGACCCTCGAACCTGCGCGAGGAAAGGTCAGGACCTGCGTCTGACGTCGGGGACGAAGAGAAGGAGAGCGGGACGCACTCTGCGATTCGAGCGCCACCTCGAAAGAGGAGCTTGACGTTGATGGGCGAGTCCTTGTCCGTCTCGCCGACGACCTCGAGCGTCGCCTTTCCTCCTGCGGCGCCCGACGACGACTTGATCGTGACGCAGTACTGCGGGTTGTGCAGGAACGTCGGGCAGGTGTGGTTGCCGCCGGCGGTCGCCGTCGTCCAAGAGCCCGTAGTCTGCGCGCGAGGACAGACAAGGTCAGGCTCTGCTCGAGTCGAAAAAGGACGACAGAGGTGGCTCACCTTGACGGCGTGAGGAAGCGGTGCTGGCGGCTCGAGAAACTTGACGCGGCTGTTGCTGTAGGCCGACAGCGTGAAGCGAAAGTTGGGCGCACGTCCCTCGTGCGAGACGACGAGGTCGAATGAGGTCGCGCCGGGCTCGGGCAGAAAGCGGTACTGCGCGCGAGGCAAGGTCAGGTTGTGCGGCTCGACGAGGAGTGAGAGGGGACGCACCAGGTCGTTGAGGTTGTCGTGCATGGACGCCTGCGGGCTCTCGGCGAGTCAGTGCTCGGTTCTGCAGGCAGAGAGGGAGAGAAACAGCGAGACAGACCGAGTCATCGAGCCGCAAGGCGTCGTCCGAGCCCGTAAGAGACATCGAGCTCCTTGCGACGCCGAGGCCGATGTACTCGCCCTTCTCGAGCGGCGCGGTCGAGTGTCGGGCGAGAAAGAGCCAGACCTCGGACGGCAGTGCCGGGTCGGGCTCGACCTCGAGGCGGATGCGCTTGACGTGTCGGTGTCCTGGGGAGGAAAAATGTCAGGACGATGGGACAGAGTCGCCGAGGAAGAGGGACGGACTTGATGCGGCAGAAGAGGAGGCCGAAGCGGCGGTCGAGGTCGGTGCAGAGCTGCGAGATGAATCGTCAGGACACGGCCCTTCTGTCGGTGGTCGCAGGGACGCACAGATGTGCTGTTGCGCTGTTGTCGAACGTCGCCGGGTCCCAGTTGACGTGCAGGGCGGCAAAGTGCGCCGGGAGCGACTCCCAGTCGACGACGAGGGGTTGAGGTCCTGCGAGCGACCGATAGTCAGTGTCCGCAGAGGGACATACAGCTCGAAAGAGGCGAGGGACGCACCTTCTGCGCCGTCGCGTGCTTCTCGCAGGCCCGACGTCCAGCTGTCGTTGCCCGAGACGGCCCGCCACGGGTTAACGATGACGAGCTGCCGCACGCCGCGCTCCTCGCGCACATCTGCGGGACGTCGCGACTGTCAGGCCTGACGACGAGACAAGAGAACGGCGAGAGACGAGGGGACGCACCGATGACGGCGTAGTCGTGCGACGAGACGAGCCCGAGCGACGACGAGCCCTCCTCGACGACCTTGCCCGTACCGACCGTCAAGACGCAATGACCTGGTCGAGAGGGTCATCAGGACGTGTCGCGCCGACCTCTCGGGGAGAGAGAGAGAGAGCGAGACGGACCGAGAGAGAAGCCGTTCCGGATGCGCTGCCACGCCGCCTCGCTCCGGAGGCCCGTGCGGAGCGGGATCGTCTCGGGCAGCCAGCCCGACATGACGCTGCGTGCGTGCTAGTCGTCAGAGGGGGCTCGAGGAGGAGAGAAGCGAGAGTGGGGCGCACTAGAGGTCGTTTGCCGAGTTCCTGCGGGAGCGAGGGAGAGGTCAGTTTCTGCTCGAGCGAGAGGCGGAGGAGCTCACGCACGAGCCGACAAAGTCGTAGCCGCCCACGAGGGTCAAGTACTGCGTCGAGGAGAGGAGTGTCAGTCACGGAAAGGCTCGCGAGCAAAGAGAGGGGGACGCACCGCCTTCTCGATGAGCGCCGGCCACAGCTGGTCGTGCTCGCTCGTCGACGCGAACATTGGCCGACCAGTAGATGTGACAGGAAGGCGGTCATCGATGTCTGTGTCGCAGAGGCACGTCAGTACGGCGCGGGCCTGAGCCGTCGAGGCAGAAGGCGACGAACCGAGCTGTCGGCGAGGGGAAGGGGTCAGTGCGAGTATTCGACGCGAGCTCAAGGCGGCGCAGGTGGACGGACCCGTCTCCATGTGCCGTTGACGAGGAACCGAGCGCGATACCGGCCGTCTCGGCTGACGATGGGCAGGCCCGACTCGTCTTGAGGAAAGAGGCACGACAGGGCGAGCTGCGAGCGCGAGGCGAGGTCAAGGACGGTTTCGACGACGAGCGCGACAGGCCGAGGAAGAGGGACGCACCTTGGACCGATAACGAGCGTGGTGCTCTGCTGCGGCGATGAGCGCGGCGACGACCGAGCAGTCGGCCACGTTGTCCTGCACGACGTCGGTCCCGCGCACCGAGTCGCCGACCATGATCGCTCCAGGCAGCGCCTCGCCGCACGGGACCCAGGTACAGCCTGCTGCTTGTTGAGCGGGCGAGAGAGGCGGTGGCGCCGGTGCGGGCCTGTGTGCGGCAGACAGGGTCAGCTCGCTCGAGGAGGAGGAAGCGAGAGGTGGGCGCACCCTTGGGCTGTATGAACTTGAGCGCCCGTCCATCGTCGCAGTCTGCGACCACAGACGGTCGCGCCTTGCTCGATGACCGAGTCCTGCTCCTCTGTCGGGCGCACGAGGATCAGCTCGCGCTGCTTAAGGAAGAGAGGGGGGAGAGAGGGTGCGCACCGAGCGATAGCGGGTTCCTCTGGACGGGCTTGATGTCGTTGTTCCTCGCACGCTTGATGCGCTCTGCACGCTCGACGAGCTTTGCCGACACTGCGCGGAACTTGGTCTTGGAATCGGGGTCGACGATGTGTCGCACGAGGAAGAGGTAGGTGTGGGCGGCGGTGATGTAGGCGGTGAAGGCGGCGTCGTAATCGCGGTCGAGCTCGAGCTTTGTGGCCCTGGTGGCTGTGGCCTGGTTGCGCGGGCAAGACGAGTCGGGATGAGGTGGGGGAGGAAGGGCAAGGATGAGAGCGGGGGCCGCACCTGAGCCTCCTGGTACTTGGCGGCCCACTGGTCCTGCGTAATGTGGTCGGCCAGCTTGAATCGCACGGTCTCGAGAGATGAGCAGACGGTCGAGAGCTCGTTCGACGAGGACCAACATCTCGTGTCGCTCTCGCTCACGCCGCCACGACAGCTCTGCGGCCAGGCCGAGCTCTGCTACCTCCTCAAGACAGGTCTTCCAAGGTCCACCGGCCAGCGCTTACCCTCACCCTGGGCCCCAGCGACCTCGACCTCCTCCCTCCTCATCTCATCGCTCGCGCAGTACTACAGCTCGTCCTCGACCCCAAGCGGCCCGTCTGACTCGGCCAAGACGGTCCAAATTCCTCAAAAGGGCTGCCGACGCTCTCGAAACTGCCGTTCGCCGGCATTCGTGCGCCGCGACTGCTCACGATGAGCTTCTGGTCCAAGGTCCGCACTGTCGCATGGGTGCGTCGCGCGTTCTCCTTGTTGCCTGGACGACACCTGACGACCTCGAACTACAGGGCACCCCGCCGGCGACCAAGGCCGAGGCCAGGCTGCTCGTCAAGATCGACTGGTCCGTCCTCCTTCTCCCTCTCGAGCCGAGCCCGCCCTGACTCTGTGCTGCGCAGGTTCATCCTGTCGTTCATCTGCCTCATGTACTTCTCCAACGTGCGTCGTCAGTCCCAACCTAGCGGTTCGCCCCGCCCGCGACTGACCCTCGCACCCCTCGGTATATCTCTCTCTCTCTCTCTCTCTCTCTCTCTCTCTCTCTCTCTCTCTCGCACCCCTCGGCAGTACCTCGACCGGGCAAACCTGTCGGCAGCGTTCGTCAGCGGCATGAAGGAGACGCTCGACATGAAGGGCAACGACCTCAACCGCGTCAACACGTGCTTCACGGTCGGCTACACCATCGCCATGATCCCCCAGAACCTGCTTATACAGTTCGTCTCGGCGCGCATTGTCTTTCCCGCCATGACCGTCACCTGGGGCTGCCTCACGATGGCGACGGCGGCGGCGCAGAGCACGAGTCACCTCTGCGTCATCCGCTTCTTCCAGGGCATGGCCGAGGCGAGCACATTCGTCGGCGCTGTGCGTCCCCTCACCCTCTTACTCCTCCTCATGTTCCTCGACTGACTCTCCCCCTTCCTCGTCCTCCTCGGCAGCACTACATCATGGGCTCGTGGTACCTGCCCGGCGAGGTCTGCAAGCGCGCCGCCATCTTCAGTAGCGCCGCCCAGATCGCCACCCTCTTCTCGGGCGTCATGCAGGCGCGCATCTACACGTCGATGAACGGGCTCCACGGGCTTGAGGGCTTCCGGTGCGTCCGACTCTTTCTCTCATACGACGAGGAGCCAGGCTGTGGGCGGGCAGAGTTGCATCCTGACACGCAATTTCTCGACAGGTGGCTCTTCCTCATCTGCGGCGCGATCACCGTCCCGATCGGCGTCTACGGCTACCTCTTCTTCCCCGACACGCCCGTGCGCAACCGCTCCATCGTCTTTAGCCAGGTCGAGCGCGACCTCGCCGTCTCTCGCCTGCCGCCAGAGCCCAAGACGAGGCTCGACCGCACCGCCTTCCGCCGAGTGCTCCTCAACTGGCGGTGGTGGGTCATGTCGCTCATCTGGTGCGTCTCGCTCTCGCCTTCCGCTCCAATATTATCGTCTGTCGACGGCGGACTGACGAACTCGTGGCGCGCAGGATCGTCGGCGGCGAGCTCGAGAGCATCGGGTCCAACGCCCTCATGGCGCTCTGGATGAAGCACCAAGTCGCCGTTGGCGCCGAGACGTGGAGCGTGCCCAACATCAACTACTTTCCGCAGGGCGCGACAGCCGTCTCGGTCGTGGCCCTCCTCGGCACCGCCGTGTGGACTGACTGGAACGGCAAGCGGCACTATGTCAACCTGCTCATTGCCGGCGTCATGGTCGTCTCGGCCGTCCTCATCCTCGTGCAGGACAAGATCGGTCAAGCAGGTGCGCTCCTCGCCTTCCTCTCTCTCCCTCTCCCCGAACGTACCCTCCTCTTTCTCTCGACGCCGTCCTGACGCCCTCTCATCTCCTTACAGGCGTCTTCTTCGCGTTCTACATCGCCGGCGTCTCGTACGCAGGTCAAGGTGCGTCCCTCTCGCCGGCGAACCGAGAGGAGGACCGGGCGCATGAGCCTCACGAGCTTGCCCGCCTGCTCATGCCCCTCTACAGCGTCCAACTTTGCCTGGGCCAACGACCTGTGCCGTCACGACAACGAAGAGCGCGCCATCGTCCTCGGTTCGTCCGCCTCTCTCTCTCTCTCGACCTCCTGCGCCATCGCTCCTGACCCTGTCGTTCCCCTTCGCCGACCTCTCGCAGCGAGCATGAACATGTGGAGCAACGCGTTCAACGCCTGGTGGTCCATCCTCTTCTTCCCTGCCGACCACGCGCCGAAATGGGAGCGCGGCATGGTGCGTCCTCGTCCTCTCGCTCTCGGACCCTCTCGCGCTCTCGCCCTCTCGAACGTCGCTCACCTCGCCCTCGCCCTCGAACGCCTCACAGATCTCGATCATTGTCCTGTGCCCCATCTTGGTCGTCTTGACGTCCCTCGCGCGGTACCTCCAGCTGCGGGACGAGCGCCTCGGGCTCGGCGGCGCCGCTGCCGGTCCGGCTCTTCGCGGCGGCGCGGCGTCGGCTCTCGGCGCCGAGCTCGACCAGAGCGACAAAGCGTGCGACGAGGAGGACGAGGACAAGGTATCCCGGTCGAGCGAGGGCGTCGAGAAGGAGCGAGACGACGGCCGAGGGGGACGAGCGTCGGCTTGAGCAGGCTCGTGCGGGCGGTGGACCGTGGTGTACTAGATCTGGACCCTCTCGGGTAGAGCTTTCCCTTGCAGTCGAGAGGCGTCTCGTGCACTCTGTGGGCGAGCCTTGGAGAGAGAGAGCGCGCTCGCGAAGCTCTCGAAGGACCTCTCAATCGAGCGGGCGAGGTGGACACGACGGAGGTCTTTGCATGCGACGAGGAAGGGGGGTACGGCCAAAGTTCAAGTGGATACAGCGTCACGAAAGGGAGGCGCGAAAGAGGAGAGGCACGGCGAGGGTCGAGTCGAACGAGGCGAGGGGAAGGCGAGAATAGGGAGGCAGGGCGAGGACGTCGAGAAGGGGCGCGATGCGAGGTGAGGCGGGTGCTGGAGCGCGACGGAAAGTGGGAAGGAGACGAGTGTACAAGGGCGAGAGAGGGGCGAGGGGTAGTGGGCCTGCCGAGGGGGCAGAGAAGGGGGGATTCCGAACTTCCGGCGGGCGAACCTGGAAAAACCGAGGCGACGGGGCTGACGAGAGAGAGGGGACGGACGGCGAGTCGACGACGGTCACTGCTGCTGCTGCTGCTGCTGCTGGTCGAGGACGAAGAAGCCCTGGACGGCGTGCGCCGCCTGGTTGTGCTGGTGCTGGTGCGGGTGCAGGTGCTGCTGCTGCTGCGACGCGAGGAGCGACGTCGGCGGCGTCGCGCCCGTGACGCCGAGCGAGTTGCCGGCGAGGGCGACGCCCGCCGCGCCCGACAGCTGGGCGGCCACCTTGAACAGGTTGTTGCCGCGGCCGACCGATCCGAACCCGCTGTCGGACGAGCGCATGCCGGGCCGGGTCGTCGACGACGCGCGCGACGACGACGAGTCGCTGCCGGCCGAGGGCGAGCCACGGACGCCGCTGATGAGGCGCGCGTGCTGGATCGGGAGCGGCGACGGCGGCGGGAGCTCGCCCGAGCCCTCGAGGTCGAGCTCGAACATGCCGTTCTCCATCTCCTGGTCCTCCTCGGCCGAACCCGAACGCGGCTCGGGCGACATGTCGTCCTCGTCGTCCGACTCGATGTCGTCGAGCTCGGAGCGGTCGTAGTCGCCGACGTCCGAGATGAGCGACGACGGGCCCCACCGAGGCGAGCCGAACGACAACGAGTGGATGCCCTGCGCGGCGCCGAGGAGGCCCGATGTCGGCGGCGACACGGCAGCAGGCCTGCACGACAAGGGAGAGTCAGGTCCGGTTCTCGCGTCGACCCTGTCCGCCGAGAGAGAGAGAGCGAGACGCACCAGAACGACTTCTCGTCGGGGAGCGAGCTGCCGGCCGACGCTGCGGCGAGGATGGCGGCGCCCTCGAGGAGCTGGACCTGCTGGTGCTTGCTGAGGAGGAGCTTGCTCGCCTCCTTCCAGTGCTGCGAGGTGGGAGATCTGGGTCAGTGCTCGCTCGCCTGAGGCGGGACAGCGGTGGCGGCGGACCTCGGTGTGCTCCTGTGAACGCGCAAGACGGTCAGTACGCTGTCCTCGAGGAGAAGGGAAGGAAGGGAAAGGCGGGACGCACCCAGCGGTGCTTGGTCAAGCAGGTCGAGTGGCGGTACACCTGGTCGAGGGGGAACGAGGGTGCGAGCGTCAGGACGGGCGCGCCGGTCGAGACGAGAAGAGAGCACGCCGAGGCGCACCTTGCTGCACTTCTCGCACTCGTACGTCTGGCCCTTGTCCTTGCGCTTGCCCTTTGCCGGCACGGCGTGGTCGAGCATGTTGCCGTCGACGAGCTCGTCGCCGGCGTGGCTGTGGGCGTGGGCGTGCGCGAGGCCCTGGCCCTGCGACACGGACGAGCTCCTCGCGCGACTGCCGGCGCTGATGAGGCTCGCCGGGACCGACTGGGAGAGGGCGCCCGGGCGGAGCTGGGCCTGGGTCGAGGTCGACAGGCGGCGGGCGCCGCTCTTGGCCGGGGCCATGACGGGCCGCTTCTGCTTGCCAAGGCTGGTGGCGAGGAGCGGCGAACCGGCGGCAGCGTACACCTGGGGCGAGTACGGCGCGGCGGCCGAGATGGGCAGGGGCGACGCCGCGACCTGGGGCGACTGGGGGGAGGCGGACGACACACTGATAAGCGGCGGCTCGGACGCGCTCGACGCGTGGAACAAGGGGCGAGGGGACGCACCTGGATAGCCGAGTTCCTGCGGGTGCCGTAGGACGACATGGGAGGGCGCGAGGCGACGAGCACGAGCCGTGGGCGGGGTCCTCGGGGTTGGACGGTGGAGGGCAACGCCGGCAAGGTGAATGGCGACACGGGGCGTGAGCTGGATGGTCCCAGGTGGTGGCAGGTGGTGCTGGGGAACTTTCTGCGGGCTTGCCGGGGTGCTCGAGGGATGTGCTGGACGTGGGGCGAGCTGAGAGATGTGCGCGACGAGGGGCTCGCGGCACGCTCGTTCTCGACCTCGACCGCCTCTCGTCGCCCCCCCGTGGCACCGCCAGCCGATGCACCGCCTCGCCCTCGCTCTCTCTGGCCATGGCGTCCACTCGCGCTCGTCGTCTGCTGCTGCGCTCGTCCACGTTCACCCGGCGGCCGCCACCTTTCACCGCACAGCTTGCTCGCCCTCAACTTTTCTGCGCCTCTCGTTCTCCCAGACCCCGGACGGGCGGCACGGTTATCCAGCTCCTCAGTGCGGGGCGCGACACAGCGGCCCGGCCGTTCGAGCCAAGAGCGCTGCAGCTGGGTCGACGCCATCGCCTCGTCGCGCTCGCACCTGCTCGCTTCTCTCGAGACAAACGACGCGGAAAGCACTTGCCGGCCAAAGTTGCACAGAAGAAGAAGAAGACCCGATCTGCAAGAACGAGAGAGAAGAAAGGGACGCGCCAAAGAGAGACCCGCCTCGGCATGGAAAGTACGTAGATCCCCCGATCCGTCCGACGGCGCCCGCGCACCGGCACCCGCGTGCCGCTGCGCATGCGCTCGCTCAGCCCTCTCGCACGCCGTCCTCGCCGTGCAAGCGCACTCACTCCTGCGCGCGCTTCTTGGCGAGCTCGTCCTGCGCCTTCTTCTCGAGCGCCTCGGCCGCGTCCTTTGCGGCCTGCGACTTGGCGCGGGCGGCGATGGCGCGCTTCTTGACCTGCAGCGGGGCGAGACGGGCGCATGGGAGAGGAACGAGGGCGTCGCGGGGAGAGAGGGGACGAGGGAGGACGCGTCAGTTTGCCGCGGTTTGAGAAGGACAGACGAGGCGCGTGCGCACCTGGATGTTGATGACGCAGCCGACAGACTGGCCGACGAGCTGCATGCGTGGAAAAGAGTGTCAGGGGGACGTCGAGCGCCTGGCGAGAGAGAGAGAGAGGCCGAGTGAGACGGGCGCACGGTAAAGAAGGGAACTGCGAGGGCAAGGGGCGCGAGATTGTCAGTTTCCGGGCGAAGCACCGAGGGAAGGACAAGGAGGACGCACCCCAGAGCTCGGGCGCGAGGAACTTCTGCGCGACAATCATCGTCAAGGTCGACACGACCCACGAGAGCTGCGGGCGGGAACGAGCCAGTCAGGGCCCTGCGCGCACGACGGCCGAGGGGAAAGAGGCAGACGGCGCACCTTGAGGATCTTCATGATGGACATCTTCCACGCGTTGATGATGGCCTGCGGCGTCGTCGCGCCGTTGATGATGGCCATGGCGGCAACTGTGGGCACGAGCCTCGAGTGAGCCCTCGTTCGCTCGGAACGTCGCACGGGAAGGCGAGGGGACGGCTCGACGCACTGTAGACGCTCTGCTGGATCGGCGAGATGAAGAGGTTGGACGCGATGATCTGCATGAGCTTGGCGCGCGCCGACGTCTTGCCGGCGAACGCGCGCTGGAGGATGGCGAGGAGGGCGTGGCCGAGCGGCGCCGAGACGAAGAAGCCTGTGTCGGCGAGGCAAAGAGCGTCAGTCGCGAAACCGCGAGACGACGACAGGGAGGTGCGGTCAACGCACCGTAGATGCCGAGCTTGATCGCCTTGTGGTTCTGCTTGAGGAGGTCGAGCGGGAAGAAGCCCGTGCGCTCCTTGGCCGACAACGGCGGCGGCGGCGAGCCGGCGACATGGCCCGCGATGATCTCGGACAGGACGCTGTGGCGCGCGAGAAGTGGTCAGTGCGAGCTGCCGACGGGAGGAGAGGGACGCCGAGGCCGCAAGGGGTCCGCGAAGGCGCAGAGAGAGGCGGAACGTACGAGAGCGATCCAGAAGTCAGAGACTTGGTGAGCATGGGCTTGGTCGCGAGCGACTGGAGGTACGCTGCATGGTCGGCAAGCCAGGGCGAGCCGGCGCGAGTGGGCCGGCAGAGGAAGCCGGAGGGGGAGGGGGAAGGAGAAAGGTCAGCTCGCGCCTGGGGAAGGGGAGGGGGCGTGTGGGCGCACCTGCGAGGAGCGGATTGATGGTCTTGGGGTGCACGACTGCGACGGTGGCCATGGTGACGAGCGAGACTGGGTTCGAGATGGGAGAGTGGGGGAGGAGGCGGCAACGGCGAGACGGGCAGCTAGACGGGCGGTTCGGGGCGATCGGGGCGTCGAGTGTGTGGCTGGTGCGGTACAACAGGTGCTATGCAGAGCCGGTGTGGTGTGGAGCGAGAGAGAGGAACCGGAGACGGCGGCCGCGGCGGCAAGGGAGCCGGTCCAAGGCAAACCCGCTCTCTCCCGCTTGGTGGACCTCTCGCAGGTCAGTCCAGCTGTGCAAGTAGTTGTACGCGTCATCCACTCGCGGCAGAAAATGCTCGAGCGGGTGTTGGCGACGAGAGATGGCGCGCCTCCATGACGGAAAGCTCTCGCTCTCCCACAGCTCGGCACTAGCACGCGCGTGGCTAAGCACCAGCCACAGCGTACTGCCTACAGCTACACGCCAAGCAGCCGCGCCCGCACCCACCTCTAAGCCCGCCTCACCTCGACCTCGTCCTCGTCGACCGCCGGCCGCCGTCCGTCCTCGTCCACTCCCGCCGCGGAGGAGACAAGCATGCTCGAAAGCGTGGTGGCTGGTATCCTCAACCGCTTCCTCGCAGCCTATGTGCGTCGCCCCGTCCCTGCCTCCCGCCTCTCGCGTTCCCTCCCCACCTTGTCACCCCGATCGCTCGACGTCGAGGGCAGCGACTCACTCTCCTCTGTGTCTGTCGCACTCGCAGGTCGACAACCTCAACACGAACCAGCTCAACGTCGGCATTTGGTCGGGCGATGTCAAGCTCCGCAACCTCCGCCTCAAGAAGGAGGCGCTCGACAAGTTCCGGCTCCCCGTCGATGTCGTCGAGGGCTACCTCGGCGACCTTACCCTGAGCATCCCCTGGTGCGCAATCAGTTCTCTCACTTTTCTCGAGGGCGACCGCAGAGAGCGCAGGCTGACCCCGCCCCAACCCCGCCTCGCAGGTCCAACCTCGGCGGCAAGCCCGTCCGCGTCCTCGTCGAGAACGTCTACCTCCTCGCCGTCCCGACCGACTCTTCCAAGGCGACGCCCGAAGAAGATGCCGCACGAGCGCAAGCCGCCAAGCTCGACAAGCTCGAGGGCGCCGAGATGTTGTCGTCGGGCGGCACGGCCGGCATGAGCGCCGAGGACGAGCAGAAGAGCCAGAGCTTTACGGCGAGCTTGATCAACAAGATTGTCGACAACCTCCAGATCGAGGTGCGTCTCGTCTCGTCAACGTCAGAGGAGCGAGGACGAACACTGACCCGCCTCCTCGTGCGCCCGCAGATCCGCAACATCCACGTTCGGTACGAGGACAAGCTGTCGGTCCCTGGCCACCCCTTCTCGGTCGGCCTCACCCTCGCCCGCTTCTCTGCCGTCTCGACCGACGCCAACTGGCAGCCGGCCTACATCACCAACGCCAAGGGCGGCGTCCACAAGCTCGCCACGCTCGACTCGCTCGCCGTCTACTTCGACACCGACGCGCCCTCTCTCGCCGGCCACGACATCGCGGACGCCATCGTCAAGTTCACCGACGGCATCGCGCGCGACGGCCACACGCCGTCGCACCAGTTCGTCCTCAAGCCCGTGTCGGGCACCGGCCGCCTCGTCATGAACAAGAAGGTCGACGCCCACACGCCCAAGACGGACGCCGAGCTCATGTTCCAAGAGCTCGGCTTTGTCCTCGACGGCGACCAGTACCGCGACGCCCTCAGCATGGTCGACCTGTTCCACTTCTACATCCGCCAGCGAGAGTACCGCTCGTACCGCCCGCCGCAGAAGGAGATCGAGCACAACCGCAACCGCGCCTTGTGGCACTTTGCCATCAACGCCATCAAGAGCGAGGTCCACGACAAGCACCGCCGGTGGTCCTGGGCCTACTTTGCCGAGCGGCGCGACGACCGCAAGGCGTACGTCAACCTGTTCAAGCACAAGTCGCTCGGCACGATCGGCGTCGAGGTGCGTCCCCAGGTCTCTCTTTCTTCCTGCGGGTCCCTCGAGCAGTGCCTGATGAGAGATTGCCGCCCCGCAGGAGTCGCAAGAGCTCGTCGACCTCGAGAAGAAGCTCGGCTACACCGACATCCGCCTGTACCGCTCGATCGCGCGCTCGGAGCTGCGCAAAGAGCGCCTCGAGCACCCGACCGTCGTCAAGCCCAAGCAGCAGACGGCCGCCGGCAAGGCGACGAGCTGGCTCGGCTCGTGGGTCGGGCTCGGCGGTGGCGCCGGCGGCGGTGCGGCGGCCGACGAGCACGAGGCCGAGGACGCGGCGACCGGGCTCAGCGAGGAGCAGCGCAAGGAGCTGTACCGCGCCATCGACTGGGACGAGAAGGACGCCATGGCCAACACGGTCGACTACCCCGAGGACACGCTCCTCCTGCGCGTCAAGGCGCAGCTCGAGACGGGCTCGTTCGCGCTCCGCACCGACCCGCACGGCGCCGCCAAGGACCTCATCGCGCTCCACTTTGACGACCTGCGCCTCGACGTCGGCCAACGGCCCGAGAACTTTGAGGCGACGCTCGCGCTCGGCGGCCTGCGCGTCACGGACGGCACGTGCCCCAACTCGCTCCACGAGCAGGTCGTGCGCGTCAAGGAGGTGACCGGCGTCGAGGAGGAGAACGCGGCCGTCGCGCTCAAGAAGCTGCAGAAGCCGCGGCGGCCACCGCCCGAGGAGCGCGAGGCCGACGACGACCTCGGCCAGTACGGCGACGACGACGACGACGACAACGACGACGACTCGAGCTCCGACGACGACGACGACGACGACGACGGCGAGACCGAGGCCGACAAGGCGCTCGGCCTGTGGGCGATGCAGCGCAACCCGTTCTTCTCGCTCAAGTTCGAGCACAGCCCGCTCGACAAGCGCGCCGACAACGCCCTCGCCGTCCGCCTGCGCCACACCGAGATCGTGTACCACCGCGGCTACGTCGAGGCCATCTTTGCCTTCTTCAAGCCGCCCGAGAGCCAGCTCGAGTCGGTCGGCGCCCTCATCGACGTCGCGAGCGAGACGCTCGAGGGCATCCGCAAGGAGACGCGCGCCGGGCTCGAGTACGCGCTCCAGGCGCACAAGACGGTCGACGTCCACCTCGACCTGCAGGCGGTGCGTCCCCCCTCCCTCTCCCTCCTTCGTCCTCTCGTCCTCCCGCCGCCGGCACTGACCCTCGTCTCCCTCGTCCCCTCCCTCGTACTCTCCTACAGCCCATCATCATCATCCCCGAGGACATGACGGTCAAGGACTGCCAGCACGTCGTGCTCGACGCGGGCCACATCTCGGTCGAGAGCAGCCTCGCCGACCAGTCGTCGCTCGACGCCGTCAAGGCGAAGGAGCGAGAGGAGTACGGCGAGGAGGACTACAAGCGGCTCGAGAGCCTCATGTACGACCGCTTTTACGTCAAGCTCGAGGACGCCCAGGTGCGCTCTCTCTCTCTCTCTCTCTCTCTCTCTCGCCGTCCCCCCCCCCCCCCGTTCTCCTCGGCCTCTCTCTCCTTGTACCTCTCTCTCGCTGTCACGAGAACACGCCTGACCCTCTCTCTCACACCCTGTGCAGCTCCTGATGGGCCCGTCGCTTCAAGTTTGCCTCGACGAGCTCGACACCAAGGGCGGCCACAAGCACGGCGCCGCCGGCGAGCTGCACATCCTCGAGCGCACGTCGCTCAAGTTCCTCGCGCAGAACTGCATCGTCGCGTCGGCGCCCAACCTCACGCGGTTCAAGATCTCGGGCTCGCTCCCGACCCTCCAGGTCAACTTCTCGGACCGCAAGTACAAGAGCCTGATGCGCATGATCGACGTCGCCCTGCCCAAGTTTGACGACCCGAACGCCGCACCGCCGTCGCGCCCGTCGATCGACCCCGCACCGCGACACACGTCGTTCGCGCGCTCGCGCTCTCGCGTCCCGGGCGAGGGCGACGAGGACATCACGGTCGGGCACGACACGGACGAGGAGGCGAGCGACGACGAGCAGGAGGACGCAGACGACGACAAGGAGGGAGGACGCGACCAGTTCTACGAGGCGCCCGACATCGCCGACGGCGTGCGTCCACCTTTCTCTCCCTTGACCGTCTTCTCCAAACCTCGTCCCGTCCCTGACATTTCTCTCCCTCTCCCTCAACAGAAGCAGAACGTGCACCAGAAGACGTTCGAGTTCAGCTTCTCGGTCGACCGCGTCCAGGCGTCCATCTTCCGCTCGAACCCGGACCCGGCCAAGCCCGACCGCCTCCTCGTCAACGCCGTCCTCGAGGGCTTCCAGCTCGGTTTTGAGCTGCGCCCGTACGACATGAGCGTCGACGTCCTCCTGCGGTCGCTGTACCTCGAGGACAAGATGACGACGCAGCAGAGCGACTTCCGCCACCTCGTCACGAGCGAGAAGCTCGAGGGCGGCCACGAGCAGGACCTCGTCCGCATCCGGTACCAGGGCGTCCAGAAGGCGTCGCCCGAGTTCCAGACGGTGCACGAGGGCTTCGACAAGACGGTCGACGTCGAGATGTCGACCCTGAATGTCGTCGTCACGCGCTCGAGCATCCTGTTCCTGTTCGACTGGGTCATGACGACTTTTACCGACCCGAACGACGCCGCCGCACCGCAGCAGCCGACGGTCGAGGCGGGCAACGGCCAAGGGCTCGACGGCGACGCGTCCGGCGACGAGGTCGGCAGCGACAAGCTGCGCGTCAAGGTCAAGCTCACGTCGATCAACCTCATCCTCAACGAGGACGGCCTGCGCCTCGCGACGCTCTCGCTCTCGGCCGCCGACGTGTCGGTCCTCCTGCGCGCGCCAACCATGCGCGTCGCGGCCCGCCTCGGCAACCTGTCGCTCGACGACGACTTCTCGGCGGCGGCGCCGCAAGAGATGCTCACGATCCAGGGCGACGAGTTGGCCGACCTGCGGTACGAGACGTACGACCCGAGCGACAAGTCGACGTACCCGGGCTACGACACGAGCGTGCACCTGCGCAGCGGCTCGCTGCGGTTCACGTTCCGCACCGAGCCCGTCCACCGCATCCTCGTCTTCTTCACCCAGTTCGGGCGCATGAAGGCCGTGTACGACGCCGCGACGCAGGCCGCCGCCCAACGCGCGACCGAGATGCAGACCATGATCCCCAAGATGCACTACGACATCCTCGTCAAGACCCCGATCGTCGTCTTCCCGCACGAGCATGGCGACCGCGACGAGCAGGCCGGCTCTGCCGCCGCCGTCGTCCCCGAGGACACGATCACGGCCCGCCTCGGCGAGCTGAGCCTCAAGAACGCGCTCGAGGTCACGCACGAGCAGGTCATCACCAAGATCAGCTTCGGCCTGCACGAGGTCGGCCTCGAGTCGAGCCTGTACCACGACGGCGAGGCGCACAAGCTGCCCGTCCTCGACGGCGTCCGCATCGACGTCGACGTCACCCTGTACCAGAACATCGACCCGACCAAGGACCTCGAGTCGCCCGCGACCGTCATCGACGCGCGCCTGTCGGACGTCAAGATGAAGCTTACCCAGGCGCAGTACGGCGTCCTCATCCACCTCGCGCAGTCGATCCCGTCGGCGTTCGCGCTCGGCGGCGACGAGGACCTCGGCGAGGAAGGTGCGGCCATGCTCGAGGCGACGCCGGCGCCGAGCCCGCCTCGCCTCGCGAGCGGCGAGTCGGTCCCGTCCAAGGGCGTCCTCCCCTCGGTCCCCGAGGACGGCCAGGTCGTCGACCTCTTGCCCGAGCTGCCGCGAGTCGCCAAGACGGCGACCGGCGGCGAGGTCAAGCTCACGGCGACGCTCGACCTCACGTTCGCGGTCGGCACGGTCTACCTCGAGCTCTTCACCGAGGCGGCGACGACGGTCGGGAGCCTCGAGGAGGCGAGCCTGGCACGGTTCGCGCTCAACGACACGGGCGTCAAGTACCGCATGCTCACGAACGGGTCGATGGAAGCCGAGGTCGCCATCCGGTCGTTCACGGTCCACGACACGCGCCCGGCCCGCCTGACCAAGTTCCGCGAGATCATCCCCGCCACCAAGCACTCGGGCCACCAGTTCATGATCCACTTTACCCAGTCGGGCGGCGCCGACAAGAGCTCGATCGCCAACGTCACGGTCGACTCGCCCAAGGTCATCTTCTCGCTCGACCCGGTGTTTGCCCTGCTCGACTTTGCCATGAGCGCGTTCCAGAAGACCAAGGCCGAGCTCGAGGCGGCGGCCGAGGACGACGACGACGGCGTCGACGAGGGCCTCAAGGAGGCCGACGAGCAAAAAGTCGACTCGTCGCCGGCCAACGCGGGCACGTTCGCCTTCCGCCTCAACGTCGTGTCGCCGACCATCATCCTGCTCGAGGACCCGGCCAAGGCCGACTCGGAGGCCGTCGTCCTGTCGCTCAGCCAGCTCCAGATGTCGCAGCAGGGCACGCTCGCCCTCACGGTCGGCCGCATGGGCATGTTCCTGTGCCGCATGGACCGCCCCAAGGAGAACATCCGCGTCCTCGACGACGTCGACCTCATCCTGTCGATGGACAGCCGCATCGACGGCGGCCGCCAGGTCACCAACATCGACATCGGCATCCAGCCGCTCATCCTGCGCGTCTCGTTCCGCGACATCCTCCTCATCAACTCGATCGTCAACCGCGCCATCGAGCTGTCGAACCGCAACACGCCGTCGCCGCCGCCGCCCGACGAGACGCCCGCACGGCCCGCCATCGACTCGACGCCGTCGGGCAAGGTCCGCCCGCGCAGCAAGAGCGACGCCACCTCGAGGCGCAAGTCGCGGTCCGGTGCGACGACGACCAAGGCCTCGCGCGAGGCCCTCCTCCAGGCACAAGTCATCGTCACCAAGGAGACGGTGCGTCCTCGACGTCTTGCCTCCCGGCGCGCCCTCTTTGCCCGAGTCTGTCGCTCACTCTCCCTTCGTCTCGCCCACAGCTGCGCGCGACGGTCGACGGCCTGCAGCTCATCGTCATTGGCGACCTGCACGACCTGCCCGTGCTCGACCTCAAGGCGGGCAAGTTCACGGCCAAGGCCAAGGACTGGTCGACCGACGTGCGCCCCTCTTTCTCTCTCTCCCTTTGCCACTTCCTCCTGTCCGACCCTGACATTCTTCGCGCCGTGCAGCTCGACGCGAGCGTCCTCATCAAGCCGTTCATCAACTACTTCAACCTCAAGGTCTCGCACTGGGAGCCGCTCATGGATCCGTGGGAGTTTGGCGTCAACGTGCGTCCCTCTCGTCTCTCTTCCCTCCTGTCGACTCGTTCTCACCCTTTTTCTGCAACGTCTACAGGTCACCAAGTCGGTCTCGACGGGCCTGCTCGCCGTCAACGTCTCGTCCAAGAAGCGCCTCGAGCTCAACATCACGTCGAGCTTCATCGAGCTCGCGACGACGACGCTGTCGATCCTCGACCGCGAGGGCGAGCAGGTGTTCAAGAAGGCGCGAGGCTCGAACGCCCCGTTCCTCGTCAAGAACCGCACGGGCTACCCGATCTCGCTCTGGAGCGAGGGCGCCGAGCACGGCGCGCAAGGTCACCGCCTCGACGACGGCGCCGACGCGCCGTGGCGGTTCGACGACTGGCGCACGACGCGCGAGAACGTGTCGGCGAGCACGCACAACTCGCTCTCGGTCGTGTTCGACGGCCTCGGGTGGGACCGCCTCAAGCACGTCTTTGTCGATCGCGAGGGCGAGCACATCCACGCCCTGCGCCCCAAGATGGACAAGGTGACGCACCGCCTCCTGTGCGACGTCAAGCTCGTCGACAACGTCAAGGTCGTCACGCTCCGCTCGACGTTCCTCGTCGAGAACAAGTCGCTCGTCAACGCCGAGATGGTCATCGTCGACCAGCACGGCAAAAAGGCGTCGCAGGTGTACAAGATCCCGCCCGGCGGCGAGTGCGCCGTGCCCATCCTCTCGGCGTACCACGACCGCATCCGCCTTCGACCCGACCCCGGCTTCGGCTACGCGTGGTCGAGCGAGAGCCTGCACTGGCAGGACCTCGTCAAGCGCCCGACGCGCGCCATCGTCTGCAAGGCGCCCAAGGAGGCGGCGTTCCGGTTCCAGTCGTACGCCGTGCACGACAAGGCCGACCCGCTCACGCGCATCTACCCCAAGGTGTCGCTCCGCCTGCGCGCTCCGGTCGAGGTCCAGAACCTGCTCCCGCACGACTTCCGCTACCGCATCTTCGACAAGAACCTCGAGCACAACTGGAAGACGTTCCTCCACGCCGGCGGCGTCTCGCCCATCCACTTTGCCGAGCTGTCGCACCTGATCCTGCTCAGCGTCGAGCTCGAGGAGACGAGTGCGTCCTCCTCTCTCTCTCTCTCTCTCTCTCTCTTGTGTCGCACTATCGAGCAGCCACAGTCGTACTCACTTCCTCCTTGTTCGACAGCCCTCGGCCGCAGCGAGTTCGCCATCATCAACACGGACAACCCGGAGGACCTTCCTGTCGAGCACGACCTCGTCCTCGCCGACAAGCAGGAGCGCAAGCTCAACCTGCGGGTCCACTACCAGTGCGTCGCACCCTCCCCTCACTCGCTCTCGCCGTACTCGCGCCGGCGCTCGCGCACGTACCTCGTCCTGACCTCGAGACTCGCCCCTCGTCCCTCGCCCTCGCAGGAAGCACGCCGACTCGGGTGGCGCCTTCCGGGTCCAGATCTACTCGCCCTACATCCTCATCAACAAGACGGGCCTGCCGTTCGCGCTCAAGACCAAGACGTTCTTCGGCTCGGCCAAGAGCGTCGCCGGCCTCGAGGAGTTCTCGTCGACGGCCGCCAAGCGCAAGCCCAACGAGCCCTTCATGTTCTCGTACCCGACCGACGACCGCCGCAACCGGTCCCTCTTGCGCGTCGGCGACTCGAACTGGTCCCGCCAGCTCAGCTTCGAGACGATCGGCCTCACGACCGAGGTCATCCTCCCGTCGGCGACCGGTCAAGAGGAGATCCGCGTCGGCCTCAAGGTCACAGAGGGTCTCGGCGACGTGCGTCCTCGTCTCTCTGCGCGTTCTGCATCCCCTCGTCGAGTCCCCCTCACTTACCTTCCCTCGTTCGACCCCCTCCTTGCAGTACAAGCTCACCAAGGTCGTCACGCTGTGCCCGAGGTTCATCCTCAAGAACAACTTCGAGACCGACCTGCGCCTGCGCGAGTTCGGCTCGACCGTCGAGGTCGTCGTCAAGCCCGGCGAGCGGCACCAAGTCGGCTTCCTGCGGTCGGGCCAGGCGCCGCAGCTCGTCCTCGGCCTCGCCGGGTCCCGCACGTGGTCGGCGCCGTTCAAGCTCCAAGACATCGGCCAGAACTACGTCCGCATCCCGCTGCACGACGGTGGCGGCGACGAGCAGCTCGCGCGCGTCGACGCCGTCCTCGAGGGCCCGTGCATCTTCATCCGGGTCGACCCCGAGCACGGCTCGTGGCCATTCCTCCTCCGCAACGACAGCCACTACCCGATCGAGTACTGGCAGGCCGAGTCCGAGGCGCAGCAGGCCAACAACCGCCGCGAGCCTCGCCGCCGGTACCGCCTCGAGCCCAACAGCAAGCAGCCGTACGCGTGGGACTTTCCCGCCGACGACCTGCGCCAGCTGCGCATCGCCGTCGGTGGCCGCGAGCGCGTCGTCAACCCGCTCGAGATCGGCGCCCTCGTCCCGTTCCGATTCTCGCACGAGGGCCACACGGCCGTCCTGTCGATCGACGTGCGCGCCGAGGGCTCGACGCAGGCCGTCTCGTTCTCGCACTACAACGAGGAGGACAGCGTGTTCAAGCTGCAGCGGCGCAACGTCGAGACGGCGTCGTCGATCGCGAGCAGCCAGAACGGCGGGTTCGAGGCGGTCGACGTCGACGTCGTGACGACCTTTTCGTTCAGCCTCAGCCTCGAGGGCCTCGGCATCTCGCTCGTCAACCGCCGCATGCAGGAGCTCATCTACGCGTCGTTCCGAGGCGTCACGGCCAAGTACTCGGACTCGACGACCAACGTCTCATACGACGTCGGCGTTAAGTGGATCCAGATCGACAACCAGCTCTTTGGCGGCCTGTACCCGATCCTGTTCTACCCGTCCGTCATCCCCAAGGACAGCAAGGAGCTCGAGGTGCACCCGAGCCTGCAGGCGTCGGCAATCGTCCTCAAGGACGAAGGTGCGTCCCCTGCCTCCCTTCTCTCAAGCCACCTCTTCTCTCGGTCACGGTTCCTGACGCTCTCCTCCTTCTCGTCTCGCAGCGCACGGCGTCACCTACTTCAAGTACGCGTCGATCCTGCTGCAGGAGATGACGGTCGAGGTCGACGAGGACTTCCTGTTCGCGCTCCTCGACTTTGCCAAGTTCTCAGGCGCCGCCGAGGACCAGTCGTCGTGCGTCCACTTCTCTCTTTTTCCGTCCCTTCTACGCTCGTGATCTGACGGCCCTCGTACGTCTGCAGCAAACTCACCGAGGACCCCGAGGAGATTCCCGAGCCGTCGGCGACGTCTAAGGGCGGCCACCTGTACTTCGAGGTGCTCCACCTGCACCCGATCCAGCTCGACCTGTCGTTCATGCGCACCGACCGCGTCAATGTCGAGCAGAAGTGCGTCCACTCTGTCCCCCTCCTCGCCCTCTCGCGCACTCGCAGGCAGCTCTGACCGTCCCTCTCCTTCCGCAGGCTCACGTCGCACAACCCGCTCTTCTTCTTCATCAACGCGCTCACGATGGCGCTCGGCAACGTCAACGACGCACCTGTCCGCCTCAACGCCCTCGTCATCGAGAACGCCCGCCTGTCGCTCCCGGTCCTCCAGGAACGGCTCACGTTGCACTACGGCGACGAGTTCTTCGGCCAGCTGTACCGCGTCCTCGGCAGCGCCGACTTCCTCGGGTGCGTCCTGTCTCTCTGGATGTCCCCTCGGCGCCGGCCCCACTGACCCCTCGTCGCCGTCTCTCTCCTCACGCAGCAACCCTGTCGGCCTGTTCACCAACGTCTCGTCCGGCGTCGCCGACTTCTTCATCCAGCCGTACGACTCGGTCATGATGAACGGCAACAAGGACCTCGGCATCGGCATCGCTCGCGGCGCAGGGAGCCTCGCCAAGAAGACCGTCTTTGGCCTGAGCGACTCGCTCGCAAAGGTGTCGGGCAGCATCGGCAAGGGTGCGTCTCTCTCGCTCTCTCCCGCACCTCAAACTGTCGATCCTGACGATACGCTCCTGCAGGTCTCTCGGCGGCCACGCTCGACAAGCAGTACCAGAGCCAGCGCCGCATGCGCCAGTTCCGCAACAAGCCCAAGCATGCCCTGTATGGCGTCACGGCCGGCGCCGCCTCGTTCGTGACGAGCGTCGCGAGTGGTTTCGAGGGCCTCGCTGTGCGTGTCCTCCCTCCTCTCGATGGTCCCTCGGGCGCCCGTACTGACGAGCCTCGCCCCGTCCGCAGACGAAGCCGCTCGAGGGCGCCGAGTCGGGTGGTGCCTCGGGCTTCTTCAAGGGCGTCGGAATGGGTCTTGTCGGGTGCGTCCCACTCTCATCCTCTCGTCGTCGTCGAGCGTGACTGACTCGGGCCCGCCCTCGCAGCGCCGTCACAAAGCCCGCCGTCGGCATCTTTGACCTCGCCAACAACATCACCGAGGGTGCGCCCCTTATCTCCTCTACCCTCTGCGCACGATCTCGACGACTGACTCGATGCCCTCGAGCGCAGGCATCCGCAACACGACGACCGTCTTTGACCAGACCGGCATCGACCGCGTGCGCCTCCCTCGCTTCACGGCGAGCGACGGCGTCCTGCGTGTGCGTCCCTCCTCTCCTCTCTTGCGCCTCTGAGATCGTCTCACTGACTCGCTCGTGCGACAGCCGTACTCGGAGCGCGAGGCGCTCGGCCAGAACTGGCTCAAGAACGTCGAGAACGGCAAGTACTTCAGCGAGGAATTTGTCGCCCACCTCGACCTGCCGTCGTCCGAGGACACGCTCGTCGTCATCCTCACGACGCGCCGGATCCTGCTCGTCAAGGTCACCAAGCTCAAGGTCGGCTGGGACGTGCCGATCGCCGACCTGTCGACCATCTCGCTCGAGACGAGCGGCATCAGTGCGTCCTGTCCCTCTCGTCCTCGTTTGTGACGCCCCTTCCTCGTTCCCTGTCACTGACTTGCTGCTCCTCGTCCAGGTCTCGTTCTGCGCGACGGGCACCCGGGCCCGTTCCTCGCCATCGCCGACCAGAGCGCCCGGCTGTGGCTCTTCCGCCACCTCGAGCGCATCACGCAGGCGCAGTACGTCCTCGCTCGTCTTTCGTCTTTGCCTGCACGAGGACTGAGGACTGACTCTCGCGCCGTGCAGCAACGCTCGCCGGACCGTCGAGTAGACTCGGTTCGGCTCTCTCCCTCTCTCGTATTCCCCTCCCCTCTTCTTGTCCCAGTAGTAGCTGTACCCTGTCAATACGAAGCTGGTCTCTCTCCCTGTCGTGCACTGCAGCCATCCGAGAGCGAGAGAGAGCGGCTTGGCTTGCCTCCCCCACATTCCGCCGTCCTCGCTCGTCCACTTCGGCTCTCACACCCTCGCGCGACCTCGAGCATGGCCGACGACACGACCAGCCAGCTGCCAGTTGACCTCGACTCTGGCATGCGCCGCCGCAACCCTCTCCGCGCCGTCGCCGACACCGAGCCAACGCCGACCTCTTCATCATCGGCGAACCCCGAAGCCGCGTCGTGGCAGCTCCAGCTCGCCGAGGCCAGACGCGCCATGGCCCTCAAGATGGCGCAGCAGGCTCAAGAGCTCGACCTCGTCGACCCCGCCCGAGCACACGCCTCGGACGACGACGCCGAGCCGAGCCGCCACGACCCAGAGCCGTCATCGCACCAGCGCAGAACCAGCGTCGCGAGCAGCGAGGGCGACGACCACGTTGTCGAGCAGCTCTTGCGGCCCACGAGCGCGCCGACCGCCGTGCCCGTGCGGGAGGACCCGGCTGGCGAGGTCGGCGGCGGGTTCGCCGAGGAGCCGAAGCAGGAGGAGGGCGGCGAGCGGGCGACTGAGGAGCAAGCGCCGGCCGACGACCGCATCTGTCGCATCTGCTTCGGCGGGGCCGAGGACGAGGAGGAGCTGGGACGACTGTTCAGCCCGTGCGTCTGTCGAGGAACGGTGCGTCCATCCTCTCTCTCTTTCTCTTCAATCGCCCCGAGCCCGGCAGCACGGCGCTGTCGTCGCTCAGATGCGCCAGACGACCATGAGGGGAGATCCTGACGAGTCCTGTGGTCCGCAGTCCCGTCACGTCCACGCCAAGTGCCTCGAGAGCTGGCGCAGGGCCGCCGTCAGCCCGAAGGCGTTCTACGAGTGCGGCCAGTGCAAGTACCAGTACCAGTTCCGCCGCACGACGTTCGCGCGAGCCCTCATGAGCCCTCGTGCGTCCCCATCTCTCTCCCTTGCGTTTCCCTCGCAGGCGCGAGCGCAGAAGGGCACTGACCAAGATGCGCTCGCACGCAGTCACGGTCACCTTCCTCACGAGCCTCGCCTTTATGGCTCTCGTCTTCCTGTCGGGCTTCGTCGCCAACTCGCTCATTGCCGCCGTCGAGGCGCGTCAGTCGCTCACGCCCTCGCTCCTGAACGGTGCGTCGACCTTTCTCTCTTCGTCTCTCCTTTCTTCTTCTCTCTCTCTCGCCGTCTCGCCCTCACCTCGTACTGACGAGCAATCGTCGCCGCAGATCTCTTCATCCCCGACTACATCGTCGCCGGCGAGGGCGTCCGCGAGGCCGTCTCGTTCGTCGAGCACCGTCTAGAGCAAAGCCGGTGGGTCGCCGGGCGCGACCTCGCCCTGCAGCGTGCGGCGCAGGACGACTCGTCGACCTACCGCTTCTTCAACCCGTCGCCGTCGTCGCGCAAGGCCAAGGGCGCCGCGTCGGCTCCGTCGACGCCGCCGTTCCTCCTCACGGCGCTCCTGCACGCCGTCAAGGGCTCGGCGCTCCTCGGCGTCGTCTCGACGTTCTGGGCCTACGCCGCTACGACGTTCGCTTCGCCGCTCGGCCGCACGCTGTTTCGCGCGCTGCGGCCGACAGGAGGGCGGCGGCGGGCGGCAGAGCGCGGCGCGTCCATGTCGCAGCTCGTTCTCCTCCTCGTGCGTCCTCCTCTCTCTCTCTTTCTCTCGCATGACTGGCCCGTCCTGACTCGAGAGCACTCGCAGCTCATCCTGTGGGGCGTCGTCAAGTCCATTCGCGGCGTGTATCGCGGGGTCAAGTACTTGACGAGGGTCGCGCTCTCCAAGGTCGAGGACCTTGTCATCGAGGTCAATTGAGTACGCGTCTGGCTTGAGCTGTAACATCGTTCTTTGCTGTCTCTCTCTGGCTCGTGAGAGCTGCCTGCTTCGCGAGAGCAGTCCCAGAGAGCGTCTCTCGAGAAGGGGCACGGGCGAGAACACGATGGCTCAAGCGGACGACACAATTTCAGGCGAGGAGGGAGGACAGGACTATGTGCAGGGGATGCGAATGAGGTTGCGGGAGTGCGAGAGTGCGAGGAGAGACGTGACGAAGCGTCTACTCGAACGAAATGACGGCCTGCGAGGAAGAGAGAGGGGGTCAGTGCGCGAACAACAGAAAAAGCGTGGGCACGCCCGGCGCACCTTGCCAAAGTTCGAGTTCTCCGAGTCGAAGAGCGCCGCAAAGGACTCGCCCTGCGCAGAGCGAAGGAGGAGGAGAAGGAGAGGGTCAGTGCCCGACTTGAGAAGGTCGACAACGACGACGAGAAAAGCGCGACGCACGTTGTCGAGACCCTTCGTGACGGCCTCCTTGACCGGGATCGAGCCGTTGGCGACGAGAGGCGGCACCTCGTCGTAGAACTTCTTGAGAACCTCGGGCGTGAGGTGGTTCAGGATGATGAAGCCCTCCCACTTGAGCTCCTTGGCGACGACCTGGAAGACGTTGCGGATGCCGTACGCCGAACCGTTGTACGACTCGATGCTTCCAATGGCTGCGATGCGGCCACCGCGTGCGATGTGCTCGAGGGCGGCGTCGAGCTGCGGGCCGGCGACGTTGTCGACGAGGACCGTGAACGGGCCGTTCTCCTTGTTCCACTTGGCGAGCACCTCGCCGGCGTCCTCGGTTTTGTAGTTGAAGGCGCAGTCGACCTTGTAGACGTCGCGCAGGTACTGGACCTTCTCGGCGGAACCGGCCGAGGCAATGGTGCGGGCGCCGAGAGCGTGGCAAAGACCGAGCGTGACCTGGCCGACCGGACCCATGGCGCCCGTCACGAACACCGTGTCGCCCTTCTTGACGTGAGCGACCTGCTGCAGTGCCCAGGCCGCGGTCTGGCCAGGCATGCCCAAGCACCCGACCCAGAGCGTCGCCGGTAGGTTCTCCTTGTTCTCGAGGACGACAAGCGAGTCGGCACGCTCCTTCGGGAGGACCTGGTACGTGGCAAAGTCGAGCGAGCCGTACAGGTTGTCGCCCTTCTTGAACTGGCTGTTGCGCGACTGGAGGACCTCGCCGACGCCAAAGTTGGCGATGACCTCGCCGAGCTTGAAGGCCGGGACGTAGCTCTCCTTGGACTCGTCGCGCATGCGACCGCTGCAGAGGGAGGGAGAGCGAGTCAGTCCAGCTCAACGACACGTAGAACCGTGCGAGAATGGACTCACCGCAGGTACGGATCCCAGCTGAGGCACTTGGTCTTGAGGACGACAGAGCCCTCCTCGAGCGGCGCGTCGAGGTCGACCTCCTTGGTGATCTTCTTGAGCGTCTCGCCGGGGATGGGCTTGCCGCTCGGGATCGAGTTGAAGATGAGCTGCTCGACGGCGACCATAGTTGAGTCTGCGAGGGCGACAGGTGAGCTGGCGGTCTGCGACGGGCTCACAGGGCTTTGGACGTACAGTACGAGTAGTTGTGAGCGTGGATGAAGTGCGCAGCGAGTGCGAGAGGCGAGTGAGAGCAGGAGAAAGGCGAGAGGAGCGATGAGTTCATCGCTTCGAGCTTCGGTCGGGTTCGGCCAGCTCTCTCGGCAACCCCGCTCTCCGAGAGTCGAACCGTAAAGGGTGACAAAGCACCGCGGAACAGCGCGGAAGTCCCGGCCTGCGTGCGCTTCCGAGAGGGAAACGGCGTGTTGCGCGGCGCACGGACCCCTTCCTCCGCCTCCCTCGCACCTCGACGCCTCTCGTCGTGGCGTTGCAAGCGCACGTCAGTTTGACCCGCCAGAGTCCGTTCAGCCTACGCGCACACGCACCCCCCCGGAGCCGCATTTGCTCTCTCTTTCACCGCGTCGCTCGAACGGCTCGAAAGCGAATCGCAGCGGGCGCTCATCTCTTGCTCGAGGCCAGCCCGCACGCTCTGTACTCTTTGGCAAGAACCGCATGTCGTGGAGCTCGCACAGCTTGAGAGCGTTCCGCACGACGCTCGTACCTCGCGCGCTCAGAGCTCTCCGTAGCTCGCAGTCGCCTCGACTGCGCGTGAACAGCTCGTGGGTCCCCACGAAGCGAGAGCTACAGGCTGCCGTCGCTCACGAGTTGCTGCTCAGAACCGCCACCTGTGAGCGAGCCTCTCTGGAGGAGCGGAACGCGCGCTTCCAGCGGCCTTCCCAAGTTGACTCTCTCGCGCTCTCGAGCTCTCGCGCTCAGAAACAGGGACAAGGGGCGGCTCAAACTGCTGCTTTGCATCTGTACACGATCGAGGGAAAGTACGAGAGCACTTAGCTTAGGCCTTGAGCTGCGTGATGAGCTTGCCCTGGTTGTGGCCCTGGGAACGAAGAGACGGGTCAGGGAACTCGTTCCGGCCACGACTCGTATGCAGACGAGAGAAGAGAGAGACAGACGCACCGAGAAGAGGCGCTTCCAGACCTTGGGGATGTCCTCGAACGACGCCTCGACCTTGGTCTCGGTGCCCTCGGTGACGAACTTCTTCTCCTCGACGAGCTTCTTGATGACGGCCGACGCCTCAGGCCACGAGTCCATGAAGTCAGACACGATAAACCTGTTCCGAACGGTACGGAGAGTCAGGGAGATGTGCAATGAGGAGGGAGAGAGGGAAAAGGAAGGCGAGGAAGAGAAGGGACGAACCCCTGCATGGTGACCCTCATCGAGATGATCTCGAAGAGGTTCTTCATGGGCATCACGCCGCTTCCCTCGTAGCCTGCTATGGCCCCGCACGCGACAATGCGCGAGTGACGAGCCATGTGGGCGAGGACGGCGTCGAGGATCGTGCCCGAGACCTGTAGGACGTCGAGGAAGCGTCAGGACAGTCGACAACAAGCTCAAACTAAAGGACAAGACGCTCGTTGTCGAAGTAGACGTTCACAAACTGGCCGTCGAGCGCCTTCTTGAGGTCGTCGGCGAAAGAGGACGACTTGTAGTCGACGCAGACGTCGGCGCCGATCGTCTCGACCCAGCGGCACTTGTCGGGACCGCCGGCGATGCCGATAACGCGCTTGGCCTTGAAGTGGTGCTTGGCGAGCTGCACGGCGGCAGAGCCGGTCGCGCCGGCCGCACCAGAGATGACGACGACGTCGCCCTCCTTGCACGCTCCGACACGAGTCAGGCCGCAGAAGGCGGTCATGCTCGTCATGCCGAGCGTCGAGAGCGCGATCGACTCGGGGTAGCCCTCGACCTGGCTGCGGGAGGGTGAAAGGGCGGTCGAGGAGGGTCAGGAGGACGCGAGAGGGTGCTTCTCCCGCCGCCATCTAGAAGAGAGAGGGGACGCACCGAGCGGGGAAGACGGCGGCGCCGTTGAGCGTCACGTACTCGGACCACGAGGCGAAGCCGTTGACGAGGTCGCCCCTGCGCGCGCACGAGATTCGTCAGTTGCACGTTCCGCAGGACGGGAGGGGGTGGGACGCACTCCTTCCACTTGTCCGACTTGGTCTTGACGACGCGCCCGAGGAACCCAGACGGCATGGCGTCGCCCTCGACGGGATACGGACCGTACGCCCTCTCCTTGACGACTTTGTTCGAGATCCAGGTCCTGCGGCGGGCACACAGGTCTGTCAGTGCGGCGCCTCGTGGTGAGGGGGGGCGAGAGGGAGTGCACCTTTGCGCCGGGTCGTTCGAGAAGTAGGCGATCTTGACGAGGATCTCGCCGTCGGCGGGCTCGCGAACCTCGCGCTCCTCGAGGGCGAAGGTCTGCGACGGGGCGAACGAGGAGGTGCAAGGCGAGGCAACATGGGACGAGGCGGACAAGAGGATGCAGGGCGAGGTACGAGAGTCAGCTCGTCGTCTCGAGAGCGCGCTGGAGGGCGAGGAAGGTGGTGCGGGGCAGGCGTGGGCAGAGAAGGGGAGGAAGAGAGAGCTGGGCGCACCTTGTCCGTAACCTGCTCGCCGGGCTTCTCCTTGAGGATCCAGGCCTTGCACGTCTTGGGGATGTTGGACATGGCTGCGCGGTGTGTGTGGTGTGGGAGGAGCGAAGAGGGGAGAGAGGGGAGGAGCGCGATGATGCGGAGTCCGAACGAAGTCGGCCACGAGCCCGCTTCAGAAGTTGCTCTCCGAGCCGGCCCTCTCTCACCTCAGCCCGCGCTTGAACGGCCACGCCCGCAGCTGGGCGGTGAGCTGCACAGCGATGAGCGCAGAGCAAAGCGACGATCGCACTCAGCTGCGTCCGCCCCGCTCGCCCGCGGCAGCTCCGGTTCGCGCACTCAAGCTCGTCCGTGTGCATCCCTCTCGCTCGCCGGTTCCGCTTGGCACGTACGCTGGTCCTGCTCTCCTGAGTACCCAGGCCGGATTCGCCGGCGCGGCCCTCGCGGGCGAGCGAGCCGCCCCGCCTCGCTCGCGCCTCTGGCCGGGCTGCTTCAGCCTCGCCTGCAGCTCTCCAGGCCTCTCTCTGCTTCTCGTTCTGCCTCCAAGCTATATTGAGAAGATGCCGTCGGCCTTCCACGACCCGTACGACGCCGACACGCTGCCAGAGTACCCGCCGCATGACGCTGGGCGAGCCGGAACAACCGCAGCTCGCCGTGGCGCAGACTCGAAAGGGGACGACGAGGCGGCAAGACTCGTCAAAGGTGGACGGCGCGAGGGCGAACCTGTCCCGCTCGAGGTCGACGGATTCGCCTACGAGGTGCGCCCCGTTCCTCTCTTCCTCGTTGCCGAGGCCGCCGAGCTCACCTGCGCACCTCCCACTCAAAACAGCTCGGTCGTGTGCATCACGACGTCGACACGTTCCACGACGCCGTCGCTCGGCTCACGGCGCTCAAAGCCCAGGTCCTCGCGCTCGAGCCCGAGGACTCGACGCTCGTCGCGCAGTCGCTTCTCGCGAGCCTCGCCGTCCAGACGGCCGACTCGTCGCAGCTCTTCAAGCAGCTCCCGCAGCAGATCAAAACGTTCGGCGACAAGCTGCCGTTCCTCAAGCCCGGCGCCGGCCGTTTCCTCGTCACGAGCGCCGAGTCGATGCCGCTCCAAAGCGAGCTCGCGGCATGCGCCACGACGCTCCGCTCGGCCGTGCACGAGGTCCACAAGCTCGCCGACGTCGAGGAAAAGGAGAAGCAGTCGGCCCGGGTCCGCCTCCTCAAGACGATCAAGGCGCAGATGGGTCTGAGCGGCGACGACTCGCTCGTCATGGCGGCGCTGCTCACAGCGGAGCGAGAAGGGTCGTCTCACTTTGCCGAGCAGCTCAAGGTGCGTCGTACACCTCTCTTCTCTCTCTTCATGGGCAGGTCTGACTCGAAGCCTCTCGCAGGCTGGCTCGCCAAGCTGGCGGTGGGCCGTCGAGCGGCCGTTCTCCCGACTTGGCGCCGAGTACGTCGCCTCCTCCCTCACTCACCCTTTGCGCAAGAAGCCTGACTGTCGCACACCCGCAGCATCGGCAGAGCGGGCGACCTCTCTTTCCTCGACCGCCTCGAGGCTGTCCCTCCTCCCTCTTCTTCCTCCTGGCTCAATGTGCGCCCTCTCTTCCACTACCTCATGTGTCCACAAGCACCTTACTGACTCGACTCGCAGCCTCTCGTATACCTCCCTCTCGGTCTCGCCCGCAAAGGAGCTCCCGGCGTCGGCGTCGTCGACGGCGCACGGCCCCCTAGCGCGCCGCCGACCTACTCGCCTTTCGCGCTCCGCAGCGGCGAGCGAGCCGGCTTCTCGCCTCTCGTCGACGCCGACGAGGAGGACCGCCTCGGGTCGTACGGCGAGCGCCTGGACGAGCCGCCGAGGGCGGCCGCGCCGACCAAGTGGGCTCGAGTCGCGCTCGGCGTCGTCGTGCTCGCGGTCCTGCTCGGCAGCGCGGTCGCCTTGACGCTGTGGACGAGGCATGTCGACGAGTACGACGTGTCGCAGGACTCGATGGCGGCGGGACTGGGAGGGCTCGCGTAGATCTTGGGCGGTCGTAGGTGCTGGAGCAGGAGGAGCAGGAGGAGCGTTTGGCAGGCCTCGGTGTATCGCAGAGCTTTTTTTATCTCTCGCGACGTACGAGAGAAGGAGAGAAGAACGACAATGCGGATAAAGATGGCCATCTACACCTCGACCTCGACCCGGATCCCGAGCCGCGCTAGGTCCTCGACCCACTCGCCGACGATCCTCTGCACCTCGTCGCGCACGTCGCCCTTGACCGCCCCACCGAGGAGCGCGAGAAGAAGCGCCGCGACGCCCTCGAGGAGGACCTCCCACCGCGGCGTTGACCAGGTGCGAGTCGAGTCGGGAGGGACCGAGAGAGTCGAGGAAAGGATCGGGAGGGACGAGTTCAGCTCGCGCAGTTGGTGCTCGACGGAAGGTCGGGGGCGATATGAGGTCGAGGGTGCGAGGGAGGGTGAGGGAGGTGGAGGAGAGACGGGTGTCGGGGCGAGGGGAGCGCGCGAGCTTGCCGGAGAGGCCCAGCGCGAGCTTGACGCGCCCCGAGCGCTCGTCGGCGACGGCGGTCGTGCCGCATCCTTCGGCGCAGCTCGTTGTAGGGGCGAGCGCGTGACGGCCGCCGTCCTGCCCACCGCCGCCGCCTCGAGCCCGAGGCGGCACAGCCCAACGACGTCGCCCTCGTCCCACCACCTCCTCGCCGCCTCGACGCACTCCCTCGCCTGCCACTCCCTCCAATCGCCAAGCTCGACCTGCCACCGCCCTTGCTCTGCCGCCCTCGTCCGCCGCAAGTGCTCGAACACGTGGCGGTACAGCTGGAGCGCGACAAAGTGCGCGACGAGCGTCGACGCGTTGCGGAAGACGTCGGGCGGGTGCTGGATCGGCCAGAGAGGCGGTGCGCCGAGAGAGGCGTGCAGAGGTGGCGGCGTGGGCGGGTCGAGCTCCATCGAGGTCGTGCGGGTGATTCGGGAAGGGCGAGACGGGGTCGGGACGAGCGGCGGTGCTGGAGGGGATGGGGCGCGCCGTGGAGGAGAGGACGGGCGGCGCCGAGGCGTTTTGGGCGTCGACGAGTGGCGAGAGTGCTCGGGGCTGAGCGCCGGTCGAGCTGGAGCATGGTTCCCGTTCGTCGCCGCTGGCGAGCCCGCCGTCGCCGGAACGAGCCGCTCGAGCAGCCGCCGGGCGTCGACACCGTCGTCGACGCCGAGCGCCTCGACCTCCTCAATGGTCGCGCGCAGGCGCAGGTTGCGGTCGTCCGACAGGAGGACGGCCCGGCCCGACTCGGCGTGAAACAGCGCCGCGTCGAGCACGAGCGAGTCGTTGTTCTCGCCTCGTGGCGGGCCACCTCGACCGAAGAGCGTCTCGCCTTTGCGCTGCCCGCGCACGACGGCGCTGCTGTTGCCCGGCTCGAGCACGTCGAGGAGCCAGTTGGTCGCCGCGCGAGCGAGGACGGCGATGCTGCTCTGCGCTCGAGCGCCCGAGGCTGCCCGAGTCGGCTCGGCGACGCGAGAGCTGTTCTTGAGCCCGTCGAGCTCGGCGACAACGATGTGCGGGATGAGGAGAGTCGGGCGGTGCGATTCGAGGTGGGACGAAGCGAGGTGGACAAAGTCGCGCAGGAGGGGGAGGTGGCCGATGAGGATGTTGGTGTCTGCACGGGTACTGAGGCTGGTTAGCTCTGGTGCGCGCCTGGCACAGCGGCAGGACGAGGAGAGAGCGGTGGACGGACCAACGACGACGACGAGTCCTCCCGCAGGCGGCGAGCCTCCCTCGAGCTCCCAGGGGAGGTCGAGCTGCATCGGAGCGTACCCGCCATCGCCACTGCGCAGGCTGCTGACGGCGTTGAGCACGTCCTGGGTCGGCGGAGACCACTCGAGGTCCATCAGCTCCGCCTCGAGCTCCCCGCCGCGCTCGAGCGTGACCGTGACGGGGCCTTTGCCATGGCGCTCGGCGTCGACAGGCGGTATGTACGAGGCAGCGTATGGCGCCAGCGTGGCAGCAGGTCGAGATTGGCGGTTCGGGCGACGAGACCAAGGTGCGGGGCGGGGCGGTGCAGCTGTTCAAGCGGACGGCTTTTGCTCTCGCTTGCCGGGCCAGACGAGGCACAAGGCTGGACGTGCTGCACAGGCCGACGACGAGAGCACGCTCTACCAACTCGCCCAGTCGTCGTCCTCGCCATCGTCCTCGCCGCCCTTCTTCTCCTCCTTCTCGCTCCTCGCCGGCTGCGACTGCGCCTGCGACTCGGCGCGCTGCCTCCTGTACTCTGCCTCCTCCTTCTCGCGCTCGAGCATCTCGTCCGCGCCGATGAGCCAACCGACGCCCGCCGTGAGTCGGTCGCCGAGCCCGAACCCGAACCCGCCGCCGCCGCCGCCGCCGCCCGTGCTGCGTGCGGGAGCTTGCGCCGGCGAGCGAGGTGCGGGAGGCGCTGCAGCGCGTCGAGGCGACGATGGCCCGTCGGCGAGCCCAGCAAAGGCGGCCGCGAACCGCGACGGCGGCGGCGGCGAGGGGGACCGTGCAGCAGTCGCTCGACGAGGCGACGCCGGGCTCGCCGTCGCCGCGCGGTCGTCGTCCCAGTCGCGGTGCCACCCGTCGGACGACGCGTCCGACTGGGCGCTCGACGGCCGCACCGGCTGCAGCTGCGGGCCCTGGAGGAACGCGGCCGCGCGCCGCAGCGTGTAGCTCGCCGCCGCGGCCGTCTCGCTCGCGAGGTGCTGCACGCCCTGCGCGCCTGCGTGGGCCGAGATGCGCGTCGGGCTCGTCGGCGTCTCGGGTCGGGCGGGCGAGGGCACGCGGTCGGCCGTCTTGGCCGCGGCGGCGGCGAGGAAGGCGCTGACCTTGTGCGCGCCGGCTGCTGCCGCCGACGCCGCCGCACGAGCTGCGTCGCCCGACATGCCAGCGACTGCCGCGGCGCCGTGCAGCTGCGCGCTCGCCTCGCTGCCCGCCGCGCCGCTCCTGCTCGACACGCTCGCGCCCAAGCCCGCCGCCGTGCCGTCCTTCTGGCTCCGCAGCGCGTCCTGCGCCACCTCGCGCTCGAGGACGGTCCACGTCGGGAGCAGGTCCTGGATGCGCTCGGGCGGGCACAGCGTGAGCGCCTGCCCGAGCGCCTCGAGTCGCGCCGGCGCGTCGCTCCAGGCGCTCTTGCCCAGGGCGAAGCAGGCGCGCCACGCATGGTCGGCCGCCGTGTCGGCGTCGCCCTGGGCCTGCTTGGCCTTGTCGCCGTCGCCGTCGGGCCCGGCGGCGAGGCGAGACGCGGTGCGGCGCAGCGCCTCGACGGCGCGCACGGCCCGGGCGCACTGCTCGGCCGCGAGCGGGTACGACCCTGCGCCGATGGCCGCGTCGGCGAGCATGGCGAGCGCGCGCACCTCCTGTGCGCCGCCGTGCGGGTACCCGAGGCCGTGCACGAGCGCGAGCACCATGTCGGGGTGCTTGTGCGCGCTGTCGTTGGACGACAGGAGGCGCGCGACGTACGTGAGGCGGTCGGGCGCGTGGCGGAGCTCGATCGGCGTGAGCGGGATGCCCGGGCGCGAGTCGAGGCGGAACGAGCACAGGCGCGAGGTCGCCTCGATAAAGTCGCGCTCGCGACGCAGGGCGGGCGTCTGTTGCGGGGCGGCCGACAGGCTGCGGGTCCAGAGAGCACGTCAGTACAAGTCACTGAGAATGTCTCGACGACGAGGAACGAGAGAAGGAGAGAGGCGGAGGGGAGGGAGGGAGGGCGGACGCACCAGTCGAGCGCGAGCTTCATCTCGCCCTCGTGCAAGTTGCCCGCCTCGGCGTTGTCGTAGAACTCGCGCGACGCGGCAATGACGAGCTCCTCGACGACGTGCGGCTCGAGCGGGGCCTTGATCGACGACGGCTCGAACAGGGCGCGCGCGAGCGAGAAACCTGTGGCGGGCGAGGGGTCAGGACCGTCCTGCTTGGCCGACACGACACGACGATAGAGGGAGAGGGGACGCACGTCCAGCACCGAGCAGGCCGCCGAAGAAGATCCTGAGGACCTCGCCGTCGCCGAGGAGGCAGAACATCCTCCCGAGCCCCCTCTTCCTCCTCTCGTCCTCGCCCTCGTCCTCTTCGCCCGCGACGCCCGTCGCCTCGCGCATAAACTCGAGCAGCGCGACCCACTCGTCCTCGCCCTCGAACCCTCCCTCGGCCGCCGCTGCTCGCGCACCTCCCACGGCTGCCGCCGCGCTCGAGCCCGTCCCGGAGCCCGACCCGCCCTGCGCCGCCGTGCGCGCGAGCCGGGTAGCCCACTGGGCCTGTCGGTCGCGGCTCGCGTACGCGGCGAGGAACCACGCGAGGCCCGAGGGCGGCGCGGCCGAGTAGCGCACGAGGAGCTCGAGCTGCGACAGGTGCAGGTCGAGCGCGTCGAGGTGCGCCGCGAGCGCGCGTGGGCCCGACGCGCGCAGGGCTGACAGGAGCGCCGAGGGCGAGGGCGCGGCCGGCGGCGGCGAGTGCGCGCTGCTCGCCGACGACGACGACGACGAGGGAGGAGCGGCAAGCGCGAACAGGTCGGCGCCGCCGTCGGCATCGCCCTGCGCGTCGGCGAACGCGGGCAGGCACTCGAACATGGTGCCGCACGCCTGGGCGCCCTCGACGCTCGCAGCTCGGCCGCCGGCGCCGTACAGCGCCGCGAGGACGACGCGCGCGAGGTCGGCGTCGTCCTGGACGATGCGGCTCGCACCGAGCCAGGGTCAGTTTGGACGCGGCGACGACCGCGCGAGGCCTTCGAGCCCTGCGGCCCGGGCGGGCCGGGCGAGAGCGTGAGAGAGCGAGGCAGGCGTGGAGCAGGCCCGTCGAGCGCGAGACGCCGCCGGGCGTCGGTGTCGAGTCGGTCGGGCCGGGCGCCGCTCGAGCGCTCGAGGCGCGACTCGAGGACCGAGAGGTACGGGAGGACGAGGCGCCGGAGCGTGTCGGGCAGGGCGGCCGCGTCGCTCGTCGCCGTGTACGCCTCGAGCACCTCGAGCGGGCTCAGGGCGCGCCACCGCTCGAGCGACCACACCTCGCCGTCCGCCACGCCGTCGCCCGCTCGGGGCCGCTCGTACACGAGCTTGGCGAGGAGGCTCAGGTCCTCGCCGAGCTCGTCGAGGCCGGGCACGCCGCGCGCGGCGCCGTGCTGCACGAGCGCGAGGGCGACGTCGACGAGGCCGATGGCTGACGAGGCGCAGCGCGAGATGCGACGCGAGTACCACTCCTGGAGAGCGGTCGCGGTGCGGCGCGCCGGGAGCGCCGAGGGGGGCGAGGGCGAAGTCGACGACGAGGATGGGGAGGAGGGTTGAGACGGGGAGGACGGGAGGAGCGAGGGCAGTGCCTCGCTCCAGTCGGGCTCGGCCCTCCACGGCGCCTGGTCCTCCCACTCTGCCTCGAGCCCGTCTGCGCCGACAGCGGGCAGGAGGTCGACCCACGCGCTCGGGTCGACCCACTTGGGGACGGCGTCGACGATGCGCTCGCGGTGGGGCCACAGGGCGGCCGGGTGCAGGGTGCACAGGAGCGTGAGCTCGGGGAGGGACGACGACGCGGCGAGGGCGAGCGCGGTCGTGACGAGGGGCTGGCGGAGGAAGGTGCGCAGCGAGGGGCGCGAGGGGAGGTCGAGGTCGGGAGGTGCGGGTGCGGCGTCGTCGGGCGGTGGCGAGGGCGCGTCGACGGGAAGAGCACCTGCAGGTGGAGGCGGCACGGCGTCGTCGTCGGTCGGCAGGTCGAGCTGGCCCCACCCCTCGCCGTCTTCGTCCCCATCGTCGTCCTGGCCCTCGCCCGCCGCGCCCGTCGCCGCCGAGACCGGGCCCTGGCCGACCTTTGGCGTTGGCGGCTCGGTCGCAGGGGCGGCGGCGTCGCCGTACAGGGCCTCCCAGGACGAGACGCGGTCCTGGAGGTCGAGGACGGCCCTCCGCGCGAGGACGGCGTTGCGCACGTCGTCGCTGCTGCCGCCCTCGCCGGTGCCGCGTGTGACGAGGTGGTCGACTCGGGCAAGGTCGTGCTCGGCGAGGGCGTCGGACAAGGGCACGAGGGCCGTGATCCAGCGGTCGGCGGTGCGGAGTGCGTGGTCGAGTGCGCGGTGTGCGGCCTTGGGCGAGGCCGGGTCGGTTGCGACGGCGAGGGTGACGCGGAGCGAGTCGTGGTAGTGGTCGAGCGGGAGGAGCGGGAGGACCTTGTCGAGGTTGGCGGCCGAGAGGGAGCGGGGAGGCGACAGGGCGACGAGGTTGAGGGCGACGAGGGCGACGAGGGGCTGTGGGCAGGGCGGGTCGACGAGGGCCAGGGCGGCGTCTAGGGCCTGTGCCCAGTGGCCCTGGTCGCACAGCTGGCGCACGCGGTCCAGGGTGGGCCTCGGGTGGTCGGGGGCGATGATGAGGGCGCGACGTCGACGAGGTGGGTGCACGCAGAGAGGGTGGCCGTGCGTGAGTCTCGCAGCTAGTTGGCAAGCTGGACTCGAGGCAGCTGGTACACTGCGAAGGAGAGAGAGCCGAGCCTCGTCGTCGTCGTCGCTCCCCACCTCGTCCTCATCAACACACGCCCTCGCTCCTCCTGCAACTCGCTGCCAGAGTCGAGCCACGGGCTATGGACGCCGTTGCGAGGGCACTGTGCCCAACCGTGCACTGCTTTGCCACCCCAGACCTCGACGCCGCCCTCCGTCGCAACGGCCTCGCGTCCCTCTCGCAACTCGTCGAGCCCTTCGTCGCCACCCTCGACCAGGTCCAGCTCAGGCTCCCCTCCACCTACGAGCAGCGCACTGCCCGCCACTTCCACCTCGCCCTCGTCGACCGCCAGTTGCCCGACCCCGCCTCCTCCTCGACAGCGACCCCTCACGCCGCGGCTGCCACCCCCTCGCTCCTCCTGAACCAGCCCCTCGCCCTCCGCGACGAGCTCTTCCTCGACCACCTCGGCCAGCTCGTCGCCCTCACCGACCCGGCCACCGCCCCGCCGTACCCGCTCGTCCGCGACGCCGTCCTCGCGCGCCCGCCCGACGACTACTGCGTCCCGCACGAGTCGTTCGCCCACCCGGTCGCCTGCCTCGTCGCCCTCTCGACCGCCCACCCGGACCCGCTCAACGCCCTCGCCCACCTGTGGGACCTCTCGTCCCCGGCCAACCTGTTCGCCCCCGACGACCCGCGCGCACACTACGCCGCGCCCGACGTCCTGCGCTTTGTCGTCCTCGTCAACGACCACGGCGCACCCGGTGCCACGGCCGCCGCCGACCAGGCGAGCGACGCCCACAAGCTCCTCGACACGGTCCGCAAGACGTACGGCAACCACTCGGCCCTCGTCGACCTCTTCTCGGCCGCCGACACGGCCCCAGACCGTCGACCGAGCGCCGACGAGGCCGAGATCCGCCGCCTGTGGGTCAACGTCGGCGAGGCGCAGCGGCAGCAGGTGGCGGCGGCGGCGCGAGGCCCGCAGGACGCCGTCATCGGGCTCGGGTTCGACGACGAGCGCTCCTTGCCGCAGGCGTCGGCCGCATCCGCACTGGCGCCCGACCGAGCGCCCGTCGTCCTCGGGCACGAGTTGTCGACCGACGACCTCGGCGCGCTGCGCCAGCTCGCGCGCGAGTTTGTCGTCCAGTCGCTCGTGCCCTTCCTCGAGCAGCGCGCCGTCGTCCTCTACGAGCAGTGGCAGGCCTCGCGGCGCGGCATCGGCGGCAGGCTGTTCAGCGTCGGGAGGAAGTACTTTGGCGGCGGCGGGGGAGGGTCGGGCGCGAGTGGGAGCGCCGGCGCGAGGGAGGGCGGCAGGGAGGGGAGCGGGGCGGGCAAGCAGGGCTACAACGCCGCCAAGGGCTAGTGCGTCCACTCTCGCCTCTCCTCTACCATCTCTCATTGTGCCGACAGAGCCCTGACTCGAGCTTCTCGTGCGCCCGCAGCTACCACCACTCGTCGCCCTCGGCCCTCGCGCGCCGCCTCGCCGACACGGCCTTCTTCCTCGGCGACTACAAGCTCGCCTACTCGGTGTACGACGCGTGCGCCAAGGACTTTCGCGCCGACAAGGCGGCACGACACGCGGCGGCCGCCATGCGCATGAGCGCCATCTGCGCCGTCCTCCTCCTCCCGCCCTCGCCCTCTCCCTCGTCCTCCGCCTCCGCCTCGGGCGCACCACCCCCACCGCAGCCCATCGCCAACCCCGAAGCCCTCCTCGCGAGCGCCGCAGCCCTCTCGCCCCTGCACGGCACCCTCGTCGACTTTGACGCGCTGCGCTCGACCCTCGTCCTCGTCGACCTGTACGCCGCGCACCCGCACCTCGCGCCCCTCGCGCCCCTCGCCCTCGTGCGCGCCGCGGGAGACGCAGAAGAGATCGTCGCCGCGGTACTGCTCGAGGAGGCGGCGAGGGCGGAGCTGAGGGCCGGCGCGAGGTGGCCGCAGGCGAGAGCGCAGCGGGGAGAGAGCGCGGCAGAGGGACGAGCGGAGGAGGACGAGGAGCGAGATGGGCAGAAGGGCGAGACGAGGGCGCCGAGGTCGAGGAAGCACGCGTTCTGGATGGCGCTCGCGGCGGCGAGGTACGAGAAAAGCGGCGTCGTGCGTCCCCCTCTCTCTCCCCTTCCCTCCCTCACGCCTCACCAACGACAATCTCACCAATCTTTTGCACGCAGAAATCCCTCTCGCGCCGCTGCCTCTCGCAAGCCGCCGCGCTGTACCTCCCCGCACCCTCCTCCTCTTCCACCTCCTCCACCGACGCATCCCTCCCACCGCCCGTCACGTCCCTCGCCCCGCCGACGCGCCCGCCACCGACCGACACGCCCCAATGGTCCGCCATCCGCACGCACCTGCACCACGCGCTCGCGCGCCAGTCGTACACGGTCGGCGCCGCCCAGGACAGCGTCGACAACTTCCTCGCGCTCCTCGGCACGGGCACGTCCGCGACGACGGCGGCGTCAACGTCCTCGCTTGACGACTCTGCCGGGGCGGTCGGCGACGGCGCGATGGGCGACGCGCCCGAATGGCTCGACGACTTTGCCCTCGCGTGGGACCTCCTCGCCTCGTCGTCGTCCTCCTCGCCCGCCACGCCGCCGCCGCACGGCCCCGTGTCGCTCCCCGTACGCCTCTTTGACGCGCCGCACGCGCGCCTCAGGGTCGGGAGCGCGCGGCAGGCCGGCCTCAGTGCGGGCGCGGGCGACGAGGGCGAGTGGGCCCGGCTTGAGAAGGCGCTCCTCGCGCGGGCCGAGTTTGATGTCGGCGGCGGCGGCGGGGCGAGGCCGAGCGTGCTCGGTTACCGAGGTGGCGCGGGCACGGGCGAGGGAGGGTTCAAGGGCGCAGGGGCGGGAGCGGCCGAGCCGGTCGAGGCGGTCCTCGGCGAGACGCTCACGCTCGAGGTGCCCGTGCGCAACCCGCTCGAGGCGTTCCTCGCGCTCGGTGCCCTCGCCGTCGAGGTGCGGCGCGAGGAGGCGGGAGACGCAGAGGGCGAGGAGGGAGGAGAAGGAGCGGGACTGGAGGTCAGTGCGCCGCAGGACGTCGAGCTCGCCCCGGGCGAATCGAGCAAGGTGCGTCCACGCTCTCTCGTTTTCTCTCTGCGTGCCTCGTCAGTCCCTGACACTTTCGCCCGCTCGCAGATCCTCATCCCGATCCGCGCCTCGTCCCTCGGCACCTTCACCTTCGACTCGCTCTCGTACCGGTTCAGCAACCTCGTCCCCGTTCGCGAGCCGCTCTCGCCCGCACGGTGGTCCAAGCCGACTGCGCCTCGCCCAGGCCGCCCGAGCGCGCGCGTCGCCATGCCGCTCCGCGTCCGGGTTCGCGCCGCGGTCCCCGTCCTCGGCGTCGACATGAGCGCGCTCCCGAGCCGGCTCTTTCACGGCGAGATGTCGGGCGACGACGAGTCGACGACGACCATCGTCCTGCGCAACGAGGGCCCCGTACCGCTCACCGACCTGCACGCCCTCTCGTCCCAACCCGACTCGCTCCTCCTTCGCCCAAACCCGCCATCCCTCGACGCCGACGGCGCCCTCGCGACGCCCAACGACCTCACTGCCCCACGTCCGACGGTGCTCCTCGAGCCAGGGCGCGCCCTCGCCCCAGGCGATTCGCTTGCCGTCCCCGTCGTCGTACGCGGCTCGCGCGTCGGCGCGCACGCCCTGTGCGTCCTGTTCGCGTTCCGGGCCGCCGACGACGAGGTCACGAGCGCGCGCGAGTACCTTTCGACGAGGGCGGTGCATGGCGTCGAGGTGTACCCGAGCTTGGAGCTGCGGTACGGCGTGCGGCCTGGGAGGAGGGTGGACTCGCCTTTTGTCCTCGGCGTCGAGGTGCGTCCTCGCTCTCTGTATCTCTTGTGAAGGTTTCTCAGCGAACGAGGAACGCGCACTGACGACTCGGACGCCGTGACGCAGGTCTACAACGTCGGCCTCCCGGCGGACGACGTCTCGATCTTGGCCATCTCGCTCCTCTCGCCCCGGTGGCGCATCAGCCCGTCAGCCGACTCGGGCACGTTCAACGACGACGTCGCGTCGCAGCGCATTGGGTGGCAGCAAGGCTTGACGACGTTTGTGCCGCTCGCCGCCGTCGTGCGGGAGGGGGAGGGTCCGAGCGAGGAGGCGGACCTGTGGACGGCGGCGCAGGTCGAGGCGCTGCTCGACGGCAAGGACGTCAAGGGCATGCCGCCACACGCCAAGGTCGGCGTCTCGAGCCTTTCACCTGTGCGTCCAGGTCTTCCCCTCTCGTCGTCGGGCCCGAACTGACGTGGCTCGACTCGTCGCAGATCACCTCGACCAGCTCCTCGTCCATCTCGCCCTCGGCCCTTTCCGGTCTCGTCGCCGCATACACCTCGTACCGCCGAGCCTCGCTCCTCGAGCGGTACCCGACCGTGCCACCTTCCCTTCACCCCTCGATCTTTCCCCTCTTCTCCTCGCGGGCCGCGTCCCTCGTCGTCACCTTTACCTCGTCAACCTTGTCCCTCGCCCCTGCCCACCTCCTCATTCCGCTCGACGCACCCTACCTCGGCAGCGCGCTCGGCTCGCCCGCCGCGGCGGCGCTCGTGCGCGTCCTCGTCAACGCCGAGAGGCGCTCGGGCGGGCTGTACGAGGAGAGCCGCCGTGAGCGTCGAGCGCTCCTAACGGTGCTCAAGCGCAGCGAGATCATCGGCGCGGCAGGGACGGACGAGGCCCCGCCGGTCGCAGTCGATGTCTCGGTGCGCGGCGTCGTCGAGCACGACTTCTCTTCCTCCGGGTGCGCCCACCTTCCTCGCCTCGTCTAGTGTTATAGAACAGACTCCTGACTCTCTCTATGTATCTCCCTCTCGCAGACCTCTATCCCTTCCTCTGCGTCTCTCGCTCTCGAACCTCTCGCCCTCAACCACTTTCTCCTACACCCTCTCCCTCTCGTCGCCCGCCTCGCGCACCGGCGCCGGCACCATCCTCTCGGGCGCTCTCACGCACAGCGGCACGCTCGAGCCGCTCGGGCGCGCGAGCGTCGAGGCGCAGCTGTGGGTCCCGAGGCCGGGCGCATTCGCCGTCGGCGCCTGGGAGGTCGTCCTTTCGTGGGAGGGCAGGGACGAGCAGGAGCTGGGAGGGAGCGTCAGGCTGAGCGGCGGAGCGCGCGAGGTCCGGGTGCGGGACCGAGGAGCTTCGGCGGCAGGAGGCAGCTCGCGGGTCGCTCTCGAGGAGATGGCTCGGGTACAGGTCCGTGCGTAGACGCCGACGTGCAAGAGAAAGAGATATCGCGTTGCACAGAACGAGAAACGAGGGTGATAGTGACGACAACATGCACGGCCAGGAGAGATAGGCAAAGAAAGAGAGAGAGAGAAGGGAAAACTAGAAAGCGAGATGGAGATTGGCGAGGTTGGGCAGCTTCTCGAGCTCGTTGTCGTTCCTCGCTCGGGCGTACATGTTCGGGCAGTCGATCGAGTCGCACGCGATGGTCGCGAAGCTTGGGGTGCCCGAGCATGAGACGCACACGGCGCGCAGAGCGAACTGCCGCGACAAGAGGGCCTGTTGGCGCGCCGAGAGCGTGTGCGCGACGGCGGTCGGGTGCGCCGCGCAATCGGGACAGAGGCCTGTATGGTGTAGAGCGAGAGTCAGTACTGCTCGTCTCGCCGAGAGAGAGAGAGAAAGAGAGAATGTAGGACGCACCGCCGTGACCCTCGGGCCCGTCGCATGCGACGCAGCGGTCGCTGATGAAGTGCTGCTCGAGCATGACGGCCCTGCCGCTCTTGCCCTCGCCGACGCGATGCACGCGCTTGGCCTTGGCCATCTCGCGGTACCACGACTTGACGTCGGCGCCGACCAGGTTGAAGATGCGCTCGAGCGGCGGGATCATCATGCGCTCGATGTAGTGCACGTCGTCGAGGCGTAGGCGACTGTGTGGCAAGCAGCGGGTGAGAATCGGCTGATGTGCGGGCAAATAAATGGCAGAGAGAGTGGACGCACGAGTCGGCGAGGAACTCTTGAGGTGCGAGCGCGCGGTGGACCTGCTTCTGGCCCGGCGCGGCCTGGAACATGACGTATGGGACGCGCTCGCCGTACTCGGGCTCGGCACGAGGGTCCTCGGCCATGGCTCGACCGGCGACGACGGCGCCTGGAGGAGGAAGACGGCCCTCGCTGCGGCGGCAGGAGACATCGTCAGGACTGCTCGCGGACACAGAGATTGAGAGACGAGGACGCACGCGTAGCTCCCGAGCTTGACCTTCTTGGCGATCGTAAAGTCTTGCGGCGAGACGTCGCCGGCCTGGATCTTCTTCCACTGGCGCTGGCAGTACTCCTTGACGAGGGAAAGGTCGGACGTGCGAAAGAGGATCCTGCGGCGCCACGAGAGGGTCAGAGAGGCGGTCCAGAAGAGAGAGAGTGCGAAGGAGACGCACTTGAGGCACGTCTCCTGCATCTTCTGCGTCGCCGGAATGCCGTCGCGGCGGATCGTCTCGATGCCCTTGGCGTCAAAATCCGGGTCCTTCTGCTGCTGGTACTCGTACTTGAACCCGACATAGCGCTTCTTGGCGACGAGGACGCACGGGAGGTAGACCTGTGTCGGGCAGGGGAAGAGAGTCAGGGCCGGAAGGCGAATCTCGAGGGAGGGAGGGGTGCGAGCGGACCTTCTCAAACTTGAGCTTGATCGGTCGCGGGTTCTGCTGCGTGATGACGTCGGCCATCTCGTTGCCGATGCGGAAGGCCTCGTCCTTGGTCTTGCCAGGGAGGTAGATGAAGAGCGAGTCCGTGTCGCCGTAGACGACCTGCGCGCCCCACCGCCTCGTCGCCTTGATCGTCTCCATCGCCTGCGCGCAAAGTGGGCTCGTCAGGACACGGGTCGAGACCACGAGAGGAGAGGTTCGGCGCACCTTCTCGAGCGACTCGCGACCTGTCTGCACGATGGCGTCGGCGACCTCGACAGCCGGCATGCGGCCTGAGAAGGTCGCAGACGTGTAGCCGTAGGTAACCTGCACGGTGCGCCAGCTCTGAGTCAGTACGAGGACACAGAGAAGAAGGACAGTGGGCTTGGGCTCACGTTGGCGAGGAACTTGAGGGCGAGTTGGCGGGCGTTGAGCAATTTGGTGAGGGCCTGCGAGGTCGACGAGGGCGGCGTCAGGTCCAGGCGCCGAGAATGGGCGGCAAGCAGGGCGCACCTTGTCGTCTGCGACAGCCTTCATGCTGCCCTTGACCATGACGCGCGTCTCGAGAAGCTCGCCAACCATCTTTGCGAGGAGCGACTTGCGGACCCGCTCTTTGGCGAACATCATGCCGTTTGGCGAGACTACACAGGACGAGGGTGAGTGACTGAGAGATCTAGAGGTAGTGGAACGAGGGGACGGACTCGTAATGTCGTCCTTGAGCAGGTTGAGAAGGCCGTCGGGAAGGTCGACCTCGCTCACGCCGAACTTGTTCGAGCCCTTGAAGTCGCTCACGCGGCCGAGGAACGTTCTGCGCGCATACTGAGAGGTCAGGAACGTGCTCGAGGATAGAGGGAGGGAGAGAGGGAGCGCACGAGTAGCAGTAGTTGTAGGCGATCATGCACGACGGGTACAGCGACTGGAAGTCCATGACGAGGAGCGGGCCCTTGTAGAACGCGCTCTGGGGCTCCATGATGAGGGGCATGCACTCGGCGGCGTTCTGGCGGCCGACCTGGACCCGATTTGGCGACAGGAGGAGGAACGACTCGGGCTTGGCGAGCTTGAACATGACCGACTCGACCTTGAACTGCGAGCCACGCGTGCGCACCGAGTTGAAGTCGACGCCGAACACTCGCGCTTCCTCGCTGTGTGTGGACGAGTCAGGACGAGGTGGGAAGAGGCGGCAGGGAGCGAGAGAGAGGCGGGCGCACCAGCTCTGCTCGACGACCTCGGCGGCATCGAGCATCTCGACGTCCATCTCGACCCGGTTGCGCCAGTACTCGACGACTCGAGCCATATCGACGGCTTCGCCCGAGGCGTACCAGGCGGTGAGCGTCTCGTACGAGAAATGCGGCGTCCTGCTCGACCTCGAGAGCGTGAGTTTCTCACTCCCGAGCACGCGAGAGAGAGAGAGACGGTGTGACGCACCGGATGCCGAGAACGTGTAGCGCGATGTGCTCAAAGCTGTTCTGCTGGAACTTGTTGTCGGCCTTGAGGATGCGCCACACGGGGAGGACGTGACGACCGGTGAAGTTGAGGACGCTCGACTGGCTGAAACCCCACCGGTCCGAGTGCTTGTCGCCGAACTTGCCCGTGTCGAAGCTCTTGACGCGACCGAGCTCGGGGACGAGGTTCCACTCTGTCGGGACGAGAAGGGCGTGTCAGGGCTCGTGCGCAGAGTCGAGAGGGAGAGTCGGCGAGGGAGGGACGCACCGAAAGCAGTCTCGGCACGCTCGAGGAGGTAGCCCCAGGAGCCATGATGGACCTCGAAGCCGGCGACACACTCTGGGTCCCACTCCATGCGGAGCTTGTCGAGGAAGAGCTCGATGAGGTCGCGCTCGGTCTCGACGACGTGGACGTGGCACCGGTTGTCGAGCCGCTCGTACTTCTTGCCCTCGCCGACGACGATGTAGCCGACGTGCGTCTTCTCGTTGCGGCCGTTCCAGTACTCGTCCTCGCGCTCGTTGTCAGACTTGAGGCAGAAGACGAGGAACTCGATCGCGTCGTGCTGCGGGTTCGGCAGGAGCTTGCCGCGCGTGTTGACTGTCGACGAGTGAAGCTTCAGTACACCATCACAGTGAACAGGGGAAAGGAGGAGGAAGAAGGGACGGACCGTGCAGCTCCATCGCGAGGACGGCCATGTGCTGCTTCTCGCGCTGACTGGCGCCCTTGATCGACTGGAACTTCTCGCTGCCCGTCTTCTGCGTCGGGCCCTCGACCTGGAAGACATAAAGAGGGTCAGTCGCTGCACAAAGAGGAGAGAGGGAGCGTGCGGGCACACCTGCGACTTGATCGGGTTGAAGCGCGGCTTCTTCTCGTCCTTGCGGCCGCCTGTCGGGTCGGCGGCTCGTCAGGGCACGGTGACAGAGAGTGGGGGGAGGCAAGAGAGAGGCGGGACGCACCGTTCTTGCTGAGCCACTCGTCCAAGTTCTCCCTCGTCGGCGGCCGTACGGCGTACTCCCACGCGCGCACGTCGAGCATCCTCGACAGGGGCGCGCTCGGCGTCTCGCTCGGGAGAGGACCGAGCGCGTCGTGGTGCACGAACGGCGTGAGGTCGACGATCCTGCTGCCCTTGAGGCGGAACGAGCGACCGGCGTACTCGCGCTTGCGGCGAGGGACGTCGGCCGGCTTGCTGTAGTACGGGTCCTTGTAGACGACGTAGGACCGGTTGTCGCGCTCGAGTGCGGCGACGACAGTTGACGTGGTCGGCGGCGGCTCGGCGAACGTGAAGGACCGGGCCGAGAGAGGGTAGGTCGAGACGCGGCGAGGTGGTGCAGGCGCAACGACCGAGTCGGCGGCTGCGACGATCGGGCTTCAGTACGATCCGATGTAAATAGGAAGGGAGAGTGTGCGCACAGTCGGTCGTGTTCTGCGACGTCTGCAGGGGCGTGGTCGAGCGCTGCGACCCGTTGACCGACGCGACCGGGGTCGGGGTCGTCCCGGCCGACGCGGCTGACGACGACAAGTCGGTGCGCGCGAGCTGAAACATGACGTGCTTCTTGGTCGGGCGGAGCGTCGGCTCGAGAGGCGGCTTGACGTCGCGGTCGAGGTCGGTGAGGACGGGCGAGGCGGGCTCGATCTCGAGCATGGGCGACGCGTGCGGCGGCGACGACGGTCGGGAGGGGCGCTCTTCGACGTGCATGTCGTCAAAGTCGAAGAGAGGTGGTGGCGGGGAGGAACGAGGGTGCGGCGGGAGCTGTGACGGCACCTCCTCCTTGAGGGTCGGGGTCGGCATGTACTCGTCGAGCGCGTCGTCGGGCAGGTCCTTGAGGTCGGCGAGCGCCTGCGACGGCGTCACGTTCGAGCGTGATCGTCCTGGCGGCGAGGGCGAGCGGACGTCGGCCGACTCGGCCGACGACTGGAGGTACTCCTCGAGCGAGAGGGCGGTCGACAGGTTCGAGACGTGGTGGGCGAGTTGACGTGGAGCTGCGACGCTCGGCTGGACCTGCTGCGCGCCTTGTGGCTCGACGGCCGTGTCGGGATCGAGCTTGAGGTCGGGCGGCGGCGACGAAAACAGGGCCGCCTCGCCGTCGTCCTCGGGCCCAGGGCGGAGCGTCGACCCGCTCGAGCTCGGCGCGGCGATGCGGAACGAGAGCGCCTTGCTCGGTGAGGCGAACGGGTTGCGGGCGGAGCGTCGAGAGGGCGTGACGGCAGGCGAGATGTGGTGGGCGGTCCGAGCGGCGCGAGCGGAGGAAGGCGTGGAACGAGGGTGAGTCGGCGTCGTCTGCTGAGGAGGTCGGGGAGGGGTCGGGCTAAAGTGAGAGTCAGTAGGCGAACGATGTCGGAGAGATGGGAGGGCGAGAGGACGCACACAAAGCTCGCCGCCTGCTTGCCGAACTCGCCACCCTGCTCGGCCATCTTGCGCACCCGCTCCTCCTCGTCGGCCTTGACACGTTTTGCTGACGGCTCGTCGGTGTGACCATGGTCGTGGTCGACGTGCCCGAGCTGTGCCGGCGACGCGAGAGGCCGCTTGGACGGCGTGAGGCGCTTGGACGGCGACGAGCGCTTGACCGGCGACAGCGAGTCGGGCCGCATCGACGACCGACCGTCTTCTGCGTCCTCGTCCTCGTCGCCGCCGCAAAAGAACGACGCCTCGGACGGAGCGCGCGACGCCGGGCGGTCCGTGCCGGCATCGACGCCCCAGAAGTTGTCCTCCTCCTCGTCGTCGTCGTCGTCACGCTCGTCCGGCTCGCGGTCCCACTCGCCCTCCTGCGTCGACGCCATGCGCCCTCGCCGCTCGATGCGGTCTGCTGCGCCCGAGCGGCGCTGCCGGGCGAGCGCCTCGGCCTGCGTCGCCGGCGGGGCCTGCCCGCCACGACCGCGACCGCCTCCTCCACCCTGACCCGGCCCGTCGCCGTATTCGTCCTCTCCCGAGTCAAAGTCGTCGCCGTCCATCTCGTCGTCGTCGCCCTCGCCCTCGGCCGCGTCCTGCGGGCGCCGACGGGCCGTCCTGCGGGCCGCCGAGGCGGCGGCGGTCGACGCCCGCAACCGCGCGAGGTCGACGTCGGCCTCGTCGACCTTGGGCACCGGGATCCCGATGCCCTGGACGGCCCACGCGCCGAACTCGTACTTGTCGCGCTCGTCCTGGGCGAAGCGGTCGATCGAGACGGCGTCGACCTGCTCGAACGTCGTGCGGACCTTGGTCAACCAGTGGCGGTTGCCGCCTCGGGCGTGCCGCGCCGTGTCGTCGACGAACGACGCAAACTCGGGCTGGGCCTTGCCGCGCGGGCCGACCTGGTCGCGCCACCGCCGCAGGTCCTCGCCGAGCTTGGCGGCGACCTTGTCGCGGAACTCGGGCTCGCGGCGCCAGATGGCCTGCGCCGCGTCGCGCTCGTCCCACTCGCGCTGCGCCGTGTCGGCCGTGTCGGCCGGGCCCGTCTCGCCGCGCTCGGCTCGGCGGCGCGCCTCGTCGGCCCAGATCTCCTTGAGCGAGCGCACGAGCTTGCCGCGCTCGACCGAGTCTGGGTGCAGGAGCTCGACAAAGTCGTGGTGCAGGTCGCGCGGCGTGAGGACGCGCCGGTTGAGGATGGCCGTGTACGGCAGGTCGAGCTCGAGCGCCTCGTACGAGATCTTGGCCGGCCCGCCGGCGTCGACGGACGGGTGCAGGCGATGCGGCGGGACCGTGTCGACCGTGTACAGACGTTCCGAGTACGGGCCGTCGCACGAGTCGGGCGCAAAGTCGTCGCTGCTCTTTACGACGTGGTCTGCGAGAAATGGGGCGTGGACGCAAGAGAGTCAGGAACGAGGCTCGTGGCTGCGAATGGCCGAGCGAGAAAGAGAGACTCGATGTGACGCACCTGGAAGCTCCTCGCGGAAGCGGCACTCGCCGACCTCGACCCAGCCGCAGCCGTACAGGTTGGCGTCGAGCATGAACTGGAGGAGGTAGGGCACGTGGCCCTCGAAGACGTCGAACTGGGTGCGCAGGACGGCGCCGCTGCGCAGGACCTCGGACAGGCGGTTCTTGTGGCGCGGGTTGACGAGGTAGACCTTGAGGAACGGCGAGTGGCCGACGTGGTAGCCGTAGAAGTTGGTCCCTTTGCACAGGACGACGAACGCGACGTATTGCGGCGCCTGCTTCTTGCCGTACTTGTTTGGGAGCGACAGGTCCATGGCACGGTTCAGAGCGGCGCCAAAGCGGCGGATGTAGTCGTGCACTGCGTTGCGAGGAAAGGGTCGTGAGGCAGGGTTCGAGGAGGACGAGGACAATGGAGAGGGCGAGTGCGCACCCGAGTCGGGGTCGAGCCTGCCCTTGTACTCGACGTAGACGTAGGGAAACACGCCGTGGACGAGAGCGGTGACGCGCTGGCCGCGGTCGGTCGCGCCCCAGATGCGAATGAGGGGGACCTGGCGCAGAGGTTCAGAGGTGAAGGGGGAGCGGCGGATGTCGTACTGCGAGTGGTCGTAGGCGAGGACGGTGTCGATGGCGCTGAGGCGGAAGCGGATGAACGAGTCGGGAGGGGGAGTGGAGGGTGCACTCGGGTCGAGAGGAGGAGGAGGAGGAGGGGGAGGGGGAGCGGGTGGTGGGGCGGTGGCCGGGTGCGACGAGGGTGCGGCCGGCGGGTCACCCTGGTTGCCCATGGCGGCGACAGCGTGTGTCGCAAGCAGCAGCGAGCGAGTGGACGACGAGAACCAACCTCGCTCGCCGAGAACGCGATCGGCCTGAGTTGGTCCGGCTCATGCTCCTGCCACGCACTTGCGCGCTTCGTTCTCAGCTCTTAGTACACCGCCAAGCTCTCACCAGGATGTCGCACCACCCGCCGTTCAAGCAGGTGAGCCACGTCGCTTCCTCTCAATCCTCATCACCGATCGCGTCTCGCGGACTCGGTTGCTCACCCACTGCTCCCCCTGGACAGGTCGAGGGCAGTCGCCCCGAATTTGACACCAACCAGCAGTGGACCACGACCAAGGTGCGCCCGCCTCGCCGCCCACCTCCTCCCCTCCTTCTCCCCCGCTGACGGCATTGCCCTCCCCGACTCGCCCGTCCACCGCCTCGCGCAGACGCCCGCCCCCGAGTGGCAGGTCGGATCGGGCTCGAACGGGCTCGAGAGCCTCGCTGGCGTCAAGGAGGGCCTGTGGGACGGCAAACAGCCCGAGGGCCGCTTCACCGAGGTCGACCCGGCAAACGAGGCGGCGCCAAAGCTCTACAAGATGCTCATCTCGGTGCACCCTCCTCTCTTCCTTGCCTCCTTCCGAGTCCCACGCGGCGGGCAGAGCTGACCCTCTCCTGCGCAACAGGCCATCGTGCGTCGACACCTCGCGTTCCCGGACCCTCCCGCCCTCGCTGACCTTTCTCCTCGTCACGCAGACCCCTCGCCCGATCGGCTTCATCTCGACCGTCAACGCCAAGGGCGAGACCAACCTCGCGCCGTTCAGCTACTTTGCCGCCGTCGGGCACGACCCGCTCGTCGTCATGGTCAGCTTTACGCACCCGAACGGCGACGACATGAAGGGCACCTGTGAGAACATCCTCACGACCAAGGAGTTCTCGGCCAACATGTGCGTCTCGCTCTCACTCTCGGTCGCGTCGTTCCTCGTCAGCGGCGCTCACCGACTCGCCCTCTCTGCAGCATCTCGGAGCCGTTCGTCGAGGCGGCCAACTACACGTCGATCGACGCGCCCAAGGGCACGAGCGAGTGGCCCTTGAGCGGCCTCACGCCCGTCCCGAGCAAGACGATCAAGCCGGCGCGCGTTGGCGAGAGCGGCTTCTCGATGGAATGCGTGCTCGGTGCGTCTCGCAGCTCTTTCCCTCTCTCTCTCGGGTCCACGCTGTACCAGCGCAGGGTACTGAGTCTTGAGCGCCTTCGACCCACGCAGAGCACTCGTACGACCTCAAGAACGACAAGGGCGTGCGCACGGGCACGATGGTGCTCGGCCGCGTCCAGCTCGTTCACGCGCGCAGCGACCTCATCGACCGCGAGACGCTCCTGGTCGACACGGCCAAGCTCATGCCCGTCTCGAGGCTCGGCGGCATCACGTACGCGCGCACGACGCAGATGTACGAGCTCCCTGTGCGTCCCTCTCTCTCGCCCTCTGTCCCCTCCTCTCTTCCCCTCTCTCTCTTCCTCTCTTCCCCTCTCTCCCTTTCTCTCCCTCTCTCGCCCCCTCTTGTTCGCAGCTCTCGTGCCACACGATGTACTCACGCTCGACATCGACGTCCGCAGCGCCCCGTGTTCGACAAGGAGAAGGAGCGCGACGAGGTCAAGGCGCTCCTCGCCAAGGCGTAGACCGACGGCTTGTGTAGACGGACCCTTCTCTCTTACTTCATGACGCAAAGTAGTACCGACACCTGTTCTCGCGACTGTGCTCGTGTCGAGAGCGCGAGAGCTGGAGGATGAGCCGTCGTCAAGCCGAGCGAAGCAGAGGCTCGAGAGCGGTGAGGACAGCCGTGGCTTGCACCGCCTGTGTGCGTGAGGGCACTTCCTGCAGCTCGGCCTGTCCTCTAGAAGGCCCAAAGAGAGCGCTCGCGAGGGAACAGACCCGCAGGAAGAACGGTTCTTGCCTCGCCGACCTCCGACTTGAGAAGGAAGCTGAAGGACCTTACTCCCGCTCTACACGACAAATTGGCCCGGGAAACGCCCTCGATTGCACCGCAGACACCTCCTCGTTCGATCTGGCGCGCGCAGAAGGCGCCAACCCTGCTAGATCAAGAGATAGCGTTTGAGCGAGGGTGCGCAGGATCCCCCTGTCTCGAGTAGGTGGCCGGGCGCACGGGCGCTCCGCAGGGGTGCGCGCCGTGCGAGCGACTCACCACAGTGCGCCCGCTGCCCTCAGGGGCACGAGAGGGCGGGCGCGGCCTCGTAAGGACCCGTCCGCGACGGCTCGACTCGCTGAGCCGTCGGGACGAGTGCGACGACGAACGAGAACTCTGAACGGTCTGGGGACAATCGCAAGGGACGAGAGGGCTTTCGGAGAGGAAAGGGCGCTGTCGTGCGGCGCAGCAAGGGCGCGAGGGGAAGCTTTCGGGGCCGAGAAGTGGGAGGCGCCATCGAGGGCTCGACTAACCTGCGGCGCGACATTAAGAGGGTCAGTACGCGGGTCGGCGAGGAGCACAGACCCACATGAAGGTACTGCAGGGAAGAAAGAGAGGACGTGGGACGTACAAAGGACAAGATGAGCCGCCTCGAGGTCGAGAGCCCGCCTCGACCCGTCCAGAAGACCGCCCTGCTCGCCTTGCGCAGCCGTTCCGCCTGTAAGGTGACCGAATCAGTCCGCCGAGACTCCTGTGCCGTATCGCGAGGTAGCAGAGGGGGCGAGAGGAGAGGGAGAGGGGGCCAAACACGGGGAGGCGGGGAGGAGGTGGACGCACGAGTCGTCCACAGCCCGCGCAGCGCTGCGGCCTTGCCCAGTAGTCTTCTTGACGCTGCCATAGTCCTCGACGACAACGCCCACAGGCCCACGAGTCGTTGTCGCCAGTCGAGGCCGGGCGGTTGGTGATGAGGATGCGACGCGCTCTGCGCTGTCGACGAGCGCTTGCGACGGGGCGAGCGATGCTTTTGCGCGTTGTCGAGATACAAAGCTGCCCAGGGGAGCAATATAGCGCGCGCCCAGTCGTGAAGGCCGAGGATGGAGGAGAGAGACCGGACGGCGCGCCTCCCGCCCGCCGCTTCCTCGGTGAGTGCGGCTGTCAAGCATGACTTGCGGGTCGAATTGCACGTTGGACATGTCGTCAAGGCTTCGTTACTCGTGCTCGCTGGGTATGCGGCCTGCCCTGGCCCCGACTCGCTCAACTGCGCCCTCCCCTCGCCGGCCACGCCTTGCCGTGCTTCCTCCCTCCCCTGCCCTCGCTCCTCACGCACCTCGTCGCCTCCCGATCCGGCCTCCAGCCCCTCTCGCAAGCGAACACGACGCACGCGCCGGCGTCGCACCCCGTGCTCGTCGCGTGCGGCACGTCCCTCGTGCAGTCCCTCCCCTCGCCGAGCGTCACGCACCCGCCGCACGAGTCGACCTCCTGCCGCACGTCGATGCACTCGTACCCGCCTCGGGACGCCGCCATCTCGGCGGCGAAGGCGCGCAGGAGCTGGGCGACCGTGCGCGGGTCGCCGCGACGAGGTGCGTCCGAGGCGGTCGCGAGCGAGGCGCTGCCGGCGATGGGGCAGGCCGTGAGGGGCAAGGGGCAGAGCTGGTCGTCGTCGAAGGACGAGTCGGGGAGGGCGCGACGCTGGCGCGAGCGGGTCGTGGGAGGGTCGTCGGCGGCGACGGGCTCGTGCGTCGTGGCGAGGTGGGAGAGGGGAGCCCGGCCGGTGGCGGGTGGGGCAGAGGATGCTGAAGCGTCCTTTGGGGGCACTCGCGCAGAGTCGGCGTCGAGGGGAAAGGTGGCGAGCGCCGAGGACGACGAAGAGGGGAGCTCTTGATTTGAGAAGGTCGTCGTCGACATGGACGGCTGCAACGAGAGACACACGCCTGCGAAGCACGTCTCGTCCGCTCGACAGGAGCTGTTCGTGTTTATGATCCGGCGGGAAGGGTCAGACGCTGTGTCGGGTGAGCGAGAGAGGGAGAGAGAGAGAATCGCGAGGGACGCACCAGCCGTCGTCTCGTTCCGCCCTCGCGCACTCGCCCGCCTCGTCGTCCCACACATAGCCCTCGTCGCACACCTCAGCCCTGCAGCTCCCGTCGACGCACACGCTCCCTCGACCGTTCTCGAACGACGAAGGGCAGACGAGCCCGGCTCGGCCGCAGTTGCTCGCGTCGGCCGCGAACGGGACGACGGCGCAAGCTCCGCCGCGGTAGCTGTACCCGGCGGCGCACCTCGTCGCGAGACAAAAGCCCGCGATGCACGTCACGTCGGTGGCGCCGGTCGGCATCGAGCAGATGCGCCCGACGCTGCCGCAGTTGCGCGAGTCGGTCGCCGTGTTGACGCAGGACGAGGTCGCGACGTCCCACGAGTAGCCGAGGGTGCAGCTCGAGACGCACTGGCCCAGCTGACAGGCGACAGGGCCGACCGCGTTGGCGAGGGCGGACGGGCAGACGTTGCCGATGGTGCCGCCTGTGCGCGACAAGGGGTCAGGTCGACCTCGTGAGGCGTCGAAAGAGAACGAGAGCGTGACGCACAGTTGTGAGGATCGGACCCCGTGTCGATAGCTGGCCCAGGGTTGCCCTCGCACGCGGCGGTGATGCCCAACGAGCAGAGCAGCCCTTGAACCGGCGTCTGGCGCTTGGTGCCCGGCGCCCGGTGCGACCAGTGCGGCCGCTGCGACTGCTCGAGGTGGTTCTTGACCTTGACGAGGTGGAAGCGCGTCGAGTCGAGGACCGGCGCCTTGTCGGCGAGAGCCGGCGGGAAGAAGGCGAGGAGGAGGACAAGGAAGGCGAGGACGGGTCGACACGGGTCCCTGCCGAGTCGGCGCATGTCGTACTGGACGAATATGGGCGAGTTATGGCGGACGAGGATGGACAGGCGGCGTCGGCGCAGGAGGGCGAGGTAGCCTCGAGCTGGCGAGGGTCGGTGCGGGCGAGGAGCTTGAACGAGTGTGGGTGGGCCGGACGGGGCTTCTGAGTGTGCAGGACGCTCTCGTGTGTGAGTACAAGATGTGTAGGAGGTCAAGAAGCGGGACGCACCTGGGTGGAACGGCTGGTGAGAAGCCCGAGCCAGAAGATCGCTCCTCGTCCGAGTGCCCCACCTCGCCGCGAGAATGACCTGGATGAACGCGAGCACTCGTCCCAGGCTCCATGTGCTCGAGTGGAAAGGAGCGCTCGAGCAGACGGTCCGCCGAGCGAGCACGTTCACAGCGGCTCGGCGACCAGGCACCCGCACACCGCCTGCCTCGCAGGGGTTTCTAGAGACGCTGAACACCCGAGGCTAGCTCGAGAGGGCAGGAGCGACGGGCGCGGCGAGTAAGAAGATGCTCGGCCGTAACTTACGCCGTGTAGCCAGGGTCGCTTGCCAGCAGGCAACGCCTTACAGGACGCGAGCGTCGGCAGTGCGAGACGAGGAGCAGGGTGGGACGAAGAGCTGGCGAACGTGGCCCAGGTGGATAATCTGTGCGGTGGGAAGAAATCAGGGCGTGTGCTCGAGAGATAAGGAAGTCTGGACGCACACATAAGCTGAAAGACGCCCTCGAGACGAGCGAGAAGAGCGAAAGGAGGGACAGCAGTCGCGGTTTCGTCCCGGCGCGAGGGCGCCAGCGGTACGAGAGGGCGACCGACGTCCCCTAGACAAGCACCACAAACAGCTGGTACAGTATGCGGGCCCGCCGGCTGCGGTTGCCCGCCGCGAAGGGGAGGGAGGGAGCTCGAGGAGGAGCGAGGAGGGCCACAGCGTCGCGACCCAGCCTCTGCTCGCCGCGCTCGTCCGGGTAGCTGCTCGACAGTAGTCGCTGCACTGGCTGAGCGACCGCACACTGGCAGTCCGAGGCGAGGTCGAGTGGGCGATGAGGACCGAGGATGTCGAGGGGAGCGGGCGACGAGAGCGGCGGTGATGAGGCGAAACGCGAGGCGGCTGCAGTAGAGGGCTGAACAGTGCAGCTGACGCTAGTCCAGTGCCCGTCTGCGGTGGTGCGAGAGAGCAAGCGCCCCGGCCTCGCAGTTGAATCGTGGCGCGGGGTCGACCTGGTCCTCGCCCTCACCACAACCACGAGAGCTGCTTGCCAGGCCTGCACCAGCCTCTCCAAGTGACCGTACACTCGCCCCGACTCGAGCTACTCGTCCAGCACTCGCCCTCGACGTCAGCCCCGTCTCCCTTCATCTACATCGCTCCGTGCCTCCGGGACGAGCCCTCGCCTCGCACACACCGTGGGCGGGGCCGTGGACACGTGCAGCGCACCTGTACACCCCTCTCGAGCAACCGGACTGACCGCCAGCCCCGCGCCGCCGCAGCTTTTCCTCGCCGTCCTCCTCCGCCCCCGTCATGGACGCCGACCAGCAGCAGCAGCAGGCTCAGCAGCCCCCGGCCCGCCCCGTCCAGGTCAAGCTCGTCCTCCTCGGCGAGTCGGCCGTCGGCAAGTCATCGGTCGTGCTCCGATTCTGCCAGAACGACTTCCAGCCCAACAAGGAGCCCACTATCGGCGCCGCCTTCCTCACCCAGCGCTGCCGCCTCGGTGCGTCCCCCCCAGTCTTCCCCCGTGCACTCCTGCCGAATGGCAGGATTGTCGAGATCCTGCCGTCTCGGCTTCGCGAAGGCGCCCGTGAGCTCACTCGTCCCTCTTCCCCCCTGCGACAGAGGACAAGGTGATCAAGTTCGAGATTTGGGACACGGCCGGCCAGGAGCGCTTCCGCAGCTTGTCGCCCATGTACTACCGCAACGCCCAGGCCGCTGTCGTCGTGTACGACGTGACCAAGTCGGTGCGCCCTCGCTCCCTTTTGTGTCCCCTCTACTCGTGCCGGAGCCCGCCGCTCACTTGCGCGTTTCTCTCCCGCGCAGGCGTCGCTCGACCAGGCCAAGACGTGGGTCAAGGAGCTCCAGAGGCAGGCCAACCCCAAGTGCGTCTCGCCGCCGCACCTCTCGCTCGCGAGCGCAAACTGACCGGCCGACCCGTCTTGCGCAGCATCGTCATCGCGCTCGCCGGCAACAAGATCGACCTCGTCCGCCCTTCCACCGACGACGAGCCCTCTACGCCGACGGGTGCGGCCGACATCGAGACGGGCAGCGGCGAGGACTCGTCGTCGAACGACGACGCGACCGAGACGCCCGGCGGCGACGATGCGGCGTCGGCTGCCGGCGGTGACGAGGGCCCCGACGGCGGCAAGCCGAGCGAGGCGCGGCGGCAGGTGTCGCGCGAGGAGGCCGAGGAGTACGCCAAGGAGTGCGGCCTGCTCTTCTTCGAGACGAGCGCCAAGACGGGCGAGGGCGTCGTCGAGGTCTTTACCGAGATTGGTGCGCTCCCCTCTCTCTTCTCTGTCGTCGCCCTTGTGTGCCCTCACTGACTGGCTCTCGACACCCCGTGCAGCCAAGAAGATCCCGCTCGACGCCCTCATGGCGCAGTCGCGCGGCCCCGGTGGCGCTCGTGGCGCCGCGCGCGGTCAGGCCGGCGCGCCCGGCGTCAACCTGACCGAGAACGAGGCGACCAAGAAGGACGCCTGCGCCTGCTGAGGGCGCCCCCAACGAGTCTCTCAGGTCTGCATCCGCCGTCGTCGTCGCGCGCTCTCCCCTTCTGCACGGATCTCTGCCTCCCTACCCTGTACCTCTCGTCGCGCCTCGCTATTTTCAGTCAGTCTGCCTTTGTGTGCAACCAGTCTCTTTCTCTGTGTGCGACCTCCAGCGAGAGAGAGCGAGAGGTTGTCGGAAAGGCGAAACGGCTCGAGAAAGACGCGTCTCGAGGCGTTTGCGGGCTTGGCTCGGCTCGCTTTGCCTCGTCGACACGCCTGGCTCGCTCCCACCTTGCAGAGCGCACGCGCGATGGCGACGGTCAACTACTCTCGCCCGATGCGGCCCTCGACAGGTCCGTGCCCGCTCCCCTTGGTCTCGCACGCTCCTCGCCGGCGGACCCTTCCCCACGCCTCGTCTCCCCTCCCCCCTTCTGCCCAACCTCGCCGCCGCCTCGCCCCGCGAGCATGGCAGGCCTCCTCAAGCGCACCAAGAGCGTCACTGACTACTTTCGTGGTCCCTCCCGCTCCTCCTCCCGGTCGCCGTCGCCTCTCCCCGCCTCGGTCGCTCCTCCTCCTGGTCCTCGTCCTCCCGACCCGCCTCGCCTCGACCTCCCACCGCCGTCCGACACGCTCCATCCGCCTCGCGCAGACTCTTACTCGGCACGCGACCGCGACGTGAGTCCCCCCAACCGTCCTCTCTGAGCCCACTCCCCCTCTCGCCCTCTCACTCGCCCGGCGCGTCCGCCAAGCCGCCCGACGAGATCCGACGAGCGCACCCAGCAACGGCCGGGGCCCGTCTCGCGCGTATCAAGCAGTGGCGCTGACCTGTGCTCGCCTACGCAGGGCACCGCCCACGCCGCACCGACGCTCGACACCTCGTTCACCCGCTCGCAAACGGTCGACGACATCCTCGGCGCGTACGGCGACTCGCCGACCAAGACGCGGTTCGCGCCCGAGCCTCAGCGCTACGACAGCAACTACACGACGGCCACGACCGCGTCGGGCTCGTCGTCGCGCGACGAGATGGCCGGCATGCCCGTCCTCGACCACCGCAACGAGCGCGCCGAGTTGCGCCAGAGCACGCGTTCGAGCAGCACCCGCAACCGGCCGGTCGGCGCCAGCAGGACCAAGAGCAGCTCGGAGCTCGACATCATCGACCGCCTCGACATCTCGGGCCTGTATGGAGGCGGCAGTGCGTCCCTCTCTCTCGCCCGTCCTCTTCCCGTCCTCCCGACTGACCTCGAGCCACTCTCGCAGGCTTTGTCCGTCACGATGGACCCTACGCCGCCGCCTCGACGACCCGCAACCAGGGCTCGCTCGCGCCCATCGCCGCCTTCGACCCGTCCGCCTTTACCCTCACTCCTTCCCCCGCTTCCTCGAGCGCGTCGTCGATGCGCCGCGCCCACTCGAGCGGCCTGCCCGCCTCTTCGGGGCTCGCGAGGTCCGAGGGCCCGTACGGCGCCGCGTCCAAGGCGCTCACCGGCAGTAGCAGCAGCCCGGGCGCTCGCGGCGCAGGAGGAGGAGGAACGCGGCGCGACATCTCGCTCGGGTACCCGAGCCAGCGCGAGGAACGCGGCAAGGGGCAGCAGCTGCTCGAGATCTACGGCGTGCAGGACAACGAGGCGTGGGAGGACTATGGGCAGGCGACGTACGACTCGAAGGCGGCGTCGAGGGAGAGCGTCTTGCCACCGGGCGCGCCGGGGAGGACCAAGGAGGAGCGCTTTGCGCGCACGCAGAGCATCTGGGACATCGAGGTGCGCTCTCTCTCTCTCTCTCTGTCGCCTTGAACGACCGACTGACCCTGTTGCACGAACAGGCGACCCTCAAGGCCGGCAAGCCCGTCGGCCAAGCACCTCCTCCCGTTCCCGTCATGCCCTCGGCCTTCGCCGCCCCCGAGCTCTCGCCGTCGAACAAGCCCAAGCGGTCCAAGTCGATCGCGGCGCGCTTCCGAGCCGGGCGCAAGAACCCGAACAGCCCGATGGGCGACGACCTCACGGTCCAGGTCGACGACGGCCGCGAGGCGGGCCAGGCCGGCAGCGCGCCGACGAGCCCGACCGACGACCGCCCTCGCGGCGGACGCGACTGGCCCTTGACGGCGTCGATGCCGGCTTCGGCGTCGGACGCGACGGCGTCGGCTTCGGCGTCGGCCAGTCGTCGCGGGAGCGAGGCGGCCGAGCGCGGCGCACCGCTCGAGATCCGCACGCAGGCGCTCCGGTTCGAGGACCCGCCGGCGCCGAGGAGCCCGGTCGACCGGCAGGGAGGGTTCGGGCGGACGTGGACGGACGAGGGCGCCGGCGGGTCGCCGACGACGAGCAAGAAGGAGAAGGGCGGGCTCAAGAGGCTGTTCAGCACCAAGCGCAAGGTGCGCCCTCCTCTCCCTCTCTCTCTTTCTCTCCTCGTTCTTTGCAGCTGCGTGTACTGACGTCCTCGTCCCGCAGAGCTGAGTCGAGCCGACTAGACGTCGGGGTCGCAGGCGATCCCTCCCCATCCTTTATCCCTCTCTCTCTCTGGCCCTCTCGCTCGCCCCTCGCCCCACCCTTCTGCGCGCGTTGCTGCCTCGACGGACACTGCCTGTGCATAGTCTCGCAGTCGTGTAGATTCCCCCCTCTCTTTGTCGCGCAAGTCGGACCCCTCCGCGAGGTTGTACTCGAGCCTCGGCCCGGTCGCGCTCCTTTGCTCCTTTCTCCTGGACTGTGTCGTCGAGAGCTTTGACTACAGGGTCCGGCGGAACGGCCGAAACAAAGCAGGAGAGCGACGAGAACGATCGGGGCTTCCCTTTGTCGCCCGCCGCCGAACGACCTCGACGGCGACGAGGGCTTGCCTCTGCTCTGCACCGGTCCTCGCCCCGCTGAGCGCCATGGACGTCGACCTATCGCCGCCGCAGTCGCCCTTCGACGCTCGCCCCGCGCCCGCCTCGCCTCCTGCGACCGCCGACACGACCTCATCAGTCGCCGAGCCGTCGTCGACCAAGGTGTCGACTCCTCCCACCCCGAGCGAGGGTCCGACTGCCGCCAAGCCTCTGCCAGTCGAGTGGCCCTTGACCAGCTTCAGCTCGACGCCGCACAACGTCGCCGCCATCGCGTTCGTCCTCGGCGCGACCTGGTCGGTCGGAGCCGTCCTCCTCGCCCTCAACGCCTCGAGCTGGTTCGCCTGGTCGTCGGCCGCCCTCCAGCACCACGTCCAGCAGCTCCCGCAAGGTGTCTGGTACGCCGCGACGCACAGCTCCCAACTCGGCTTCTACCTCGCGTGCTGGTCCTTCTTCCACCTCGCCGAGTTCATCGTCACGTCCATGTACAACCCGGGCAAGCTCTCGGTGTCCTGTGCGTCCCTCCTTCTTCTTGTCGGGGCTGAGTTGTACCTCACTGACCTCCTTGCCCCTCCTCCTTCCCCTCGACCAGCTTACCTCCTCGACAACGGCCAGCTGTACCACGTCGCCCACGTCGCCGGCATCCTCGAGCACGTCCTCGAGGACGCCTACCTCCCGGCCGAGTACCGTCGCTGGAAGCACGCTGGCGGCCTCTTCCTCGTCGGTGCGCCCAAGCTCCTCCCCTACTCCCTCGCGTCCTCGAAACTGACCCGCCGCACGTCGCCAGGTGTCGCCCTCATCGCTGCCGGTCAGTGGCTCCGGTCGTACGCCATGATCAGCGCCAGCAGCAACTTCTCGCATCTGTGCGTCGTCCTCCCTCGTCGTCATCGACGCCGGCGAGCACTGACCCAGAGCATCCTCTCCCGCAGGCTCGCCTACAGCAAGCGCCCTGGCCACCGCCTCGTCAAGGAGGGCATCTACGGCTGGTCTCGTCATCCGTCTTACGCCGGCTTCTACTGGTGGGCCTTTGGCACGCAGGTGCGTCCCTCCCTCGCCGAGTCCTCCCTCGCCGAGCGGTCGACCTGACCTTCCCCCTACCCCTCGACGCAGGTCATGCTCGGCAACCCTGTCTGCGGGCTCCTCTTCCTCTGCATGCTCCAGTGGTTCTTCCACAAGCGCATTCGCGGTGCGTCCCCACCCTCACCCTCGTCGAGACGACCCCGGACCCTGACGAGCCTCTGCCTCGCAGTCGAGGAGGTCTATCTCGTCAAGTTCTTCGGCAAGGAGTACGAGGACTATCGTCGCGAGGTGCCGAGCCGCATCCTCTTCGTGCCGTAGAAGGTCGAGTCTTGCATTTTCCCGTTTCCCGGCCGACCCTTTGTCCCCGCGCCCCAAGCGTCCGGGTCCTCGACGCGATCGACTCGCGCCTGTTTATCGAGAGCTTCTCGCCTGTTTCCTTCCACCTCTCTGCTTCTCTCTCGTGCGCACACGATGAAGGACTCGAGCTCGTCGGCGCCTGCCGGGCGGGCCATGTACGCGACGCTCGCCGCCTGCATCGTCGGGATCGTCCTCTACTGCTCCTTGTGCGTCGACGTTCCTTCCTCGACCTCCCTCTCTCTCGAACGCGAGCTCACGCGCCTTTGTCGCCCCGCAGAGCTTTGCCGAGTTACGGCGTCCCCTCGTTCGAGCTGCCGGCTTGGACGTCCAAGATCACTTCCGACCCGGGCCTGCTCTGTACGTCTCCCTTTCCTCTCCCTTCCACGGTCTCGAGGCAAGGCTTTCAAGCAGACAACCTGACTGACCGCTTGAACCTCCAGTTCGCTCTTCCCCGTCCTCGAGCGGCTCGCTCGAGCTCCTCGCCTCGACCAGTTGCGCCGCCTCGCCGACCTTGCTCGCCGAGTACGGGCAGCACAATCTGCGCATGGCGCAAGTCCACGTCGGTTCCGGCTACCGCGTTCAGAAGGTGCTGCAGAAGGCGGCGCGAGGCGAGCGCGTGCGCGTCGGCGTCCTCGGCGGGAGCGGTGCGTCCTCTTCCCGCCTCTTTCTCTCCCACGCCGTCCTCTCGAGCTCTCTCACTGACCTCTGAGGGCCCACAGTCTCGCTCGGCCACGGTACCGACCCTAAAACCGGGCACCGCAACAAGTACGGCGCCGTGCCGCACGAGGCGCAGTGGCACCAGCTCGTCCTCGCGCACCTCGAGCAGACGTTCCCGCAGGCCGACATCGAGTTCGTCCTCGGCGCAAGGCGGCGACCGACTCGAGCTTCTTCGAGTGGTGCTGGCCGTCCCTAATGTGAGTCTCCCTCTTTCCCTCATGCCGTGGCCCTCTCCCTCGACGTGTGCCCTCTCTTTCTCGGCGCCCGGCGTCCTGACGTGCTCCGACACACAGTGGAGAAGACCTCGACCTCATCGCCGTCGAGATGGCGGTCAACGACGAGTTCTCGAACGGCATGGACTCGGTCGAGAACCTGCTGCGGTCGCTCCTCAACCTCGACAGCGAGCCGGCTGTCCTGTTCGTCGACTTCTTCGCGCTCCAGAGCGGTTCGGCGCAAAAGACGATCCTGTCGGGCCAAGACGTGCAGAACTCGCTGGCGAGCTGGTACGACGTTCCTCAGGTGCGCCTCGCAGTTTCCTCCCTTGCCTCTCCGTCGCTGCCTCTCGCTCCTGAGGAGCGCTCACTGACTCGATTCTCGACCACGCAGATCTCGGCTCGCCCAGCTCTTCTGCAAGCCATGATCCGCGACCCTGCACTCGCCGAGCCGCTGTTCCTCGGAGATTTGCGGCACGGAACGCAGGTCGTCCACCGGTTCGTCGGCAACATGGTCGTCGGCTACCTGCAGGAGGAGCAGTGTCGAGCCGAGCGCTTGGGGCTCGAAGAGCACGACGACGGGCGCGACGAGGACGTGGCTAAAGCGTGGCTCGGGCGAGACGGTCTTGGGAAGGTCCCGTCGGTGCGTCTCTCTTTCCCTCGTCGGGCGGTCCACAAAGCCTGACTCGTGCACCTGCAGGTCAAGCTCAACGAGGGCTGGGATACCAAGATCGAGCATCCGACCAAGCCGCCGACTTGCGGCGTCGCCGGCGCCGGGCTCGAGCCTGTCGAGCCGTCGCCCGACTGGCAGCTGTTCAACTGGAAGTACTCGAGTGCGTCCTGCTCCTTCTCTCTCTCCCTCGTCCTTCTGAACTCTCGACTGACACTCTCGGGCCCTGCAGAATACTTCTGGGAGACGACCGTCCCCTCCTCGAGCACCATCGCCTTTGCCGCCGTCGTGCGCGAGGGAGCTCAAGGCCTCCTCGCCGTCTCCTACCTTCGCTCTCGCCAGTACGACCTCGGCAAGGCGCGATGCTCGGTCGAGGGGCAGGAGGTGACACTCGATGGCAGCTGGCAGCGGAGCACGTCGGTCGCGCAGACGGCCATCGTCGCTCGCGGTCTCGCGCCCGGTCGGCACGAGGTTCGCTGTCGGACGCTTCCTCGAGCGAAGGAGGGTGGTGGGACTGCTTTCCGTTTGATGGGCGTCATGACCTTGTAGCTTTGCGTCGGCGTCGTCGTCGTCGTCGTCGTCGAGAGCAATCGCACCTCTTGTTGTTGTCGCTCGGGCCTCGCGCCGACTCTGGTTCCTTTTGTCTCTCGTATCGAGGTTCCTTCGCTGCTTCACGAGCCTGCAGAGAGAGCCAACAGCGAGAGAGAAGCTGGGTTCCGCGGTCCGACCGCAGAGAGGAGCTTGCGCTCAAAAGTGCGGGGCGCCAGCGCGCCAGCTCGTCGTCCTCCTCCCACTCGACTCGAACATGGTCAAGGGGCGCCTGTGGCCCTTTGCCGCTGCGCTGTGCGCCAGCTGCATCGTCCTCTGGTGCGTCCACGCTCGCGCCTGATCAGCCTCCGCCCCCGCTCACCTCGTCCCTCGATCGCCTCGACCCACAACGGCGGCTCGCAGGTGGCTCGCCCTCTCGCTCGCAGGTCCTGGTGCGCTGGACGCATCTTCATCTGGCACGGTCGCGTCCTTGGCTCGCGTCCTGAGCACGGCACGAGGTGAGCCCCCCCTTCTTCCCCCCGACCGCGACTCGTCGTCCTCGAGCTGATCCTCTTGAACTCGCGCAGTTCCTGCCGCATCTACCTGCCGGGTCGACCCGTCTCTACTACGAGAATATGGGCGGCACACGTTGAGCCTGTCGCGCGTCCACGAGGGATCGGGCTACCGGGTGCAGCGGGTTCTCGAGCGGTTGGAGAGCGGCGAGGGCATCAAGGCTGCGGTCATCGGCGGCAGCGGTGCGTCTGCGCCATCCTCCTCTATCCCGAGCGCGGTCTGACCCGGCGCCGTCCCCTCTCGCAGTGTCGAACGGCCACGGCATGTCGCCTTCGGGCGTCCCGTTCGAGTACGGTGCTGTCAAGGCGCCTTGGCACACGTTCGTCTCGGCCTGGCTCAACACGACATACGGGCCGCAGGCGTTCATCAACGGCGCGATGGCCGCGACCGACTCGACCTTCTTCCGTTACTGCTGGGCCGAGCGGATCCGCCTGGCAGAGTCGGCGCCCGACTTGGTCCTCGTCGAGCTCGACGTGAACGACGTTGCGTGCGTCTCACCCTCCCCTTTCTTCCCCTCGAGCGACACCTGGACTCGAGTTGACCGGACCCTCGCCCGCAGAGACGAGCCCTCTCGCCTTGCAGCTGAGCTCCTCGTCCGCTCGATCCTCCTCCTGCCCAACAAGCCTGCCGTGAGTCTCTCCTATCCCTGCACGTGTTCCTGTGTCGGCCGTATGACCTCGAGCTCACGCTCGACACGTCCCGCAGGTCATCTTTGTCGGCGCTTTCGCGCTCGTCTCGCAGTCGCGCCGGGACGGGATCCTGAACGGCGGCGACGTCCACGCCCAAGTTGCGGCGTACTACGACGTGCCTCATGTGCGTCGTCTTGCTCGATGTATACTCCTCGTCGGCCCCACTAACAGCCGTGTGTCCACAGATCTCGCTTCGCGGGCCATTTCTCCCGGCGCTCACCGCCAACCACTCGCTCAGCCAGCCTTGGTTCAACGGCGACCCTCGTCACATCGCCGCACCTCTACACCGAGCACTCGGCGACATGGTCATCGCGTTCCTGAGCGAGCAGCGCTGCTCGATCGACGCCGCCGACCTCGTCCTCTCGAACGAGGGCTCGTTCTCGTTTTCCCAACTCGTCGGCGAGGTCCCCTCGGTGCGCTCAATCTCTCCTCTCCTCTTCTCCCATCATCCTTGTCCCTGTTCCTGACACTCTCCTCTCGCAGCGTCTCATGCGCGACGAGTGGGACGCGACGGTCGTTCACCCCGCCTCTCCGCCAGCCTGTCGCATCGCAGGCTCGACGCTCGAGCCCGCCTCAGCAAGCCCCGACTGGTCCCTCTACTCGTTCCGCGACGTCAAGACGTACCTCGAGACGACCAAAGGCGCAGGGCGCACGATCGATTTCGACGTCGAGGTGCCGCCTGGAGCGGCCGGCGAGGTCGGCGTCGCGTTCCTGCGCTCGCCGCACTACAAGCTCGGCAAGGCCGTGTGTCGAGTCGGTGAGCAGGAGAAGGTACTGGACGGCTTCTGGTCGCGCAAGGCGTCCCTCACCGAGTGCGTCCCCTCTTTCTCTCTCTTTTTCTCTCTTTCTCGCTTTCTCTCCTTCCCCGCCTCTCCCCTCCTCCCTCCTCGCACGCGCGCTCGACACCTCGTGCCTCCTCTCTCTTCGACGCGACGTCCTCTTACTGACTCTTTCGTCCTCGCCCTGCCTCGTCGTCGCCGCAGGATCGAGATTGTCGCGAGGAACTTGCCGGTCGGGACCCACCGCCTCTCGTGCACGACCTCGAGCAAGGGCAAGGCGTTCCGGATAGCAGCTGTAGTCTCTGCATGAGGTAGACTTATTCTCGCACCTCGAGAGAGAGTGCGGAGAGTCCGCTTCGGAGGTGCGAGCGTCGAGCAACCCGGTTGCCGCCGCGCTCGCACCCTCGATTGTTCGCTCGCTCCTCGCTCCTCCACACTCTTGCTCTTTGGCTCCCTCTCGCTACCTCGACGTCTGCCTCAGCTTCAGCCTCGCGCTATGTTGTCGACGCTGCGCGGCCTGCGCACACGAGCGCGCTCGAGATCCAGCGAGGAGGGCTGGGTGCCGCTCTCCGAGCGAGGCGCCGAGTGGCCGCGCGACATGCGGCGAGCTGTGCCGTCTCTGCTGCAGATCGCCTTGCCAGCACTCGCGCTCTTCCTGGCGGGCGCGACGGCGGGCTACCTTGCCTTCCCGACGTTCCTCGGCCCCGTCGTCCTCTCGGTCTCGCCCGACCCGCTCTTTCCGGTCGACCTCTCTTACCTCAAGGTGCGCTCCCTCTCGACGACGGTCAAGCGCGAGAGCGAGCAACGTCGAGCAGGACTGACTCGTCGCCATTTCCGCAGACTCGTCCTTACGATCCTCTTCCCGCAAGCCTCGTCCACCAGCGCAACCTCAACTACAAGCAGTGCGACGACGCGTTCACACTCCTGTGGCCTGCCGTTCACGAGGCGGCCCAGCAGTTCGCGCGCGACGGCATCTCGCTCGACGAGCTCGACCGGCTCGAGCGCGAGGAGACGAGGGTCTCGATCGTCGACGGTCAGCTGTACGGTCCGTCCTCTCTCTTGCACTCTCTCGCACGTCCAGTCTCGCCAATGTGCCCGACCTGACGAGCCCCCGCCACCGACCCGCAGTCAAGACGTTCCACGGCGAGTGGACCTCGAGGTCCTTCGCCGTCCTCGCCTCGCTCAACGAGGCGGTGCGCACCTCGCCCGACGTCTTTCCTGACGTAGAGTTCGTCTTCCGGTACGTCTCGTCTCTCCTGGTCTTCTCCCTCGGACGAGCTCGTCCACCGAGCCCTAGCTGACCTCTTTTCGAACCCGCAGGGCGACCGACAACCTCGGGAACGGCGCTCACTTTGGATTGACCAAGCGCGACTCGGACCGCATGTTCCTCCTGCCCGACTTTGGCTTCTACTCGTGGCCCGAGCCTCGTGCTCTCGGCTGGCAAAATGCTCGACGCAAGGCGATCCAGTTCGACTCGAGCCTCAACTGGACCTCGAAGGAGGACAAGCTCGTGCGTCCTTGCCTTCTCTCTCTCGTCCTTTCAGCCTTTCTTCGCCGGCGAGGATGCCTGCGCCGTGAATACGGCGGCGGGCGAGCGTTGGCTGGATCGACGCACTGACCTCTTTTGGCACCCTCCCTTCCTGCAGTTTTGGCGCGGCGCATACCTGTCGCAGCTCCGCCATGATCTTCGAGACGTCGCCAACGCCCACCCTTGGGGCGACATCGGCGAGATCAAGTGGGGCGAGGGCGCCGCAGGGTGGATCACGATGGAGGAGCACTGCGGCAAGCGCTATCTGGCGGACGCCGACTCGCACTCGTACTCGGGCCGCCTCAAGTACCTCATGCTGTGCCGCTCGGTCGTCGTCTCACACCGCAAGAAGTGGCGCCAGTCGTGGCACGGCGCGCTCGACGGTCGGCCCGGCTCGCCGACGCAGAACTTTGTCGAGCTCGGCTCAGAGAGCTGGGACGGCCTCGTCGAAGCGGTGGAGGATCTGCGTGCGAGGCCGGCGCACGCAGAAGCTGTCGCCGAGAACGCCGTGCGGGCGCTGCGCGACCGGTCCGTCCTCGCGACCTTCCCAAGTTGACCTCGATCCTGACTGACGCGCTTTCTCCTCTCGCAGATACCTCACGCCGGCGAGCGTCGCGTGTTACTGGCGTCGAGTCCTATCGGTCCGTCCCTCTCTCCTTCTCTGTCCCTCAGAAACTGTGGCTGACCACCCTCGAGCGTCCAGGAGTACGCCGTTCGTCGACCCTCTCTCCTCTGCTTTCCGTTAGTTCGCACTTCTGACACTTCTATACGCTCACAGACCCTGCAGCGCTTCGTCCCGACTCGAGGTGGCATCGATTTTGAGTCGTTCATCCTCGCGCGAGAAGGTCCGTGCGCCTTTCGCTCTCCTTCCCTTTCTCGCTCTCCTTCCTCGAGGGCGCCCACTGACGCTCGTCCTCCGCCCTCAAGTCGACTACGCGCCGCATTAGCGAGTACGCCAGGCCTTTGCAGTTGAGTCGAGCGTGCAGGTCAGGCCGAGTCGAGGTGACCGCGTTCGAGGGGAGGAGGAGGCCGGACGCGGAGGACGTTCTTCGCGAGGAATGCGACGTCGACAGATTCAGGAGGACAGAACGCTACAGACGAGAGACGATGCAGATATGAAGAGGTCCGGCTACAAGATGGGGAAGAGGAGCGAGGGGAGAAAGAGAGTGACAGGAAGGGGAGGGACTATGCTACAGATGCGAGTAGCTCGCGCGAGAGGGAGAGACTATGGAAAGAAAGGGTTCGTGCCCGTGCTTGACGTCGTCGAGCCCTGCGGCGTGAAGTGGCCGAGCCCGAGAGGCGACGCTGGCATCGGCGTGCGGTTCCTCGCCGACGGCGTGCGCGCCTTCTCGCACCCGGGCGTCGGGAGGTACGCCGTCCTGTCCGACGACGGAGACGACGGGATGGCATCGCTGAAGTAGCACGCTCGCTCGGACGACGGCGCGCTCGGGCAGCCGGGCGAGTCCGGGAACGAGTAGGCGTGCCACTCGAACGAGGCACGGCCGCCGCCGAGAGAGGGAGCTGGCGGCATGTGCGACGGCGTGAGGGGCGTGCGAGGGCCCGAGTTCCCGAGGACGAACGCCGAGGATCGAGAGATGTGCGGCGAGGGTGGTGCGCTAGTCGAGGGGGAGGAGAACGGCGAGGAGGACGAGCCGAAGCCGCGCGGGAGCTTGAGGACGAGGCTCGACGGGATGCGGCGCACGGCTCGCTCGGCGACGGCGCCCATCTCAGACGGGTGCGGCGTCGACGATCGGCTGGACCTGCCGCTGCGCTCGTCGACGGCGGCGCACGGCGCGAGCATCGTCACGCCGGAGCTGGCGGGGCTGATCCCTTCGAGAGACATGCTCTGGAAGCCCGGCGTGCCAGGCTCGACGCCGAGACCCATGCCGGCGTCGCCCGACGCCTCGAAGCGCATCTGCTGCAGGCCGGCGAGCGTGCCACCTGGCAGCTTGCCCGACGCGGCGCGCCTCGCGGCGAGGCTCGACGGCAGGACGGCGCCGGGCACGGGCGTCGTCGGCGAGACGATGGAAGGCGACTCGAGGCCGACGTCGACCTTGATCCCGCCCGGCGTGGGAGGGCCAGCGTCGTAGGTGAAAGGCATGCGGAGGAAGGGCGCAGCCGTATCCATGGACGAGCTCTTCTTCCACTGCGAGACGCGCCCTTGGTCGTCGCCAAAGTCGACGCGTTGAACGTCGTCGTCGAGGTCGCCGTGGTCGAAGAGGCCCGACAGATGGCCCTCGGGCGGCGACACGTGGACGACGGGACCGAAAGAGGGCGACTCGGGCGGCGTCGGGTTCTCGTCTGCGCGCATCTCGACGGGTCTTAGTAGCCTGTACGTCGTCGACAGAGTAGAAGGAGGAGGAGACGCACCCAGCGAGACCAACGAGTCGATCGTGCCGTCGCTCGACACGCTCAAGTGGCGGACGCCGTCGAGCTCTGGCTCGTCGTCGTCCTCGTAATGAAGCACTGGCGAGTCAGGCTCGTAGTACGGCGCGACCATGACGAAGTGAACGTCGTGGGTGAGGGCGGAAGGTCGAAAGAGACGAAAGAAAGGCGCCGAGAGGCGGAGCGAGGGCGACGAGGCGAGAGGGGGTCGGTGCGAGACAGGCGGCGCAGCTCGACGGCTCGCGTCTTGCGCGTCGACGTTGGCGTGGCACGACGAGGTTGTTATGTGACGCTCGGCGAAGTCGTCGATGAGGCTGTGCGGCACTCGGTCGGCTGGCCCAGGTTCGCGAGTCGGCGGGGAAGGAGGAGGAGGCGGCGGCGAACGTGCGCGCGAGGCGGTGGGGAACCACGAGGAGCAAGAGAGTGCCAGGCGAGCCAGCACCTGCGTGTGTGTGTGTGCAGGAGACAAGCGTCGAGCGCGAGGCGGGAGCGAGAGAGGGCGAGCGAGCGACGGAGTTGAGCGAGAGCTCAAGGCACGACTGGCCACGAGTGTGCGCCCGGGCTGCTCGATGCGGTGCGCGCTCTCAAGAGCACTGCGCCGGCGTCGGCACGAACTTCCAACCCTCTCGTCGCCCCCGGAAGAGAAGTCGCCTCGTTCGAGCGCACTTTCCACGCCCGGCTCGCGGTCGGCCGACGACCTTCCACGCTCGGCGAAATGCCATTGTCGAGTCGGTGGGGCACACTTCCGAAGCGCGTCCGGTAGCACAGAGCGTCACTCGAAGGGACGTGCGCGAGAAGAGGCGCTGCCGCAAGTCGGCCGACGGCGAGGCGAGCTATCCCTTGAGCAGCGCGCTCAGCAGCTGCTGCGCGCCCGGGAACAGCAACGGCTGTATTCGATGCACTGCGGCGTGTTCGCCGGGACAAGCTCGTCGGGAACGGAGCGAGTGCGCAGGCCATCGCGCGAGCTGTGAGTCGACGGTCGAGCGGCCTGAGCGGCTTTGACGAGACTCGCTCGTGCTGCTCCTCTCTCGTCCTTGCGCCCGTGTCTGCGTCGCTCGCGTGGAAGCCTCGGCAGCATCGAAAGATGAAGGCACGCGGCGAGGCTGAGTGCGTGCGGGACGAGACTCTCGGCGGGCTCCCTCGACTCGAATCGAGCAAGCCGACGATGCGAGGAAAGGACGGTCGCGACGGCTGGCATTGGCAGTGCCCTCCTCGACGGTGCAACAGGCACTCTCCTCGACGAGCTCCGATTAATCGTCGTCGAGGTCGGACCCATCGGCGCCTGCTCGCCGGCGAGCAGCGCCGTCTCGGATCCCGCTCGCACGACCGCTCTTTCCGCTCAACGACGGGAACATGCCGACAGCGTCCGAGCCCGGGACCTTGTTGAGCACGCCTGTGAGAGAAAGAGAGTCAGGAAGAAGGGCTCGGACTGGCAAGGGCACGAGGAGAGGGAGGACGTACCGCACTGCACCATGCCGATTTCGAGCGACGCAGTCTGGAACGTGTCGCCTCCCGGCAGCTCGTCGAAGCCCACGAGTCTGCGAGGGGTCCAAGGCAAGGTCAGGTCAGGGCCATCGTCGGTTGGCGGCCGTACCTCGAGGAGCGCGAGAGCGGGACGTACTTCATCTTGGTGACGCCGTCGACGAAACCGATGACACAGGGCAGCACCTTGACCTCGAGCTTGGCGACGAGAAAGGGCACGTTGGCGACGTCGGCCTTGAGGAAGAGCGTGTCGGTGTGCTTGGCGGCGAGTTTCTGCAGGAGCGAGAGTCGGCTCCCGCTTCGAGGGTGAGGACGACCGAGAGAAAGAGAGCGCACCTCGAGATGGGCGTCCATGATCCTGCACCGCCGAAAGTCGCGGTGGTAGAAGTGCAAGACCGAGCGCTTGGCTTTGCTGCGCGCACGAGAGAGGGTCACTTGGTGGTCGAGAGGGGAGAGAGGAGGGTCGAGACACGCACGCCGTCGTTTCGATGAGCTCCTTCTCGACCTTGACCTCGGTGTACCGCCCGAATGTAGTGTTCTGGCGCTGTTGAGACGCGGCAACTCTGCGAGGGTGTGACGGCAGGGTCAGCTCGCGAGGGAGGGGAGGGGAGGGGAGGTGCGGGGAGGAGGAGGACGCACTGAGCCTGCAGCTCGCGCATACGCTGCTCCCTGAAGCCGCCGAGGTCAAAGTCGTTGTCGAGCTCTTCCTCGAGCTCCTCGAGCAGGGCGTCCGAGTCGTCCGAGTCGAGATCTTGACGCGACTGGTTGTGGACTGATGAGGACGAGGCGCTGGTGGGAGAGGCTGCGGTGAGCTCGGGGGCCGCTTGGCTGGCTTGTGGAGGGTCTGTTCACCTTGGTCGTGCACTCATAGTGGCAGCTCGTGGCGGTTGAGACGAGCGAGTGTCCAGCGAGGACGACGACCTCTCCTCCCTCTCGCTCTCGCGGTCGCCGTGCTCTCGCTAGCGCGTGGTGACGGTCTACACGCTGTTACCGCGTTCCTGCAGGCTCCCGCCCCGCAGCGTGCACTCGCTGCGAGCGCCAGTCGCCCTTGCTGCTCGCCTCCTCCCCGGCCGACAACCTGCTCGGGCGGGCGCCTCGGCGCTGCGGCACCAAACGAGGAGCTCCCACGATGCTCGCTCTCTACTCTATGCTCTCTCTGGCTGGGCGAGGTGGAGCGCGGCAAGGACTCTTTGGTCCAGTCGGCTGGCGGTGGTGTGCGTCGGCCGCAGGCTCAGGTGCGCCCTCCTCCCTTTCTTCCCTCTCTCGGGTCGACGAGCCTGACTGACACAGGCATCCACCGCGTCCTCTCCGACTACAGGTGCAAGCTCGGCCTCGCAGCGCACCAGCTCGACCGCAAAAGTGCGTCCTGCCCCTCCCGCACTTCCTCTCCCGGACCGCGCGCTCGCCTCTGTCTGTGAACGTGCAGGAACTTCGAGCCCGCACGCCTCGACGCGATAGTCGAGTCGTTCCCAAGTGCGTCCTCGCTGCCCCTCTTCTCGTGCAGGGCCGGCACTGACCTTCCTCCTCGGCGTGCGCAGCTCGTCCTGTCGCGCGAGCCGACCGCGCACCGCTCTGCCTCGCCTGCAATAAGCGCTCGTCGACGTGCGGCCGCAAACGAGCGCGACTGTGACACGCGCATGTCTGATCGCGCAGGCACGACGGCTAGATTGCGCGGGCGGAGCGGCTTCGTGACGGCTCGAGGCTTGAGAGGTGCGCTCACTTCTCCCTGTGCAGTGCGCGCCGTCCACCTTTCGTACATACCGCTCACGCGTTCTGGCATCGTGTGCGCAGCTCGACAAAATCTCGGGCCTGAGCGCGCGTCGTCCTCTCGTCCTCCTCCTCCTGCAGCTCAACCTCGCCCTCGTCCCACGGCGCGCCAATTCCCCTCGCCGCCTTTCATGCATCTTCTCGCGTCGCTCTTTGCTGCAACAGACGAGCCGCTTCCGTTCTCCCTTCCGAGCGAGGGCGGTGAGTGGTCGACGCGGGCGATCTGACCGCGTTCGGCGGAGGAAGCTTCCCGGCGGAGCAGCACACCGGCTCGGCCCCAGCCCATGCGGCCAAGACGAGGGCAGCCAGTGAGATTCGTGCGGGCGAGCGAGCGAGCGAGAGTGACCACGTCGCGAGAGAGCGCCGCTCGAGGGAGAGGGAAATGACGAGCTCACGGTCCGCGCCTTGCCGAGGAGGAAGCGCTGGACGCGACGATCAGAGAGCTCGAGTGCGGAGGCCGACTGCTGATAAAGCTGGCCTGGAGGGAGCGGCGCGCGCGCGTGTGCTGCGGCCGAGGCTGACGACGAAACGAAGCTGGCCCCGACCGACCGACGTCGCAAAGTCCGACCCTCGCCCTCTCTCCACCTGCCCACCTCGCGCTCGCTCGACCATGCCCATCGCCAGCGTGCTCAAGGGCTTGCTGCACAAGCACGACAAGCAGCAGCAGCAACACGCCAGCTCGACCCCGTCGCCCGCCTCGAGCTCGACGTCGTCCTCGGCCCCGCCGCCTCCCCACCAAGAAGCAGCGTCATCCTCGTCCGCCGCCGCCGTCATCTCGCAGCCCGAGCAGGCCCACCTCGCGCAGCCGTCTAGCAGGACTCAGCCTCACGCCAACAGCGACGCCGCCACCGCCAAGGGCATGGACCAGCAGCAGCACCACCAGCACCACGCCGCCGCCTCGGGCTCGGCCACGGCGGTCCAGCCCACGGCCCAGCAGGCCAAAGCCGAGGACATCGTCCGCCGCGAGGCAGAGCAGAAGGCCAAGCGCGACCAGAGCGTGTTCGAGGGCCTCCCCGAGGGCCTCGTCCTCGGCCGCAAGATGGGCGACGGCGCCTTCTCCAACGTCTTCGAGGCGACCCTCCGCCCGACTGCCGCCCAGCTCCAGCTCGACCCGTCGCTCGGCAAGGTCCCCGTCAAGGTCGCGGTCAAGTGCGTCCGCAAGTTCGAGCTCAACCAGTCGCAGGTCAGTCTCGTTCCGCTCCTCGTCTCCCCCCTCCCCCCCCCCCTCGAAGAATGGTCGGGCGGCAGCCAATTTTTCGGGGGGCGCGCCCCGGCGGTCGTCGCCCTCAAATAGATCATCCGTCCGTGTTTTTGAGGGAGCGGGGTGAGACGAGTGGCCTGTTCTGGAGTTGCGCGGGAGATGGAGAGGGGGGGACAGCGTGCTGACGGTCCTGCTCCTGTGGTCTCATCAAAAAAAGAGAAACGAAGG